AATAGATTCTAATAAAAATATTTTTCAGGAAATGCTACTGACGATGCGGGAAATCGGAAGAACGTTCCGCACACTTCCGGCCAGATTCATTTTGCCAGAAGACGGCTTATGATGGTAAGTAAATTAAAATTACTAATTTTTTTGTTTTCAAATAATTAACTCTTATTTCTCGATACTAATTAATTTTTTCATTTTGATTTTGTAGGTTGAAAATAACGGAAGAGAACTTCCTCCAATGACAAAGGTTTTTGCCGAAACGCATAAAAAGCGGAACGGTGAATTCCCGGATCCTCGGGCGGAGGAGATCTACAACGCCGTCTGTGCGGCGATCGAGGAGCGACAGACGCAACTGACTCAGCAGGCGCGTCAAACGTCTCCCGGATGTAGCTCGGTCCAATCGACCCCGGCGCTGACGGTGGCAGAGATGGACCAGATCTTCGAAGAGGTAAATTTAATTACTATATTTAATTAATGTAACTTTAGTTTTAAGTTAAATTTCTAACCATAATGTTTTTAAATATTTGTAGGTTGCCCCAAAGAAAAAGGGGCGGATATTAGGGATGGGGTCCATCCGTGATACCCCAAGAGCTACGGCGACTGGTCACGTCCGGGTTCCGGATCCGGTTATCTGCCAGGAGATCGATCAGATGCGGACCCGTTACGAGACGAGGATCGACCAGCTCTACGGTCTCTTCGAGATCATGAGAGCCGACAACCCGGTGCTCATGGCGCAGTTGGACAAGCTGCGGGCTGATGGGGTTGTCGGATCGTCTGCCGCCGGGTCATCCACTAGGACGCAACCGCCGGTGCAGACTGACGAGGAGATGTTCCGATCTCTCGGGGTTGAGCCTCCTAGAGCCGGAGATCAGGCGCCGGCGGAAGCATCAAACCGATGACCCGGCAAGGACGATGGGGAGGAGGCCGGTGACGGGATCGACGATATAGATTTAGAATTAGATTTAGAGCTGTAGGGTTTTTATGTAAATTACAATTAATTTAATTTCAAATTTTAATAAATTTTAAATTGTAAATTTTTTTTTAATTTAAATTTTAATTCGAATTATTTCTTTTTTTAATTTTCAATTATATTAAACGTCGTATAATCGTCGTAATATCTTTATTAAAACCGTCGTACATTCGTCGTAAATACTACGACGAATTTACGACTAAAATGTACGACGACAAATACGACGATTATACGTCCGTAATTTACGACGATTTTATGACGAAATGATTAAATACTTTACGATTGATTTACGACGATTTGTGCGTCGTACATTTTACGACAATTTTACGTCGACCTTTAACGACCACTTAACGACGGTCCAGGCGAAGACCAAGTCGATGCAATTCGATGTACAATCGTCGTAAACTATACGACGCATTTACGACGATTTTGTTTCCCTCGATGTTACGACGAAACGAAACCGTCGTATATTATACGACGATTTTACGACGATTTGTCTATTACGACGATGACTTTACGACAATTTCGAAATCGTCGGTAGTCCGTCGTAATAGTCCTATTACGACGAAATAACGACCATTTCGGCCATTGTAAAATGATGTTTTTCTTGTAGTGCTCTAATCAATTACTTTGCTAATGATCCAATGTGTTTCCCATAATTTCTAATCTTGTTAGCCTTTTTAAATTTTTTAACTATCTAGCTACACGTTGGTGTGAACAAGTTCAAAATGCTCATGATAATAGCTGAAAACGTTGTTAAACCCACGAAAGTTCAGTGAATTTTATGTTTTCAGCTAGTTCTAGTCTGAATCAAGACAATGGCAGCCAGTGGATACTAACTGCTCAAATCACTCAGCTTCTCTCAGCTTGCTCAGCCTTCTCAACTCTCTAAGCTTGCTCAGTTTGCTCAGATCTCTTAGCTTTCTTCAAACTCTTTCGAAAAACATAAGATTGTAACGGAAAATTGGCTTTTTTCAACTTGAACTTTGCAAAAATGTTAAATTTATGTCTAAACTTGTATACTTGAACTTTGCAAAAATGTTAAATTTATGTCTAAACTTGTATACGGTGCTTAAAAATATTCAATCTTCGTTATAATTTGAATTTCATCCATAACTTTAGTTTTTTGTGCTTAAACCTATTTTCATCTAAACGGTGTTAAGTTGGTGTTAAGCCTAGTCTATGTGGCATCCACGTACGCAATGATGTTATTTTGAGCTGTCGAATTTTGGAGGAAAACAAAAAACAAAAACGACACTGTTTTGTTAATTTTTTTTTTTTTGTCTCTGTTTTGTTTTCAACCTTTCAAACTCTCACTCGACACGAACTAGGGATTTAATACTAGGGATTTGAGAATTTTATACAGCAATGCCAAAACAGTTATGATTTCTCACATTTTCTCTCTATATTATACTGTGTTTCTCAGTTTCGTCTTATAGTGATTCTCACAGTACCGTCGCTCATTAATTCTCTTTTCGACAGTTCTTTTTTTTATACATGAACATCTAACATACATCATGAAACAACTGAGAAATTTACTTCTGAAATCTCATGTTCTCAAATCCATTATTTCTATCTAAGACTTTCTTTAGCTCTGTATGTTAATTACAACATATATATAGCTGCACAAAAGCCACCATTCAAGTTCTGAAACAAAAATCAACTAAGCACAAAGAGAGTAATCAAAAGTTCTCAAATTTTAAAGAATCTAATTGGAAACGAAAACCAAACAGTAATAAATTGTCAAATTGGAGCGAAAAAGTCATTCAATTTCACTAGAATTTTTCACTAATCAAAACGTAAGAGAGAACAAAAAACGAAAACAATCTCTTGAATTCATCTCAACAGAGAATCGAAATAAGCCAATGAGCTGGGGGGAAACGAATCAAAATCATAGCAGATCGGAAAGTATCGTTGAACAGACCAAGTAGTGAAAACTTTGAGGAACTGAGCAAGAGTGAATGCAAGAAAAGCAGAGAAGATCGGAAGATTGTGAGGGAGCAGATTCTGCGACGGAAGAGATCTATAAAATGCCCTATTCCGCCTACTAACGATCCCGCATCCGCCACTGTCATCACCTCGTCCATTCACGACCTCGAAGAATCGAGAAATTGAAGAACTGGATTTTGAAATCCCTAGTTCGTGTCGAGAGGTTGAAGACAAAATAGAGAAATTTTTTTTTTTAACAAAACAGTTTAATTTTTTTTGCATCACAAGTTAAAACGATGTCGTTTATCATTTTTTCCCTCAAAATTCGACGGCCCAAATCGAATTATTGTTTACGTGGCATCACGTAGATTAGATTTAACTGCAACTTAACACTAGACAAAAATAGATTTAAGCACGAAAAACAAAGATTATGGATGAAATTTAAATTATAATAGTGATTAAGTATTTTTAAGCACCATATGCAAGTTCGAGCATAAATTTAACATCTTCGTGAAATTCAGATTGGAAAAAATCAATTTTCCGATTGTAACTATCGAGTTAATGTGGAGTAATAGCAAATCAAGAAAATAAAAACATAATGAATCACATAATAAATGCAAAAGATTCTTGGTTATGGATAAGATGCTATAAATCTAAAGAGGAGGTTGTTGTAGGTGGGCTGAGCACAGCCCCTTTTCGTAATTTTATTTAGGCCCGTTAGCGAAATGAAAGCCCAGTAAGATCGAAGACCACCAAGCCCATGCGCAAAGAGTGAAACAAGGTCGTTCGGGAAGATGACCTTTTTATATCAAAGGAGCAGCTCGCCACCTCGACACGGATGGGACAGCTCGCCACGTCGACGTAGATGAAACAGCTCGCCAGCACGACGTTCTAATAGACGGTCGGTCAGGTCTATCTGCCCGGCCGCCCAAGCTACTCTGACCGAGATGTAACCTAATTTGAACACTATAAATAGCCCTGTAACTTCATTTATGACGGGATCCGTAATCGAAGAAAAAAGAGAAAAACACTCGATACTCAGAATCTTCAACTCTTACCTCATTTACTTGATCTCGTTACATCACCTCGAAAAATACCACATCGATCTCACCTCTAATCAAACAAGAATCTCCGAGCTCCACCTAAATACATTTACTTATATAACCTCGTGTGCGGATACAATACAACAGAGGTCACAGTGAAAGGGATCCACAATTTTTACCTTCGAATAACTTAGATTCTCTCTAACAATTCTATTTGTATTTCATTTAGATTAATAAACGAATTTCTTCATCTTCTCTTTCTGATTCTATTATCCGTATCGTTAAGAACTGAATTGTGTTGGATTCAGCGCTCACATAGCCTTACGTCTTATTGTTTTATTAGTCATTGCAATTGCTTATTGTTGTCTTGCTTTGTGTTTATGTTGTTTAGCTTTAATTAAAATCTAAATAACGCGATCCTTGGTTGTTAGACAAAATATTAATTAAGACTATATTATATATATGGTTTAATACATATTAATTTGTTTTAAAGATTACTTGCAAAATTTAGAGTGACTACCCATATATTTCATTTTATCAAAAAAAAAAACCCTTATATTTCTTTTTCTAAAATTTTTACACATTATTAGACGTAGAACCATATATATTATAAGAGAAATCATCCTAGTAAATCTATGAATTTGTTCATCATGTAGTTGCCCAAAACTTTTTCGTTTTTTGTTGTTGTTGTTGTTAATCAGTTCCCTAAACTTGAGGGGATAGTTTGTGGAAGAATCATACTTAGTCAAAGTGTATTAAAACTGTGGTTGCAAGATATCCGCAACTGAATTCAAATGAAACAAGATATTAATTAATTACTATAAAATCAAACAAAATATTCGGTATTAGATATTGAATTAAAAACGAAAATCGTATGCGTTGTGTGTTTGGTTAGTTCATGTTTTCATACGAAACAACAAGATATTGAAATCAGAAACCAAAAAATAAAAAGAGAGAGAGGGCAGATCACAAAAGTGAAACACAAAGAAACAGAAGAAAGAAGAAATGAATAGTTGTCTTAACAATCAAAATCACAACATTAGGTGGAGAGAGTTGAAGCAATGAAGGTGAGTGTGGAGATAATAACAGGGACATTTATAGATACGGAGGTGAGTGAAAATGCGACGGTGAAGGAATTAAAGGAGAAGATTGCGACGGAGGTGAAATTATCGGTAAAGCGTTTGATACTTGTGATCGGAGATGAAGAGGAGAGAAGAATGGTGATGGAAAATGAAGATGAAATGATGTTGATAGATTTAGGAGTGAGAGAAGATTCTCGTGTATATTTGTTCTTTAAGCATCCTGATTTGGTTTACAAGGAAGAGAGATCTCAAGATGGTGAGGATGATGCTTCTATTGAGGAGGTTTCGTCGTCGGAAGCAGAGAGTAAAAGAGGAAACGGAGAAGAAGAGGAAGAGGAAGAGGCAACGGAGAAAATAGACGGTGAAGAGGAAGATAAAGCGTTAAAGAATGAAGAAAAAGAAGAAGATAGAGAAGAACAGAAGAGGAATGGAGAGGAAACAAAGGATGATGATAATTATGATGTTGATGATGGACAAAAGAAAGCAAGAGAGAGTGAAGAAGGAAATAATAATGTGGAAACCTAGAGTTTCTTTATTAGATCTTCTTAACCATTTCCATTTTTTATTATCTTTTGCTTTTGTGATTATCTTGTCTACAGACTACAAGTAAACAAGTTAATGAAGTTTAATGATCTATATAGTTTCTTCTTAATTCTTCTTCTTCTTTTTCTTCTTCTTCTAACGGAATAGCCGAGTGGTTAGAAGTTCATTATGATTTGTTATATGGGAAGTAATTATTCTCCAACAACTTTTTTATAATTATCATGGATACTGTGCGTATAAAATCTGCTTTAACATGACTATTTCGATTTTCACGAACAAACTCAAATTCAGAAATAGCCCCAAAGAAAAGCAACTCTGAACTAATACTTGGCTATTCATCCGGACGTGATACCAGACGAACTAACTTTGGTTGAGTAACAAAATAATTAAGAACAAAAACGATTATGTTTCACCATACATTGCATCGTACTACCAATGTTGAGTCCGTAACAAAATGAGAACAAAACTGTTTTACCATACATTTGCGTTTCACAAATTAGATTATTTAATTACAGCGTTAATATACACGAGGACTTGTTTGGAAACCTAATAAATCAAGTCTAACATTTTGAAGTTGTATCGTATAATCAATTAGATATCAATCTTTTATATGGTCCTTTTGAAGGGATTTATTTGATTATGTAATTACCTTAATTTTGACAATATTGTGTTGAATAAGACATGTACCCTTCGTTTTATCATACATTTACATTGCATTACCCAAACTCTATTGTATATTTTTAATTTCAGCGTTGAAGTACCTGATGACTTTTAGATAATGCAATATTTTTTTTTTTTGGTCAAAGATAATGCAATATATAAATAGAAAATTATAGATTAAATATAGAATCAACACCATAGCCTCATCAGTTCTTGAGAGGGACTTATTATTTACATATAAAAAAAAGACGTGAAAACGAAGGGTTTTTATTATGCAAATCTCTCAGTAACCTCCACGACTAATAGATCCTTTAAACACAAAAAGAGTCTCACCATTTTCAACACCATGCCACCGAAGACTACAATTCTCTCGCATAATCCGTTGCTTGTGCACGAATATATACTCGTCTCGTGGCAACGTCTTGTTCGCTTGTAACCCTTCTCTCATCTCCGAGATGGTGCAAGAATCCTTAATCTCCACAGGTATTCTTGCACCGTTGTATAAAGCCGATGACGTCTGCACCAAGAAACAGAGTGTCCTCACAGGAGCAACGTCTTTAGCTCGGTTGATTGACTTGAGAAACACGACAATCTCTGAGAATTCTCTGATTCCATATTCGTTTAGGTTTCGAAAATCGTCGTCTAGTTCGATCCCTGAGAAGTATAACTGCATTCTCTTTATCGGTGTATTCTCCACAATGTGAATCTTGTCCTTCAAGCTACTTACCTGCAAAAAACATTTTAAGTTAATATTAAGAACTCATATAAAACTGGAACAAGATTTGAGATGAAACATTACAGTTTACCGTTTCGGTTCCGTCTACTTCGATGGTGAACTGTTTTGACGGGAACTTGACGGTAACGTGGAATTTTTTAACGGCGGGGCTAGTAAAAGACGGTGGTGGTTCGGTGAAAAAGGGAGTTACGGTGAGGTCGATTCTGGTGCCGTGAGAGATGATTGGGTAATCTTCGATGTCGAGACCGTCGAGAAGTTCCCAACAAGAGACAAAGAGAGTTAAAGAAGATGTTGGGATCTGAAGAAACTGTCCTAAACGTTTCTTGATTTCCAACACTGATTCTTGTTCTCCGATTTCCATGGTGAATTCTTGTGTGTATGATACAATTGTCACTATCATTTTTTTTGAATTTAAAAAAAATTGTGGTTTTTTTTCCAATGTTTTTAGGAAAAAAAAATGGACTATGATTTCACAATGCGTAGTATATATACATCTTTATATACACAGTGAAGAATGCGAGTTGTTGAAATGCATGTGAAGAAGACTTTGAGGGAAAATAAGAAATTCATGATACTAACTTGATGATGTTTAGTTGGGTCTTGTTTGTGTCATTGTGTGTGTGTGTGTCTGTTATATAACACTCTGGGTCTAATACGTGATAATAAATTGAATTTTGCATGATATTCGATTAGGCAGTTAGTGGAATGACGATAGTGTATATATATTTGTGTGTGTAAATTAACTAAAGGTTTGAGAAATGGAACAAACAAAAATGATTTGTATCTGTGATGAAACTATTCAACCGATTAACCAAAAATAAAAGAAATTGATGACAACATAGATTATAACAATTACTGAAAATCTATGTAAATCATCTGTTATTGCGTCTAACTTTTTTCCTGTTTGTTCTCATGAGAAACTATCTCTGCCTTGAAATGATTTAACTTCTGGTTGCAAGATATATGCGGGAAACTATGGCTGTCCCGGCGACTACAATCGCCAGAGATTTCAAGATTTTCTTTACACTAAAAATCGATTTATTCGTCGGCAACTCCAACAGATCCTTCATCTGAAATACAAGAACCTTAATAAGTCATGTATAAATGAAATCGAGATTGAAAAGATTGTGACGACTAACATTAATAGGTTGATTCCAGTTCTTCTTGATCCCTTGAAGATGCCCTCTACCAACAACTGCTACCACCGAGCTATGCTCACTTGCAACTCTTAACAACATACATGCCATGTACCTGAGATATAATGTAACATTTTGCTTAAAGATCAAGAAAATTTTCTGGAAATTCAATGTTTTAAGATTGCTAGTTAACAACTTAAGGGAAAGAGGAGCTTGAAAGGTGGAAACCAACAAAGACTACTATCATCATCATGGTGCTTAGAACTTCAGGAGAGACGTTTTGGGTTTCATGAAGTGTCAAACAAGATACACATTCAGCAGAAATACTGATAACGCAAGCTTCAGAGAAAGCGTCCAATTAATCTGATGAACTATAAATATAGATAGAGGAATACAGTACTAACTTATCTCGCTCATGCACAAGTGTCTCCATGAGAGATGGAAATTCCTTGCTCATTTCTTGAATCACCAATGTTAGCATATCCACATCGTTCATATCTTTCAGCTAAAGCCATACAATATAATCTTTACCTTAATATATACACTTGACTGAATCACATAAGCTTAAAAGGAAAAAAAGAAGGAAGCAAAGACATTGTACCATCTTCTCAAGTTTCTCAGGGCTCGGGAGAAAGACAGCTTGAGACACTAAGCTGTACAAAAACTTTACTTTGTGCCATAGAGGCATTTTAGCCCATGTCCTTGTTAACGTGACCTGCTTCAACAAATCCCGAAAGAAAATAAATACCAAGTGGAACACTGATTAAAAAGTGATTAGAAAGAGAAGAAATGCTTAAGACTATGGATATATATTATTGAATCACCAAAGTCACCTGTACTGGACGGTCACCTAGAATCACCTTGCCACCATATTTGTTTGCCTCCTCATATGCCACACGAAACTCAGCACCAGGTAAAACATCAAGCTTGCTGGCGATCTAACATAAGAAAAGGATGTAAACTATTGGTACGTAAAATTTAACATATTATCAAAGAAGATCTAAACCGAGGAAACATGCCTTTGCAAGAAACCATCCGTAAACTATTCCGAATGTGTTATGGTTCTTCTTCCACATGTCTATCATTTCCGACATGGTCGGAACCTGGAAAAAAACCAAAACATCGCACCTTTCCAGAATCAATAAAATGGCTAGAAGAGCTAGAAAAAATAAGTGAGCTATATCATTGCATATAACCAAGTGAACATTCTCTACAAAAAAAAAAAAAAAAATTCCAACCAGCAGCTCATACATAGTAATTCCAATAGAAAATTCGGACATCCTCTGTTTAGACCATAAACAGAGACGCCAATGATTATTATCATCTTATAGCAAAAGAAGCAACAAAGATGATGCGCAATCTTTCACAGGATATCACACTGTTAGATGATCATAAATGATAAGAAGTAAAACTGAAACTGGACATGTTATAAGAGTCATGTAGAAGCAAACCTTCAAAGCCTGAGGCGTGAGAACAGACAATCGGCTTGGACACAGCTCAACGAAGACGACCTGCAATCATCAGCCACGTACTCAAAACAGAGAAAGAGGATATAAAAAAAGCTCAATCCTTAATGAAACTGTAAAGGAGAAGAACCTGTGGCTTCATGAAGCTGACTATAGCTTCAACTTCTCGGCAAGATTCCTATACAAAGATCAAAACAACTATCAAATGCGTATGAATGCTAAATATGTTATAGTCCCATCAAGCAAATCCAATGTGTTAACCATTTTCCATGCTTATACGAAACCAAATCCAAGCTAATTAAAAAAAAAAATCTAATCTTTGATGAAAGTTCTTCATTTTCAATTCCAACATTTCAACAAAACCACAAAAACCATTCACCAAGTTTCAATTTTTAAAGAGGATACCTGTGAGACATGAGCAGTGCCAATCAACTATACGTCGCAAGATCCACCCTCGTCGTTGGACTCGCACGTTAGAACCATAACGCTTTCCGCGAATTCCTCAGGCAGCTCCAGCTTCGCCGTCTCCACCGGACGCTCTCCGTAATCCGGTCGAACGCAGTTATCATCGTCACCAGAACCAACGATCGAATCGACGCCGGTTATCACTGAACCGGAATCGCTATGTTCTTCCTCCTCCTCCTTGGCTTTCCACTCATCGTGCAGCTCCTCCTTCTCCTCATCCTTCACCGAGATATCTCCGAGAGGCCTTGGCTCATCCACGTGAACAAATTCCTCTTCGAATTGAGACTCCGGCGGCATTACCGTCGGTTCCATTCGCAACGGTGATCGAAGAAGGAGTGTCGGTGAATTCATAGTCTGGGACGAGGGAGAGGGAGAGGGAGAGGGAGAGGGAGAGGGAGAGGGAGAGGGAGAGGGAGAGGGAGAGGGAATAGGTTTCGAGCTAAGCCAAGGTATAACAATGGCAGAGTATGGTCGACGGAGATAACGCTTACGGTTCTCTTCTTCTTCTTCACAGTGCTTTAAATTTTGTAATTAATTTATTTAATTTTCTTGAGCTAAGACAAATAAGTGAAACGGAACAAAAGAAAAATATATTTGTGTTCTTGCCCCTATAGTTGAAGTAAAATCTCATTCCAAAAATCCAAAGTCTGTTTAATAAATTAAATCCCACCGATTTTTTACTTAAAAAATTATGAACTTTTCTTTTAATGTATTTAATTTTTTAACATAATTTTAGTGAACAGAATTTATTTAGGAAGAACGAATTGATTTTTTTTCTCGTCATTACCCTTTTCATAAATGTTGAGCAATAAGAATTGAGTCAAAACAAAATGATCATATCGATATACTTGGTATGCAATTCATGAATTTACCTTTAACTATCCATATTCTATCATTTTAGTCAAATCTATTTTCAGAATTCCACCTTACCAAAAGAGCAACAAATCCTGTCAGTCAAAAGAAAATTTAACGCTAAAACTTTAAAGGATTTTCAATTAGTAATGAGCATAGCAATTCCAAAAATCTATTATATAAATACTCAGTTGAGTCTCACAAGCTTGACATATAAGCATTCCATCTTTTGACACATCAGTTTTTGAAAAAATTAATTTTCTCAATCCCAAAAAAAAAATTAATTCATCAACCATGACATAAATACAAAAATAGTTTATATCTCGAAAAGTCATTCTCTTACAATAAAAAGAAAATGCATTGAACTTGTAATGTTACCACTTCGTAAAGCACACCCGAGAAAATTGAACGATACTAAAATAAATTCGAAGAATCAATAGCCATAATCATATGTTATTATAAAATAGAGTAGCATTCCACCTATTTTTCAGCTTTCTCTTATACGCTCAAAGAACTCCAGAAATCAGATATAGCGCCACTGTAGTCACGTTCATAACCAACATTGGAAAAGAATTAAGGTTTTCAAATAACATATCCAAAATACAGATTTTTTGTGTTACTTTTGTTTTAGTGATTGTGGCTTTTGGTGTTTCAGATCAGAAATGCGATCAAGTACATGGATATAATCACTCTACGTGTCTACGAGGAGGCAATGATAACCAATCCTTCCCTCATAGAAAGAGAGTTAGGAACAAGCTGTATGTAGCGTAATTACACAATATATATATATATATATATCAATATTCCAATTTTATGTATATATAAGAAAAAACTTTATGAGCCATTAAAATAATTATTTCTTGTTTTCAAATTAATTTAGAGTTTTATGTGACATTTTTTGTTGTTTGCAAAACATTTAAAAAATCATAAATAATTTCTATTTATTGCATACATGAACAATTATGATATTTTTGTATTTGTAATGCTCTGGTGCCTAACAATATTAGGTTTAGAGCAGATGATATAACAAACGAAGTTGAAGTTTTGGAGGTATTTTTTTTTTTCTGTTTAATTTCTGTTTATAGTTTTTGTACATCTTTTGTAAATACATAAGACTGACATATAGTGAATGTTTAACTCAATATAAAATTAGCTATAAAATTCTTTTACGTAGCGCCTTATTTTTCTGTCACATAGACAAAATTCTTTATGTATCAGGAGAATATAATGCCCAAACTTTATCATATTTATTCTATTGACGTCCGAATTTCATATTTATTTTAACAAAAAAAAGAATATTTAGAAAGAAATTATTGTTTTTAATATTTATTACCCTAAGCAGAACTCAAAGGATTTGAGATAAGATTTAAAGCTAAGCTGAAACAAAATATTTTGTATTTTATTGTGTATCGATGAGTGTACGTATTTGTTAACTTTATTTCATAAGTAAAAAAAACAGAAAATATGTAATAAACAGACAGATATATGTCTAATAATAATTTTAAGAGATAACCATAGAAAGTGATTTTCGATTACATAATTCTATCATGATTTAAAAAATTTAAATTTGCATATATATATATATATATATATATTATTGATAAACTAAACTATTATATATATAAAAATTACCGCGTGTACACGCGGAGTTTTATCTAGTCTTATATATAAAAGAGAAAGGACTTTCTCCCGTAGCTTGACACGTCATCACCTAAAAAAGTGACACGTGTCACTCTAATTGTTACAGAAAAACAACGAAAAGTCTGAAAAAACTTTTAATTTGGATTGACCTTTCCTCTTCATCTCTTCGATCTCTTCTTCGTCTATGGTTTCCAGTTTCCAGGTTTCTTCATCACAGTCAGTCATCGTACTTCAGTTATATGGTTTTCGCTCTCGATCCCATTTTAAATTTCTCTCTTTGGTTATTGGACTAAGTAACTGAAAATTTACAGTGCAGTAGAGCTAAATCGCCGCTTCGAGATACTGATGGTATCGGCGGTGTGGGAGAAGCGTTATGCTATTTGATGCTTTATATGTACGACAGATGATTAAATTGATACGGGGTAATCTCGAACAAAAGTTTTTTTACATCTTTCCAAAATCGGCTATCACTTTGAAGCGCTTTAAGAGGTGCTTATCCGAAGTTAATCTACCGGCTGAGATCTCTGATTCATTTATTGGTGAAGAATCCCGATCAAAGATGTTTGTACGGGGAGTAGACGTCATCGTCTTGATTGAATTATGATATACCTTTAGATTGTTTCATAATACTCAAGTTTTAATCTTGATGGTGCGTGATAATCTGGCAACTGAATGTGCCCGCTTCGTCTTTTGATTTCTTCCTCTTTCTGTTTATGTTTTGGAACACTTCCTACGTTTCTCATATTTGTGTTTGTTTGATAGGTTTTTTGTGTCTGAAACGATCCTCAAGTCAAGATTGTTGTTGATTCTGAAAGATCCGTGATTTAATTTAACTTTTGCTCGAATGCGATTTAGCTTTTGTGATGTTTCCAAGAGGCTGTCAAATAGTAGAGACTCGGGCTACACAGATAACTAAACCCGTCTTGAATTGCCAAGACACCATGATTTTGTTCAGAAACTTATTTCTTGTCTCATGATCACAGCTCTGCTGCAGCCTGCAATGGGTTATGTAAACATGGAGAAGAGATGGGTCTTCTCTCTCGTCATCACATTTCTTAACTGGTTTTCTCTCTTTTTTAACAAGAAGGTGATAGGCTTAGAGGAATTAAGGTAAATAGCAATTCAAGGTCTACATGATAATGCTGGTATTCGCTATGTTGTCTCAAAGGTAATAAACTCGCATGCTTCCAGTTGAGTTCTTCTGTTTTTGGATCATTATTGTTATGTGTGCTATTAGTAATGCTATATTTTCTAACTTCATGAATTATCGGGAACTTTCAGTTTCCAGTTTCTGTACTTTGCTTTTGAGAATATAATTTAAGAAAGATGTATAGAAATGGATTTGAGTTACTTGCTTGGTCAATGCTTGCTTTATATTATTCTCTTGGATATAGGCTACATCATGTAGCAGCTTTTACTGAGCTACCTGTCACTGGATCACTCCATCTGGTTTTCAGAGTTAGCTAAGAAAAGGCCATAGTACAATCAAAATTCAAAGAGGAACTTCTGGTAAACCCTGTAAGTTTTTTTTTGGGTGATTTGATACTCGAACATTTTATTGATGGGGTTTGTGAAGAGAAAGATTATAAATTTAATTGGTGTATGTTTTGCTCATCCCTTGCAGAAATATTTCATCAAAATTCTGATGAGATTGGATACTGTTCTTGTAAAATGATAGGTAGCTAGGTTTATTGAATAGGCTTTGTCGCATTTTTGCTTACATGAGTGAACAAAGCAATGAATTAGACAGTAACATGTGTGACTCTCATTAGCTAATATGTTGACCAAGTAGAATGCACTGATGCTCGACGGGGATCCATTCTTTCCAATAATTTTGAACCAGAAGCTTACATGTCTTAGTAGAAGTGACCCTCTCTTGTTTCAGCTAAAGTATTTTTTGTGGAAAACTCATAACAACACTTACATGTCATATGTCCTCCCACCAGAGTTAAAGGAGACTCAAGGGACGTGCCTCTGATTTTGGCCTCACAAAGAAGCTTTTGCCTATTTTTTGCAGTAATCTATTTCCCTTTCAAATATAGGATTTGAAGACAAAGTTATCTTGTCTACAACAAACTGCAATTCAGTTAGAGCAAAACACTTTTGTTGGACGAATTAGGGAGCTTGCTTCCTAAATCCAAAGGTATACTTTTATCACTTAGAACCAGGGCAACCATGATAACCTCTTTTAATTTAAACGTCTATATTTTTTTTGGTCCCATCATGTTTATGGAACATTCCTAAACCCTTCGTTTTAAACACTTCTCACTGCATAAGCTTATGTTGTCCTGTTATTTTTTCATCCTGAATCTATATAGATAAATGCAGGTTACAATCTTCCTAACGAAAAAGAGGATTATGATCTACAAGTGACGTGTATAATGAATATTTTTGTGCTAGAGGATTAACTAAATGAAGCTGGCTAAATATTGATAAAGGCAGCCTTCCACCGTGGATCTTTCTTATATTTGTATAACGTCTCTAAGATGTTTGTCTATTAGTGGTGCTACAATTTTTAATGAGAGAAGTCACTTTGAAGTGGAAAGGGTTTTGTGAAACAAAGTTTCTAAAGAAGTTCGTTATTGTTTAGGGCTCTAACTCAGCATGAGTACGAGACCTATGCTAACTCAATTGTTGTTAATTTAAGTCAATTTTATGCTAATAATATTAACTGTTAGGTCTTTTGTAAACCGTTCAAGATGTTCTGCCCTTTAGATTTCCGGAAAGAGATAAATAGTACCCACGTTGAGAGTAGCAAAGGGCAAAGATATGTTTTTGAAATTGTATGGTTAGAATATGTATTTAAGAGAAAATAAGTCTCACTCAAATTAATTTTATGCTAATGTGTGATTAACATCATCGTAAGTGGAAATCCTATGGTTTAATTTTGCATCCAAAAGGAAAAATAATTTTCTGTAAATAATTTTGTATGCTCTTTCTTTCTTGTAAGATATGCCAACAAGATCACATGTAACTATATAAATTTAAAAATTTCTCCATACTTGTATAAAAAGGTAAGTAAATTAATTCAAGAAAAAAAAAAAGCATTGTGTATTATATTATTATTTAGAATAATTTTATATAAAAAAGAGTTCAGTATGATCTATTATAAAAAAAAAAATCTTATAAAAAAAAAATTCGCGTGTCGCGGAGGTATTCACCTAGTAATTTATAATTTTAAAGTAAGGTCGTATTGGATCAAGGGGTGATTATACATAGCCTCATTCACTTTGCAGTGTATTTTAACGCAAGTGTGAAATATATATATATATATATATATATATCACGACACAACCTTACTTGTAGCCTTCAACTGCCAGATTCATATAAATTAGGGATGATAAATGTGTAACTAGGGAAAAATATAGTGAATGTTAAAAAAAAAAAAGGAAAAAAAAAAGTGAAGACAGATGCATACGAGGTGTGTTCGGTCCGGTTTTCGGTTTGCATTTGAAAAAATTGAAAAATCAAAACACAAGAAAATATTAGTTCTCGGGTAAAAAACTAAATAAAACTGAGATAAACCCGAATATAAAGAAGATATTGGGCCTGCTTGATAATACTGGTAGATAAGGGAATTCAGATTATATATAAGGTTTGGTTCAACATCAAACTTATTTGGTTCAACATCAAACTTTGCATTAACCAAATTTGAAATTACAAAGCAATATCCTCTTGCACATAAGGTTTTAATTTGTGCGAGAGGTAATTCATAGTGGCAGAAGCAGCAAACACGTTAATAAAACGAGGGCTGTTTATCAGGGAAGAAAAATTCATATGTTCCTTGCCACTAAAGGTACACGCACATAAGGATCCGAGGCAAACACTTGACGGCAAAAACAAACTAAAATTACAATTGTAGATTGTAGGAGAGGTGAATCATTTGATCGTATCAATCTAAGAGTCCTTTTCATTTTGAGCTAGCTCATATTCAGATTGGTCACCGTTTTTGACAAATCTACCTTTGTCTTTTCCTCGTTAGTTGATGATTCGGATCAGCAGCAGCAAAATCACTTGAAGAAACAATAGGCTTGAATTTGACAGACTCTGGTGGCACTGTGAATAAAGCCTACATGTTCGGAAACTGTACCAGTGATCCCTTAAGATCATGAGTTGATAAATGGCAGATTAGATCTGAGATAGAGACGATCCAGATTGAAGAGACGCATTGATGATGTTACTTGTTTCAGCAATGGAACATATTGATTTGGATTTTAGCTGAACAGTTGTTGAGTTGGATCAGCAACAATTTCAATTTTGTTGACCATTTGACTAACCGAAATAACCACCTTCGATAAAGAGTCTTGAGTCATTATGGTTAATCGTTTTTTACAATTTTTCTTCACCAATGTGGTAACTGGTTAAGGAAAAAAAGGCTAATCTATTCTATTAAAACAGAAACACATTTAGTACTTGCTTCCAAACACTCCTAATTTTTTTAAGTGTTTAAAAATAATTTTAATAATTATTTATATTTAATTTCAAAAATTAGTTATTAATTTAAATATTTTAGAGTTCCTTAAATATAGGTAATTTAGATTTGATTTGATTTGATTTGATTAAAAATAATAAATCAGATATTAATTTAGATTTGATTTAAAGATTCTAATTTAAATAATTTCTATACTATTAAACATTTTTATCAAAAATATCTAGAATTTAAAAAAAAAAATAATTCACATATGAAAAATAATGGTCATATTTGAAATATAAAATATTTATAATGATGTAAATGATATGATATTTATGTTGCTTATATAATATATTTACGTTTCTGATTTATTTATAAATTAATAATAAAATAATAGGTAAAATTCAAATGTATAATTTAAATATTAAAAAAATATATTTTTTAAAATTCATAGAACTAAAAATATATATAAAAACCGGGTTAAAAATATTTTGGTAACTAAAATCACTAATTTTGAATTATACATGTATATCGAAAATATATTTTTCATACACAAAATAAAAATATAAAAAATAAAAAATTATTGCATACACTATAATGTGGTTTGAAAAACCAGTTGTACACTCCCTTCGTTGATTAAATTTTAGAAAACTATAATGCTAAATAATACTGTTAATACATCTCAAACTTTTAACAAATATTTATATTATACGGTAATATGAACGGAAAAGTTAGAATTATGTTTTTATAATAGTTCATTTTGAATTAATATTAGCGGATAGGTTAAAATTATATTTTTATAATTATAATTAATTTTAATACTATAAAAATATATCTAAACACAAAAATCAATATTTTCACTTATTAAAAATATATTTATAAAAATAATTATATTTAAACTCAAAAACACAAATTATATTACAAAATTCGTTAAACAATAAAAAATATTCTCGTGCGAATGCACGGAGTTAAAATCTAGTCTATTATATTAAAACAGAAGCACTTTTAGTACTTGCATCCAAACACTCCCAAAATTTTTTTTTTAAATAATTATTTAAAAACAGTTTTAAGATTATCCTATTTTGTTGTGATATTATTTTTAAAAATACATTTTCTTTTATATATAAAACTAATTTCGAAAATTAGATATCAATTTAGATAATTAAAGATTTTCTTAATATATATTATATTTAATTTAAAATTTAAAATATTTTTAAAAATTCCATTTAAATATAAGTCTAAAAAATTAGATATAATTAGGTTAAATTACTTTAGACTTTTTTAAATATAGTTTTGATTTAATTTAACATTTGAAATTCAAATAATATTTTCATAATAACACATATGATTAACGAGTATGATATTGTAATTTTTAATCGTAATCAATCAGTCAAAAATTTAACATATTAAAAATTGATAAATATTTATATTATATGGTAATTTGATGAGATGGGTTAGGTTTTTTATAATTGTGGTTTTATCCGTGTTAAGTTATCATAACATGCAAGATATTAAATGAAAAAATTATTTTAAAATTAATAAATCTTTATATTATATTATAATATGAACGGACGGGTTAGAATTATATTTTTATAACAACAATTTTTCAGATTAATAAAATGAACGAGTTAGAATTATGTTTTTTAATAACTATTTTTTTCAATTAATAGAATAAATGGGTTATAATTATTATTTTTATAATTGTGGTCATAACAATCTAAAAAAAATAAATAAAAATTATATATAAACAAAAAAATAATTTTTTTCATTTATTAAAAAAATTATATCTATAAATAAAATATAAATTACACTACAAATTTGATAAAAATTCCCGTGCGAATGCACAAAGTAAAATCTAGTAAATCATTAATTTTGTACATTTACCAAAACGAATAAAATGATGACCCGCATTATCTTATCCGCGGACCAATAAGTTGACTTAATTTCGTTTTGTTTATGTTGTCAGAATTTTTCAAACTTAATTTATAAAATAATAATATGCTAAAAATATGATTAAACAAATTAAAATAGCTCAAAAAGATATCACATAAGTCAAATTAATTTATTTAAGACACTGAGATATGTAGTATTAAAGATATTGAGATCATGCAATTACGTGGATGGAGGTACAGTTCATTCCATTTGTAGAGAATTTTTCTTAAGGAGATTTACTTTTATAAAATAAATCTATAATATCATATTCAGAGATTTTGCCTTACGTAGATGAATTGCTAAAGTCAATCAATTACATAAACCGTTGACAAAAACAAAAAAAAACATCGATTTTCTTATTTAACTAGAAAAAAAAACTCGTTCGATTTGTTTATCTCTATCTCGCTGTCATGATTATTGTCGAGTTTATATTTGTTGTTAATCTTCATCAACGTTACATTTTTTTTTGATAACTCGTTTCTTCATTTGTCGGACCAATTTCCATTTAAAGAGGTTTCTCTTGAGAGGTATCCAATAAGAACGGTTGATTTAATTGGTTTGTTCATTTTCTGGGTTTGCGTTCGAAGTCGTCTTCCTCAATAGTCAGAACGTAATACCATTATCATTTGCTATCTATTTCACAGAAAGTTACAAACTTCAACGCAATGTTAACATTTTATTTTCACGATTCGTGGAAAAAGTAAATATGATTTCTTAATGCGAGTTTCTTCTATTATTATTTTCCGCTAAAGTACAAAAAAGGGTTTTAATTTCTCATCTCCGATTTAGGGTCCTAAGTCTCTCAGCCGCTTGAAAGTCATCGACTTTTTGTGATTCAGATTGAATCTTTTTTTTTTTTTTTTGAATTCCAGAATTTCCCCTGAAAATTGTGGGTTTAATCGATTTTGTCCGATTTGGATTAACATAATCTCGATGCAATTGTTCATGTTGAGCAGTGTGAGGCGTTGTTCTTCAGAGTAGCAAGTTTGTGAGAAGTTTCCTGTTTTGGAAAGGCTTGATTTGTCTTCTTCTTTCGAAAGTCGTTGAGTAGTGTGACGCCTCCAAGCGTTTAGCAATCGGTGAAAGTTTCCTGTTTTGGAAGGTAACCACTTGTCTTCTTCTTTGGAAAGTGGTTCACTTTCATGGTTATTATACAGTAGTTTAGTGGGATTTCTTGGAGAGTTAGGTTTTGCTATGTCATTTGTTTGCGATTTGGTTTTAGAACAAAAACGAGACAGGGATATATAAATGACAGCTGTGGTTATAAGCTTCTTCTCATTTTGTTTGTATATTGAAGGTTTTGCTTGTGGCATCTATGTTTGGGGGTGTCTTGTCTGTGCCTGTGAATAATCCCCACTTGCGCAAATCTGGAAGTAGAGTCATCATCGCTAATCTTGGTAATCAATTTCTCATATTTTTTTTTTCGTTTTATCTTTGAATACTAGAAAACATCAATTGTGCCAAGTGATATTGAGATAGAAAATGTGGAAGATGGTTACTGAGAATGAGTTTTGACAGGAGAAAATGACCTGAAGAGCGGCGCAAGTATGCTGCTAGGCACCTTTGCGAAACTGCGAAGTCCTGTATTCCTTAGAAGTCTCAAGGTTTTCTTCCATTTACTCAAATCCCTGGATTTTCTGTAGAGTTTGATTATGTTTTTTCATATCATATCATTGAAAACTGATTTGAGGTCCACAATCTTAATTCTCCAGGTTGCTCTGTATATTGCCGGTCTTTATGTTTGTGGAAAGGTTGGATTTTATATTCTTCTTCTTCATACAGACAATGACTTTAGCTTTTGATTTGCATCCATTGTTTTGAGTTTTGACTCTTGTTAATCTATGGTCATGTTAAAAAAAAACTTGCAGATTGGATGGGAATCTGTAATGAAAATGGGAATAGACACACGAGAACTGTTCTTCTATGAGACATTTCTGTATTATAACCCTCTCCTTCTTATTGTAAGTTCTTGTCTAGTTACCTAGTCAAAATCGTTTACGTGTGTTTCCTAATGTGTCCCACTACTTTCAGACAGTGATGGTTTGGCTCTGGGGTGTTAATTTGTGGGTTTTTTCTCGGTCTGGAGTCGATTATGCAGCAATCTTTTATCTAGGACCAGATCATCTTAGTCACAAAGAGATATGGAAGGTAAACAAATCTTAGCTTAGACCATTTTTTTTAATACTTTGTCATGCGTTTCTAAATCTGCCGGTGTCACAGTGTGCCAGGTGGATGACGACCATTATATTGACTAGCATGACTGCATATCTGTATCTATACTCGCACGGAGATGTATCGTTGGCTGCATTTCAACCAGTGTAATAGATGCATCTTCTCTTAAAGTTGAATCGAAGAGCTTTTGATTCATTTGTTCATAGAGTAACCTCTTCGATGTTTCCAGGTTGTTTTGTATTTCTCTGCTGTGATAATTCTGATCATCCCTTTCAATATCTTCTACATGCCGTCTCGCTACTACTTGCTATGGACTTTTTGGCGCATTCTCTTCCCTGTGCAGGTAAAGGAATACACTTTTTTTTTTCTTTTTTTTTTCCTAGTTAAAGATTTAGATTGTTTTGCTAACATCCTCTAACTTTTATTTGGACCACAAACAGACTGTTACTTTTTCAGACTTCTTTCTAGCTGATATCCTGACTTCTATGTCAAAGGTAACACAGTTTTTTATTATCTTTCCACTACATGTGTTGAATGCAATTGTTGAACAAAAAGAACAACAAAAAAAACTTCTGCAGGTGTTGTCTGATTTGGAGCGATCAGTATGTCGTATGGTACACAGACAGGTCAGTAAGTTTCCCTCTTCCTCGTGACTGAATTATCCATCCCATGTTCAGTGAATCTGATAGATTCATTGTAGGTAGCTACTATTGCATGGTTTGAAGCCGATTCGGTTTGTGGGAGTCATTCAGCTGCAATTCCCTTGGTTCTTGTTCTTCCTTATCTTTTCCGTCTCTTCCAGTGCATTCGTCAGTACAAAGACAGCAAGGACATTGCAAACATCTGGAATGGTAATGATCCTATATCCGAGATATTGCATTTTGTAATTAAAAAACCGGTCTTTTTTTGGTTGTCTTTTGCCGGATTCTTAACATCACTGCCCTGTTTTTTCTTGTTTTTTTTCAGCCGGGAAATATTTAACGGCAGTGCCTGTCATCTTTCTATCAGCACTCAAGTATTTTATCGATGCTGATACATGGACTTACTCCATTCAGCCTGCGTGGATCCTCTTTGGTCTAGCTAACACTTTCTTCTCCTTCTTTTGGGATGTATTACGCGATTGGGATCTAAGGTAGTAAAACAGAGTTCTCCAATCTTGGATTCACTTGTCAGATTTTAGATTTCTTAATCCCTTTTCTTGCTTTTGTAGTGTCTTCACTCGGATTTTCAAGTTCACAAGACCAAATCTTTGCTCCCATCTTCTCTACGGACGCCGTTGGGTAAACTAAAGCTTCCATCTTTCCTTTAAACAGTCCAAACCTCACTGCATGGTGTTTTAAAACTAGCTATATGTGTCTGAATTTTTGCAGGTGTATGTTTGGGTAATTGGAAGTAATCTGGTGCTAAGGTGGACATGGACGTATAAGCTATCAGCTCATCTCCGGCACAACTACATCACAGTCTTCATCATCACTCTTTTGGAGATTTACAGGCGTTTCCAATGGGCGTTTTTCCGTATAGAGAACGTGTGGCACAAAATCAACAATCCCAAGCGTACTTCTCATCAATCTAATCCTATTTCACTCCCAAACGATAACAGCAGCGACCAGGAGAAATTACTCGCTCAGAGTCACAGCCTCGGTGTATAAAAATCCCACAGCTTTCTTGTTTTTGTGCTGAGTTTTTTGAAAACAAGTTTTGAACAACAAGCACATACAAACTACTCTTTTAACTTATACAATGACTTGTAACTTCCATTTACACAGTGAGAGAGAGACTACATTGGCTCTAATGTACAGGAAGATGTGTAACTTTCATATACTATTTCTTTTGCAAATAATACAACCTTCACCTGTTTTTGAAAACTTGAAAGCGTTAAAAGGAACTTGCTTTAGGTGCAACTAAACTGGTTTTGTAGACAAGTGTAGCACCAAGAACATATGTCTGGTTTTAAATGGATTAGGTGAAATTAAAATAAACACTTTCTTCATGCATTATTAGTTCTTTACTTGTTCCAACATAAATACTAACTCTCAACAGATACAAACACAAGTTGATTATTTACCAACTCTTTTTAATCATTCCTTCTCCTTTAACCACTATAAATACACACAGTTTGACACCAAATCTAAAGCACCAAGCATCATCATCTCTTGATCTATCTTTCAATTATCTTGTTGATTTTTCCCCCAAAACAGAGAAAGAAAATGGCATCCAGAGAAATGCAGATCATCATCTCTCTCCTCGTGACTACACTCATTGGTTTAGCAGTAGCTACAGACCACACAGTTGGTGGTCCTAGTGGTTGGACCGTAGGAGCTAGTCTTGGAACTTGGGCTGCAGGACAAACATTTTCTGTTGGAGACAATCTAGGTAATCACTAATCACACATCTCTATAATAGTTTAGTTTAACTCTGTTTCAACATAAAAAAAAAAAGTAAAAAACTCTGTTTTTGCTCCATACAGTTTTCGCTTACCCTTCTGCATTCCACGACGTCGTTGAGGTCACGAAACCCGAATTCGACAGCTGTCAATCTGTTAAACCGCTTATAACATTTGCTAACGGAAACTCCATTGTTCCTCTTACTACTCCTGGAAAAAGGTTCATACTTTCACATACAAATCAAGACGAAATTGATGATTCATATATATATAAGTTCTTGATCAATCTTGTTCTAGGTACTTCATTTGTGGAATGCCGGGACATTGTACCCAAGGGATGAAACTCGAAGTAAACGTTGTTCCAACAGCAAACGCAGCACCAACCGCACCGCTTCCAAACGCTGTCCCATCTCTGAACGCACCTTCACCTTCTTCTGTTCTACCTGTACAACCCTTGTTGCCTCTTAACCCCGTTCCTGTTCTCTCTCCATCTTCTTCTTCTTCTTCTTCTTCTACTCCGCTTCCTTCCTCCTCTCTGCCTCTTATTCCGGCACAGTCACCGGCACTTTCTCCTGCGGCTCCGGCTGCGGCGGGGACTTCTCTGCCGTTGTTCCCGACCACACCTGGTAGCTCTAGCAGCACCACCACCAAAACCGTCGGGAGCTTCCCTTCTAGTGCTACTGGCCCGACGGCTGATCTTGCCGGCGCTGGAACTACTCCGGTTGACTCCTCCTCCTCTTCCACCGCCGCTAAAAGCATTGGTTTGGGATTCGGATTCATGGTCGCTATGATGCTTCATTTGTTCTAAGTGTTGAAGTACATAGACACATTGTGTTTGTGTTTTCTTTCTTTTGTTTATATGTGAAAATGCGTGTTGTTGTATATGAGAAAATGTGTTGTTTTTTGGTGTTCTTTTCTCCTGTGTATTTGTCATTGTATATCCTTATTTTTCATATATTATTACAATTTTTATAAATACACATATATTTCAAGGAAAACTAATATAGAGTACAATTTGTAATCTAGTATTACTATTACGCAGACCATAATCTAGTATGTTGAATACATATGAATTTTTTTAGCACTCTTAAGTGAATTTATAGGTCATAACAATATAAGCAAAAGAAAAATCTAGTTTGACATCTCATTTCACAAAAAGAAAAAAAAAAAACGAATAGTATCACATAGATATTTTATATATGAATTATGATCATTCTTCTTAGTTCCGGAAAATTACAAAACCAGTAATAGAAACGTGACTGAACAAAAAAGACAAATATAGGCAAGAAAATCATGGCCACGTTTTGTTGATAACATACCAACGCTTAGAAAGTTAGCAAATTTATGATCACGGAAAGAAAAAGAGAACAAAAAAACTGGTCTTTGTGTTCAGTAAAGCTTAATTTTGTGGGTAGTTTCTTAAAGCACAAGATACCATGACAAGCGTATTGCGGATGATGAACCCTAATCTGATCAACGGAACAAATCTCCACAAAGGATCTCCGATTTTAGTTAGAGCTGAAGAAAGCAAAAGACGAGTCCAATGGAGATTTTCAATCAAGCAAGGATCTTTAAGAACGCCACAAGCCACTGCTTCTTCTGAAGTGTCTTCCTCTACAACAGAGCCAAAGGTTAGTGATGACAAGAATCTTCGAGCCTTTTCTAGACAACTTTCAAGTTTTTGGTTTTGAATCTTAGACCATGAAAACGCAGGCGAGAGAGTTCAATACGACGACGTATGACGACAAAATGCTGACCAACTATGTTCCTGTCTACGTCATGCTTCAGCTTGGAGTCATAACGAACGATAACGTTCTTAAAAACGCAGAGAAGCTCAAGAAACAGCTCAAGAAACTGAAACAGAGTCAAGTAGATGGAGTAATGGTTGATGTATGGTGGGGAATTGTGGAATCAAAAGGTCCAAAGCAATATCAATGGAGTGCTTACAGAGACTTGTTTGAGATCGTACAAAGCTGCGGACTAAAACTACAAGCTATAATGTCGTTTCATAGATGTGGTGGCAACATTGGAGATGATGTGAACATACCAATACCGGAATGGGTTCTTGAAATCGGGGATTCGAATCCGGATATCTTCTATACGAACAAGATTGGTAATAGAAACAAAGAGTGTTTGTCTCTTTCTGTAGATAACTTGTCTCTTTTCAGAGGAAGAACAGCTGTTGAGGTATAAGAACCTCTTGAGTTTAAAAAAAAAACCCTTGCTTCCTATTGTATAATCTTGCTCTGTTTCAAGATGTACAGAGACTACATGAAGAGCTTTAGAGAGAACATGGAAGATTTCATTAGCTCTGGAGTTATAATAGACATTGAAGTAGGGCTTGGTCCTGCTGGAGAGCTTAGATATCCTTCTTACAGTGAGACTCAAGGATGGGTTTTTCCAGGAATCGGAGAATTTCAAGTAAGAAAAAGGAAATGAGACTCTTGATTTCATTAGGGTTTGAAAAAAAACAAAGCTTTATAAGTTTTTTGTTTTTCCATTGCACAGTGTTATGACAAGTATCTAAGATTAGATTATGAGGAAGAAGTTAGAAGAATCGGGCATCCGGAATGGAAACTTCCAGAAAATGCAGGTGAATACAACGATACTCCAGAAGAAACTGGATTTTTCGAGTATTCAGATGGGACTTACCTTAAGGAAGAAGGAAAGTTCTTCTTGTCATGGTACTCAAGAAAGTTGGTTCTCCATGGTGATCAGATTCTTGATGAAGCTAATAAAGTGTTTCTTGGGTGTAAACTCAAGTTAGCAGCAAAAGTAACTTCAAATCTTGTTGAGTTTATGTAAGACACAAATTGCATTAGAAAATAGAAACAAGATAAAGATTTAATGGTTTCTTGATTTTTTTCAGGTCTCTGGAATCCATTGGTGGTACAAATCCGAAAGTCATGCAGCAGAACTTACGGCAGGTTATTACAATCTGGGAAACAGAGATGGTTATCGTGAGATTGCGAGAATGATGCGTAGACATCACGCTATCTTGAATTTCACTTGTCTAGAGATGAAGAACACAGAGCAGCCAGCAAAAGCTAAGAGTGGACCTCAAGAACTTGTTCAACAAGTAATCAATTTTGATCTTAAGTAACAATACTTTTTGTATATATGATGCTACTTAAGTTGATTTTTTAAATGGTTGATTTTTAAAGGTTTTGAGCTGTGGATGGAGAGAAGGGATTGAAGTTGCAGGAGAAAATGCGCTTCCGAGATTCGATAGAGATGGATATAACCAGATTATACTAAACGCAAGGCCTAATGGGATTAACCGAGATGGTAAACCGAGAATGTTCGGGTTCACATATCTTCGGTTATCTGATAAACTACTCAGCGAACCAAATTTTGCAACGTTTAAGACGTTCTTGAAACGAATGCATGCGAACCAAGTAAGCAATCAAATAGGCTCTATGATAACTGTCTTTGCTTCAAGATTCATACAGCATTTTTTGAAGTTGTTTGTGTTGATTCATGATTCAGGAGTATTGTTCAGAGCCTGAAATGTACAATCACGAGCTACTTCCATTGGAAAGATCGAAAAACAATGAATCTTTGGAGAAGTTAATGGAAGAAACAAAACCAATTGATCCATTTCCATGGTTGGAAGAGACAGACATGAGTATTAGACCCTTTGAGAGTGTATTCTCTCTCTTGAGAAGCACATTCTTGTGGAACAATTCCTAGACTATGGACATAATATTACTGAGGTAAACATGTAATGTAAGTAAATAATTTGTTGACAAAAACAAAATATTCTTTATGGTGTAAATTTGAAGCAATAGTTTTGTATCAACTATATCTGTGAACATGTCGGTTTTCGGATTAGTGTTCAAACCACCACAAGTAGACCGATGTACGAAATAAATAATTCGAAATTATTTCTAAAATTAATATGTTTAACCTCTTTTCTTTTACAACTGTTAACATTTCAAATGACCCCAAAAACAAAACAAAAAACAAAACAAAGAAAAAAAACAAAAACAAAACAAAAATCGGCTTACAAATTTCCAGATGGTAACAAACTTGAGACTTGACCTTCATTCGGTTTATTAAAAGTTTTTATTTCTTAAAAAGAAAATATCTGTTTTTAATACGTTTTGTTTAGTCACACTACTTTTTTTATGTCGGCAATTCATTCATTAATCATCTCCGACCCACTCTAGATATCATCAAAATAGAATTTAGACTCTCAAACCTCACTCCATATTTCATTTTTAAAATGGAGTAATTAATTGGATTATTCTAAATATAAAATAAGAAATAGGTTACTGCAATTTTTTAAGTCATTACTCCACTTTTGGAGTAAAAAAATAGTGTGAAGTTGGAGTAAAACTCAACTCTGTTTTAAAAATTACTCTAAAATGAAGTAAAAAAAAATTGGAATTATACATTGAAGATTCTTAAATAACATTAGGGTACATTGTTCCAAGAAATCAAATAGTTGAGGAGATAGCCATACTACTTTAAAAAATATAATATGTCGAATTTGATTTAAAAAGTTTAAATTGGCTCGATTAAACAGATAGTATGAAAATTTGATTATGTTGGTTAGATTATAGATGATGACTTTACTGAATTTCGTAATAACGTCTGTGCATCTGTCTAGTGTCATTTAAAACTCTTTATGGATATTTTCTAGAATTCGAATTTCGAGTTTCGAGTTTTTAAAAATTTCCCGTGACAAGGAACATAGATGTGTCTGAACGTGAGAACGAGAGCATTGAATTAATTTCAGGAACCAAAGCAAAGACAAGATTCCATTTAACGTCATCATTATCACTTACTGCATTTTTAACCCCACATGCGACAACGGAGCGTGACATAAAGCTTTCATTTTTGTTTCTTCAAAATGACACGACTTTCCAAATTACAAAAGAGACTTCGAAATAAGAGAAACAATTCAAAAAAGGAAACAAAAAAAAGAAAAATGTACTATGTTAAATAATTAAAAATTGCTACACAATTACCATGGAACATACATAGTCAAGGACATGGAACATACATAGTCAAGGACAAGGACCCACCTGGTTCCAACACTTATCGTGAACTCTCTTTGTCACTTAGCAGCTTCGTCTTTAGCAGCAGTGGCAGAAACGTAATAAGCGACACAAAAGAGGGCATGAAGAAAACACAAGATCCCTCCAATGGAGAGAAAATGGTGATGTGTGAATCCACAAGAGGATCTTGACTTGCTGTTTGACATCGTTCCAATCACCAAAGCCCCGAATCCAACGGCGAACACGATCCTGTGGTTATCATACCATCCAATGAACACACACCACGTGTCATTCACATAATTTGGACCAACCACAATTATTATCAAATGCCAAGAAAGATTGTATTGAGAGAGGTTAACGACGTACCAAGTGAGGACGAGACAAGCCATGGAGATTTGCTTAGTGGAAGAAGATCTTTGAAACTCGTCTTGAGAGCAAATACAGAGACAGCCTCCGACCAAGTTGATGAGGACATGAGCCATTACCAATATCGCGGCTGCACCTAGACCGAGCCTGAACGCATCTTGGCTCGGCTCTCTACACTCTAATAACCATAGCCTCATGTGCTTCACCTGCAAAGTGTTATTTTCCAACAGATACTCCATTTAAAATTTAAAGTTCTTATAGATTAATTTTGTTGGATATTTTGTATACACGGAGGTCCTCCAAAAAAGAATATACATATTTAACACGTAATAAACCTTTTGCTTATAAATGAAAAAATTTAACCATCATTATCATCGTGTATTGGAGATAAAACATTAAATTCGAGAGAACATATTTTTTTTTTTTTAAAAAAAACCTGATTTTGGGAGACTTCTGCTTGGATTCCGAGGATTGCAGCAGCTACATCTAAGCCCACTATGACTAAACAAACAAGAATACCTCCTATCTTCGTCATTGTTTTTTGAACTCCCTACTAGGATTTGGTTTTGTTGGAAACACTTCGAGAAGTTTAAAGTTTAGAATGTGAATCAAGAAGAAGAGAGCCCTCTCTGTGAGGGAGAGAATATTGTTTGAAGAGGGAAATTAGAATGGGTATTGGCGTATTGCAAAGCCTACTGAGTAGTATTAATCTTTTATGACCAAATGGGGTGATATATAAAGAGTGGTAAGTAAAGGTGATTGTGAGTGTGAGAGAGAGACAGCGAGAAAGAAAGAAACTTAAGAAAACAACAATAAAAGTAGAAAATGAAATAAAAATAATTTTCTTGTTGGTGACCATGACATATAGTCTTGTTGATGAACATTATGTGTAGTTTATCTTAATATACTATTTTTTACAAACAAATCCTAGGAGTATTATTTTAAAATTATTTGATTATTTTTTACTATATATGTAATTTGATCCATTGTCAATTTTATTTTCACTAATTTATTCTAGATAACACGTATACTAAATTTATTTTCTTATTGTTTTTTAGGATAACTTTTGTTCAATTCTATTTTTATTCACATGTTTTTAAATCATATTGATAGATATCAATAGTTAACTATATCTTCTAATATATATTAATTAATTCTAGTGCATTGAAAATTTATATCATAGACTTCAAAGTTTAAATTAGTTCATGTGTTTCGACTTGCGTTTATAAGTCTACATGATTTAGTGAAATATATTTTTCGTTTGCTAATCAACAGATTTAGGATGAATTTTTTTATTGATATCTATATACAAATTTAACTATTCGAGTACTGACCGCATACCAAATCTCCAGTCACTAGTATATTTCAGTGAAAACGACATAAATCTAATTTTCGTTATACACAATGAAGACGATTATTTTGCTACACAAGTACATATAGCTTTAGCAAAGACATAAAGCTATTTCTCGTTTTACATATTAGTACTAATGAGAACCTAGCTAGTAGATATACCACCACCGAAAGGATTATCCGATTATGTAAAACAATTGATATAAATATTATAGGAATCAAAAACATAGAGAATATATAGGATTAGCTGGGATATGCATGTGTCACTTTGGCACCAAAGCCAATAAAGCTTCTTTTTGTCCATATGGAATGGCGAATTTCCTTTAGATTATATATTGCTTGCTAATTAATATTTTTTTAAGTGAGTAATATGATGTACAATACTCCCTCGGTTTTTTATTAGTCGTCGTTTTAGATAATTTTGTTTGTTTTAAATTAGTTATTATTTTCAGTTTTCAATGTAATATTTATTAGGTTTTTTATTTTTTAAAATTATTTTTATTATGCAATTTATTTTATTATTGGTTGAATTATGTTTAAATAGATAATTAATTATGTTTTTATATTGAAAAACTAAAACAATTAATATTTTCTTAATCTGTGTGAATAACTTTAAAACGATAACTAAATAAATCTGGAGGAAGTAGTTGTTTTTTTAGTTGCTTTTATTTATTTATTTAGTTTGGGTAAAAATGATTGGATTTTTTGTGTTGGAGAGGAAGAAAAGTGGGCATAATACAACCCAACCACGCGTGGCCAATGCCTTCACTTCTCTGTGAAAGAATCGAAATATCTCTTCTTTCATTTACACTAATTTTCTAAAGAATACAACGTGCATATGTATAAAATACTCTATGGAGGAGTTGAGAAAACATTTATCTAGTACTTGGGCAGTGAACAATCGTTAGTCGAGGAACTGATACACAATTACATGGAATCTTATACTAAATGCTAAAATGTGAGGGAGAGAGTATTTTTTTAAGAGGGAAATGAGAATGGGTATTGGAAAGTCCTGAGTGATTAGTTATCTTTTATGACCAAATGGGTTGATATATAAAGAGTGGTAGTAGTAACTAATAAGTTAATTGAGAGAGAGACTTAAAAAAAAAAAGAGCAGAAAATGAAATAAAAATATGTTTCTTGTTGGTGACCAGGACATATAGTCTTGTTGGTGAACATTATGTGTAGACTACAATAAATGTAAAACGACACAAATTCAATTTTCCTTTTACCATTAATAAGATCTACCAACATTTCTCCATCCACTTGTGTTCTTCTCTCCCTCCATGAAAAGAAACAAACACTAGATAAGAGTTACCATCAAACATTTTAGTAAAACTTTTCAATCATTTAAGAAAAATAGTTTACATTAATTTCAGTTTCTGTCACATTGCATAAGGAAAATAAGGTTATAGAAGTCGATGTGCAATTGGACAAGGAGACAATCCCGGCGAGGCTCTAATTTCCGCCATCACAATGTTCCTATTAAACAAACACAAAATACTTAATTTTATCTTTTTATCAACAAATATAAATGAAAAATCTTCTTATTTATACCCTAAACTATACATATTAATAATATAAATCTTTTTGTTCAGGCTTATATTTTTTTTATAAAGCAATTATTTTATGATTTTAGATGTATTCATTCAAAATATAAAGTTAAATTAAACTACCGCTAAAAGAACTCTACAGTTTAGATCACATTGTTAATAACATATAAACTCTATATAGATATTACATGACGGCTTACGTACCAAGCTCTCTTGAATCTGTAGCTGAACGAAATATGTTTTTTGGTTTTACGAGATTCTTTTGAGTCATTTGGTTTGGTATGTGCAAGTGAGAATTTCTCTTTTAAGTGGTTACTCTCTTCGTCGTCCTCCAAGATGGGATATAACGACGGGTGCCACCGTGTGGAGTTCCCACACGTACGTTGCTCTGAGTAAAGAGTTAGCAATCGCTGATTAATTGTTGATGATCCCTCTTCATTTGCCGTCGCATCGGAACGGTAACAATGGTTGAAAATAGAAAAAATCATTTCAAACTTGAAAAACGAGTTTGGAAAACAAAAACAAAAAATTTAGATAGTTAAATACTTAACTTTCTGTGATTTTGACATACGGGGCCATTTAAGGGTTTTTTATGTACTGAATGTTTTGTAACTGAAAATTTCAAAGTGATTAAACAGTTCCATTAAGTGATTAAACAGTTTCTGCTCATTTTAGGTGGTTTCTGAGATAAATTTAATTTTAATTTAACGCTTTGTTAATTATGTTAGTGAGTCTTCTAAAAACTGTTTATGTTAAATTGAAGAATCTGTTAGAATTTAGAAATCTCTTTGAAAGGAAACTTATTTTTATATCTACGGATACAGCTTCTCAGTTAGCAATTTAACTCTTGTACTGTATGTTCACTGATAATTTTGTATGTTGGTCTTTTTTTTTTATGTTGGATATATTCAACCTTTTATAGGTTTCATAATATTGTGCAGTGAGTCGTTTCCTTAAGATCATATGCATATAGTATTGTTGTTGTAAGTTGAAATTTTTTTAATTAGACCACTAAATTTATATACCACACACAAAAAACTTTATATATAAACCTAATTTCTAAGATGCATATAAGATATGCTATATTACACACAAATAAAATATAACATAGATATTATTACAAATCACACAAGCAACAAATCAAGGCTCAATACTTTTCTGGGACATGGATCAATATACATACTTGATTTAATTTGGTACATGAATACATGACGTAGGCCAGAAAATAGAGATCTCAAAAATAAAGTTGAAAAAAAAACATAAACAAGAAATAAATGGTTGATAACAAATAAAAATAATTCGAGTCCACGATAACCATAGAAAAGGCCATGAACAAAACTGAAAGTGTTGATGATTAAAGAGAAATTATCAAGCCCATTTGGCCAATACAGACATGAGGCCAGCACCAAGGAGGAGAGCAACATGGGCCATGATTTGAAGCCCAGTATTGGATTGCATCTTTGGGTGCATGAAATCTGCTGCGAGAAGGTCCACGAGAGACATGTAGATGAGAATACCTGCGGATGCAGCGTTCAACACTCCTTGAACGATCAGAGCCGTTGGAGAAGACTCATCGTACGAGTTCGCTATTACCATTCCCACAACGATACCTATTGGAGTCGTTATCGCGAAGAACGTCGACATTACTGTTACTGACAAACACTTGAATTTTCCCTGCATGCAACAAGAAAAAAAAAATATCGAAATCGTTATGTTATGACTTTTTATTGCTTTGCTATATGACTACTTATATACACGCGAATACTTTTATTTCCAACAAAACAGAATAAATAATCAATTTTTGGAACCATATACAAGATGATAAAAGTCAAAACGAACCGATATGTAATGACGCAACTCTTTAAAATATAAATGTTGCGAAATGTATACAATGTGAACTGAGTTTATATAGAATATAAATAATGGAGAAAAGATATACCTGAGCAATACAGCCACCAAGGCCAAGACCTTCGAAGCACTGATGAAACATCAAGGCAATGAAGAGAGCTTTTGCAGCTTCTGGACTCTGTGAAGCTCCAAGTGATATTCCTATTACCACTGAGTGTACTAATATTCCCAACTCCAATACCTATTTTGATTTTTTTTTTACACACGTAAATATCATTTCAGCTGAGATAATTTCAAACTTTACACTGCATTTTATTTCTTTCAAGAATTCAAACAAAAGAATATCACACAATGTGATGATTTTAGTTTTAGGGTTTTCCATTCCAAATATTGTTATTAAATATGATATGTTAAAAGGTTACAATGTACATGAAAAAGTTATTATTTGGAATTTTAACACTCAAAAACATGTGATGGTTTCTCTAGAGAATCAAATCTCACATGGTCCGAATCTAAGTAACCCGCGTTGGCGCGTTGACAACAAATAATTTCTCAGAAATGCATGAACTTGTAGTTTTTTAAAAAATAATATGTATATTATCCTGAACAAAGTTATTATCCTATGCATGCATTGAATTTTTCTTTAAGCTGTGTGTATATATTCAAAAAAAAAATTTCCCGTTTAGTTTTATTTTCACAAATTATCTGCTAACTAATTAGTACTAGTATGTTTATTGAAATACACAACACATTAACGTTGTGCGTTTCCATTTACGATTACGTTCGATTCGAAGCATGAAAAAAATGGAAATGGAAATTGCACTTTCATCTTCCTCTATCAAGTCATATAATTTGGCCCACAAAATTCAAAAACGTTCCTTTTTAATTAAATAAAAGAACAAAAACATCTAAACTAGAAAACGTGGAGCTCAACAAACCTGTGCAATAACTCTAGTCCGGAGAATCTGGACCTTGTCGGAATCGGCGGAGATCTCACCGGATTCTCCATCAGTGATCGTCTTCGACGCTTTAGAACGAGATTTAGAGAAACTCGAAGTCGCAAATGTATCAACAGATAGCGTCAAGATCGCAGCCAACATAGCAATGAAACCGGTGAACGGAAAATCCCATGCTTCCGACGTAAGACACGGCGAGTTAAGCATGACGTAAGCCTCAGGCAAGACGTGCATAAATCCGGTAGAGAGGATAACTCCGGCGGCAAAAGCTTTCGTGACGAAGAAGAAAGATGTCTCTGGACGCAGAGAAGGGAAGACTTTGCCTAAGAGAGGGAAAAGAACTCCGATGAATCCGGCTATGAGAACCGAAGGAATTGCGGCGATTTTATATTTCTGAGCTCCGGCTTTGTTGTCATGGTCGTCGTCGTGTGAGCATTCGCATTTAGGTTTACCGGAATGTGAATGGCCTTCATGGCCTCCGGCGGCTTCGACGACGGCGATCAGGAGGAGGGAGATGGAGACGAAGAAGAGTAAGAGTTTCATGTTCTTCATCATTTTGTATTTTTTTATGTTTTAGGGTTTTTAAGCGGGGATATTTGGATTCTTGATGATGAAATGAAGAAATAAAATGGTATGGAATATGGATGTATATGAATGTGTATATATATGTTTTATGAATATCATATAAATCTGTGCTCATCTCTTTTTTTTTTTTTTTTTGGTCATTCATTAGCAAGATATGAGCTAATGAAACTAAACAATGATTGTTGAATTTATGATTTTATATCTCGTTTATTTCGTCTTCACTAATCTTTTGATAGCAAAAGTCAATATTTTTTAGGAAGTATGCAATATATTACATGAGCAATATTTAATTGTAGAGAATCTGATCAGAAAATTTACCTTTCAAGATCTACATGGTATTACGCAATAGTTATATATGAAGGTAAAATATTGGTCCCGGAAACGTATCAAAATGGCTTATTGTGGCTTACATATAATTACATTGGACAACCGTTGCACATGAACCAGTCTCGGTGTCTATTCCGGACCAAATATTTCCCATAAAACCCTCGCCTTTTGTTCTTGATAAGAGATTTCGTTTCCAATTTTTTTTTTTTAAACCCATTTTTCAGTCAAATAGTAACATTCACAGTTCTAACAATATATGCATAAACAACCAAATATCTTGTTTATTTAACTTCACACATTTTAAGTTTTCATGCAAACCGTTTAGTTTTTTGCTAAATTGTAAATATTCATTAAAATGAAATGTTTAGGTGTTACAAATTGAGTTAACAATCGATCGACTTAAAATTTTTGGTCCCATGGCAAAAAAGAATAAAAAACATGAAAGCAAATTCAATCGGTACTTTTCCTACACTGAAGCTCAAAAGCAACAGGAATCAAGTAGCGATAAAAAACCTGAAAACCCGAAGGAAAGATGAGACCAAGCTAAAGTCAGGAGCAAACCGTTCAGTTCGTTTTTCTTAATTTCTGCATGTTTTTGTAACATTTTTCTCCTAATTAGACAACTAATCAAAGAGTCGGTTTTAACTACACGTGTGATAAGAAAAAAAAATAAACAACCAAAAACACTGCTGTAGTTTTGTTTTTTCGTGGTAAAATCATACAATGGAAAGACAATTCTATTTTGTTATTTGATGTTCGATAATATTGGCCGCGCTTTTAATATAGATTTGGGAGATTTGTTAAAAATGTACAATTCTATTTTATTACTAGACCTTAAATTAGTTCGTCAATTTGTATTATTATATATTATATAATATATTATTTTCATTATATACTTTATATTTGATCAAAACAGAAAAAAAACATAATTTTTATTATGTAAAAGTTGGATATGCGTTTAACATGACGATAGTTTTAACTTACTAAGTTGTGACATGTGATAATGTTAATTAAAAATCATGGCATGTATTAATATTATGATACCAGAAATATTCTTATGGAACTCAAATCAGAGTGGAAACTTCAATGTGTTTTTCATAATGGTATAGATTTTCACACAATCACTATAAATTATTATATGGTTTCAAGTAGTAAAGATATATAAAATTTAACCATTGTTACACACACAAAAAAAAAACCCTAGTAAAGGAAAATGAGTGCATCGTAAACGTGGTCGAGAGCGACTATTATGAAAGAACAAAAAATGGTTTTTTCTTTTACGGATTGGATTTCTTATTAATTTAGACTCGTTCAGACACGTCGTCACGAGTAGCCTGGTTTCCGAGACTACTTTTAATAATAAAATATAGAAAAGATGACTAAAGATGTAAGATAAAGAATATTTCTTTGTTTCCTTTTCAAAAAGGATGGCGAAAGAATGTCGACATAAAATGTACGGACCTATATAGCACACAAGTTGACTCCTCTCTAGCTTGAGAAAATAATGGAAATCAAGCTTAAAGATATTAAGTCAACCTCTAATTATGTCGATATTATGGCTCATTTTACACTCCATATGTGTTTTTTCCATATGATTCTTATTGTTTAGTGTATATTTTGATTTAGATAACTGTTTTGACGCAGTTATGTATACGCATAATTTTTTGAATACAGATTATCCTATGATTTTTTCGGTTTAATATAATAATTATTTTATTTGTCAATGAACACTATCATAATTAATTATCCTATTAGTCTTTATACAAATATGATAATTGTATAATCTATTATAGTACAATTTTAATAAATTTTCATATTATTTTATTATCCGTCAAAACATTTTTTTTTATATACAAATCAGCTTTGTTATTTTATATACGGTTTGATTTCTTTATATTTCTTAACTTTTCTTAGTTTTTCTTAAAATATTAGTTTTCCAACATAAAATAACTGTTTTGAAGTGACTAATTATTTTGAAATCACATTATTACAAATTGTATTACCACTAATATTTGGAAATTTACAATACTTATCCTAATGTTAGCATATACGAATACTTAACCAAAATAAAATATTAGTGTATATATTAACATCACAATCTATGGTCAAGACTTAAACTTGTTGTACATCTTTATATAAAAAACTAAGATGAGCCTAAGTTTTCCCAAAAGACAATTAATATCTAATGTTGTCTAACTAGTTAGAGGGCCTGACATAGTAATTCATTTGAAAACCATTGTTCAAGAAAAAACCCGTAGGAATTTATCAATTTTTCTTCACACAGAACAGCAATTGGTTTTAATCATTTATTAATCCCGATATTTATGATTAACTTAGCTAGTTATGTGTGGGACAAGCTAAACCTCGAATCTCTCTATTCTCTACTAATTGCCTTTTCGTAAAGCTGTATTACTTGATAAACCGAAATAATGGTCAGGATAATTAGTTTGTAAAGCTAAACTCGAATCTCATGCGTTGGTGTTTAATTTGTGGTTCAATCTAAAATACTTGCTAGTTTTTGTTCTTTTACAAGAAACAAAGAAAGAGAGATTGTTTTGAGCTATTTTACTGTTCTTTCTTAATAATAATTCAATAAAAGAATGATCTTTCTAACCTTTTTTTGACTGGCTAACTAAATATAAAACACCAAAAATCAAACCGTCGGAAAATAAAATTTCTCAAATATTTAGACTTGGTAACCTAAAAAAACATTAACAAACAAATACAAGAACCGACCAACTCGTATTTCAATTTAACGGTTGAGTAGGAACATGGAAGATTGAAGATAGCGATGTTTAACTTATGACACACGAATCATTGACTTTTCCCTGGTTCAGACATTTGCATTATTACTTCATAACACTTTGCCCATTATACAAAGAAAAAAAGATGAAACAAATGATACAGATGATACCAAGTAGCGAAAGAGAAACCATGCGTATACAAAAATCAACAAAGATGAGACAACTCACCGAAGACAGGCACCCACGTTCGAATTTTCAACACACACACGCATCAAACACACACTCTCTCTTTCTAAACATTAATATTACATGTTGAGTGTAGATGCATTTAACTGACGGAGAGAGATAGAGAGAGAGAGAGAGAGTGAAAGGCTAATGGAACTTAGTAGAAGTGGTCATGAGTAAACTAACCTTCGGTTTCTGCAAACCAAACTTGTTCTTACTTGTTGTCTTTCGCATCCGTCTTAACGGTTTTCTCTTTCTCTTCATCAACTTCTTCCTCATCGTCATAGTATCGTTCATCTTCATCCTCGTCGCTTCCCATGTCATGGTCGAAGTATTCTTCATAGAATTGATCGTCGGTGTCATCAGCCTCACCGTTCTCCAGCCTGTCTCTGGAAATTTGTTTGATTAACCTCTCTTGGATACTGTCTCTGATTGCAGTTCCCTATCAATATTTTTACGCATTTGCCATCTTTGATCAAAGGTTATACAGAACATGAATATTGACTTATTAACGCATGTGCTGTTAGTTAATAGTATCTTTACGATTTTACTTACCATCTTATGGCAACCTTCTTCAAATATTTCAAGAAATCCAGCGACCCATCGATCTGCATTCTCTACCCACTCGTTGCGCAGCATTTTTACAGTTTGTATCTGGAAAATCCAGGTTTAGAAATTAACAAAGGAGTAAGAACAGAGAATTGAAAAACTTATAATAAACTTCTCCGGGACCAGCTTGTTCAATATACAAGATGGATATCGTGTATAGACCTAGTCATCAGAGATCATATTACTAGCTAAAGCATGAGAGTGTACGGAGGTTTCAAGCACAGAATACACGTGTTCAGGCTGCTATTACAGGGATGAAACTAATTAACAAGCCTGGCTCTACTACTATACATATAAAGAAGTAAATCCTGTTGGTAGTTCAAAGATTCAAACATGGAAGGATTAACAAGCATCACTTTTCATTGTAATTCTAAAACCCAATAAACACAAAAATAAGATGCAAAAATAAATTCAAGAGATAGGAATGCTTATTTTCTAAAAGTTATTTACTAAACAGAGTATTAGAGTCCTCGAAGAAGTGAACGAGCTTCAGTTTAAGAAACGTTGGACTGAAAACGCAATACAGTAAGAGCGGTTTCCAAACAGTCAAGTTCGAGGGGATACGTGTATAAGGAGACACAAGACCTAAAATTTAGTTCATTCTCCTAGTAACCTATTATGACCAGCTTATTTTATAGAATGCAATACAGTCAAAACGATGTTTATGATGATCAATTAAGCAAATGGAAGTTAGGAGAAGACATGCCTTTTCTCCCACTCTTTCTTGTTGTTCTTTGACCCTCTCCTGAAGTTTCTTTAGCCTCATATTAACCCTAAGCCTCTTTTCCTGTTGCAAATCGACAAAGCCAAAGTTGACTCCTCCAAGTGAAAAATTAGCAAAAAAAAACAAAAACGAAGAGGAGGTAAGAAAATGAAGTCATGCCTTGACAAAGCTAACTCCAAGATCTTCCCTTGAATATCCTCTATCCAGATTACGCATGACATACTGGTTGTAATCTTTCACTATTCTCATTATTATGTCTGAGGTAGATATTCCTTCAGTTCGCATTGTTTCCTTAAACCTCCCAACTTTCTTAACCTGCATCAAATGCTCGGTTAAACCAGAAATACAAAAGTGTCAGAAGCAGGAGTATTATGAAGATTCTCCCAACTCACAAATTCATAGACATCTTTTCCAGCTCCGCTGGTGTCAGCATACCTGCGGATGATATTAATTCAAACAAATGTTATTGTAGTAGTTCGTGAATCATCTGTACATGAAGAGCATAGCTAGCAAGAAGGTAGCAATAGGTGAATGCAATAATACTTAAGTTTCGACAATTTCTAAAACTAAATCAAGACTCTCAACTAAGAAACATGTTCTTACGGAAGGGAATCATGGGCTACATAGTCAATCCGGTGATTGTCAAGAAACTCTTGGTTGATCACCCATGGTGCATCCGGGATGACTTCATCCACCCATCTGTAAAGTAAAATAAACGTGTCCTGAAATTTCATTCGTTGCCACATCCATGGCTTTTACTAAAACACATACGAAACAAAAATAGGAGAGAAGACAATTACTTGCAATGTCGAAGTGATTCATATCGCTCTTCTGCAGTCATTACAGTCCTTCCCTTATACTTATGGGTAGTTTCATCGTTGCAACATCCAACAAGAAGGTAAGTGTTTGGAAACCTGCTCAACCAATAAAGAAATGGCAAAACCATAGCACACCATAAGAACACGAAACCATTACTCTAATTTATTCACACACACAAAAAAAAATTTAACTCCTCTAATACAAAATCAAAATTGAAGCACGATAATCCAGAAATTTAATCTATTGCAAAATTCTAACAAGCGAAACATTTACAAAGAGACCCACAAAAATCACACACTAAATTCCACCACAGTGCTTTGCAAGTAATATCAATCAATCAATACAGATCAATTATCACAGAGATCATCTATTCATGAATATTTCACTCGACGAAAATAAAAACTGCACAGCTTACAAGGAACCCGACTCTATAGATCACAGACAAATAACACTGAGACGGCGAAAATTGAGCAAGCGCGGAGGAAAAAACAAAAATCGAATCAGGGATGCAAAATAGGAAAAATTATCTCCGAGAGATAAGAAGTACTAACGATTTCTTGGCTTGTTCGAGAGATCGAGCGTGACCAAAGTGGAAAAGATCGTAGATCCCATCGGCGTAGACGCGGACCGGACGATCAGTGGGAGGCGAAGTCTGGACGGCTGCAGAGCCGGAGACTGCGACGCCGGTCGAAAGGCCGTCGTCAGTGCGATCGCCGGTGACGTTGCTCATATTCTCCGATGGAAGATCCGAAATCACCCGCCTTATAATATAAACGGAAAACTACAAAAAAAAAGTGCTAGTCGCTTCCCTCTTCTCAAACCATTTTTTGCGAATAATATCCTCTTGCGACGGAAATACTTATTTATTTTTAGCTCAAACCATTTAATGATTTTTTGCATCTTAATTTTAATTTCTCACTAAACTATTTGAAATCGAAAAGAAAATGTATTTAATTATAACGTCAAAAGAGAATAACGAATCAGTCGAGAGTGTATGTATATATTACTCTCGGGCGTGGCACGCACAAGTAAGTCAGTGACCAAGTCCAGTGTTGTGTAAAATGGCCCTCAAGGTCAACGAAGGTTGTCTATAACTTTGAATGGTTACTAAAAGTCTACCGACATGATAAGAAGAAAATGTGAATACACTTTTATTCATATCTTTCTCATTCCGCAAAATTATAAGCAAGAGTTACCTCAAACCCAATTCCAGAGATTACTGTACAAAAAGCATTCCAATTTTTTTTACAGAAATGAAAAAAAAAAAAGAAGAAGAAGAAGAAGCAATTCTTGAAGCTTGTTATGTTAGGGGGACAAACGGTGATCATTACGGATGGCTCGGACCAGAGCCCTGAAACTGTGAGGACTCCATTGTCTACCCAAACAAAGACCACAAAAACATGTAAGCAACCCTTAGAGATAGAGGGCTAATCACATTTTCTACTCTAAACAGAGGAGTTATCGCAGTCTCAGTTCAATCTTGAATCAAAGTGATAAAAACCCGACAAGGAAGAAGTCAAGATTGTCAAAAGAAATCATTATGCGGAATTGAGTTTGTTTTCTTTTTCTTTGTTCTTTTGTGGCGTTAAGAGTGTTATCTTTACTTCTTATCTGATCTGAGTTTAAATAGCAAATACATACCATTTCGTGTAGAGTTTCTTCGATGTCATAGCTGCCACGGATAGCGCTTCCCCTGAAACCCGTCTGTCCCTGAAACTAGACAATCCAGAAAAAGAATAGGATCCTTCTTTCTTACAACAATTTCACTCCGGAAGGAAAAAGATATGTCTAAGCAAATATACTAAAATAGCATAAAACATCAACTTACATCTCCTTGGATGCTTGGTTGTGTTTCATATTGATTCATCCGTCCAGGAATTGAATGCAGGTTTCCCTTAAATCATACACAATATGGTTATCAATCTCATCCTTAACTTTAAACTACCAAAACACCTCATCGGACCATTTCAAGCGACTAGATATTGGTCAGGGATGTTTTAAGAAAAGCTTGGAAACTAAAAGAAAGACAGATAAAGCATTTTTACCATGGCTTGTATGGTTGGTGGATGTCCGTAGTAACCATCCTGGATGGAAGATACTGATGCGAACTGCCAGAATAACAATAAACTTTTAATAAAACACAATAAGATATAAACTGTTCAAGAAATAAAATGAAAAAGTTACAGAAGTGCTGTTGAAACGCACTCCTTGGATAGTCTGTTGAGCTGGATAATAGATCCCAAGAGTTGCTGCACGGGAGCTTAGTTCGGTTGCTTCCATATCTGCTTGAGGAATGTAACAGTTCTCAAAGGTAGGAGCTCTGGAGCTAACTTGTTCCTGCATATGAAAAGAATGTGTATTTAGTTCAATAAATGCCGAATGGTCAATGGAATAAGTAAATGTATTTTGATTAAAATAATTTGTTATGAGTAACACTGGAAAGAATGAGAGATTTTAGATGTAATGACATAACACGAACCGGATTACTAACGGTCTCTTGGCGGAGTTCTTCTGACCTGTTTGTTGCATCCTCTGGACCACAGTATGCCTTTTAACACAAGAAAGTCCATCAGATCTTTCCGCTAGGACTAAGCAAACTACAAATAATCTCATTAGATTGATGATCAATCTAAAAATCACCTTTCTTTTCTTCTGAATTTTCTTTTTCCTGGAGAATTTTGAGCCACAGTCCAACATACCTTCGTTATCTAAGCCAATAGATCCACTTGTCATTAACCTTTCCGGTTCCGAAGGAGACTTGGGAGAACTATGCACACTAACACAGTTCTTCAAGGTTTCCTCCAACAACTTTATAGCGGTCATATAGGCTTCATCTGATAAAGATGCAACTTCTCCAAACTTGACAAAGCGCCTACAAAGATCATCAAAACGTGCCATTCGGTCATGTATAGTGGCACATTTTTCGTGTTTTTCTTCTCTGTTTTCACCGTTCTTTGACCAGCGCTTCAATATATACTGAGGTGGAATGCAAGAAACATCAGAGTTTTGAAGTACGAGTATTGCATGTTTGCAGAGGAATCCCTGGTACTCGAATAAATGACAAGAGCAATACATATCCAACAACTCTTTGTTCAAAGAAACGAAGAAACTTTGGCGCTTTTCGAAATCTTCAACACAGAATATTTCTGTTGTCCCATCTTCTCTTTCTTTTTGAAGTTGACAAGAAACAACTCCCAGTACCTCAGCTTGGAACTTCTTAAAAGCAGCGTCTGTGTAGATTAAGGAAAGTTGTTTCTCGAAAGCCAAAGAAGACCTCAATGTAGGCTGTTTGCTCTGAGATTCAAGATCATCCTTTGCTTCCACATCACATCGATATTGCAGAAATTTCATGTAGAGTTCAAAGAAGTCCTTGAATGTAGCCTCTGAGTTCATATACTTGTCGAAATGAGAGGCGATACTTCCAGATCTTTCAGGTCCACACATTCCAGCTAAACAAATTCCGTGAAAATAATGAGGCACCCACTTTTTCCGATCTTTAAACAACGAGTGAACCCACTCATTCTTGCTAAGTTCAAATTCACCAATCATGTTTGACCAACTCTTTTCAAATTGTTCATCTGTCAAAGAGCTGTGCACGCAGTTCCTGAAACTTTCCATAAAACCGTCATCTTGACTCACAAAAGGATTCAGCATATCAGGGATTTTACTCATTACATTCCATAAACAGAAACAATGACGAGCACTTGGAAAGATTTCAACAACAACGTCACTTAGAAGCTTATCCTGATCTGTTATAATCACTCCAGGAGCTTGACCTCCGACTGCTTTAAGCCATGTCCGAAATAGCCAGGAATATGTTGACTCACTCTCTTCTCCAATCAAAGCACATCCAAGCAACACATACTGACAATGATGACTAACCCCGACAAAAGGAGCAAATGGGATTCTGTATTTGTTCCTAACATAAAACGTATCGAAGAGAACAACATCAGAAAAACTACAATAGTCGTGTTTGGCCTTTGCATCAAGCCAAAACACATTTCTAATCCGTTTTTCACTGTCGAAATCCACTGCATAGAAAAAACCAGGCTGCTTTTCCTGCATGTCCGTAAAATGCTCGAGCATTAGCTTCAAGTCTTCCTCTTCTAGAGACACTTGAAGGCCTTTCTTTTGATGTGCTAACGCACCAGCAGGCTTGTTCTTTCCCCTTAAACTAATATAAAAATCATCTGGACAGATCTCATGGTTATGTTCTTTTACGAAATTATATATAACCCATTTCTCGTCTTCCTTCCTCTTCATATGCAGACCAGCTTTGCAGCCCGTTTTTGGACATGACCGTGGGTTTATAGCTGCGTTTGACTCCCGCTTGGTTCCAAATCTCGAACACGCTATTTTGACATCAATAAACTTTCCCGACCGTTTTGAACGACGGCTAGCTTTTATTGTGATGCCAAATCCCACTAAGCGAGCATATTCCCTGTAGAAATAGTACGCAGACTCCTTAGACTCAAATTCAAGGCCATTTCTCAGATCACCAATAGTTGCAAACTGCTCTATACTGCGAGCAACGTTCCCACTCGTACTTGCCTCACAAAACTCATCTACATTGCCACTTCTTGTTAGAAGATCTATTGCGACATCTTCAACATCCATCTCATCTAAACTATCAGGACCATCAACACCTACACATTGATCCAATTTGTTCAAGCTCTATTAATGAGACGGAAGTTCAAGATCAATCTCCAGAAACATAGTTTAGACTGAGAAATGCAGTGACATATTATTAGTTACCAAAAAAAAGCAACAAATCCGGAAGATACAATGTTCGATCAAACACATGTAAAGCAGATAGCATTGAGCAGAAACCATAACACAAGTACAACTTAACACAGCTCCAATTCTCCAACTTTATTAACCGAAAAACTAATTAGACTAATATTTCCACAGTTCGAACATTTTGAGATTTTCTGATTTCAGATATCCAGCAATTGAATACTACTAATTAGTGCATCCCACGATCATGGATAATCCATAGCACAAACGCTCTAAGATCGGACCAGAATCCATTTCAACCTCCTACTTCAATCTCTAAGAAAAAAGGTGCGAAACCCGAAAAAAATCAAGAAGTAAGAAAACAGATAGCCAAAATGCGAAGTTCAAAATCAAACCTCTCGAGTTCAAATTTTCTCCGTCGTCGTTCTCTAATTTAGCTTCTCTGGCACAGAGGTGAACAAGAAGAAGAGCATCGTTTTGCGAGTGACGAAAAAAACTGAGAAAATCGTTGCTCAACTTTTTCCCTATTGACACATCGAGGTTGACATCTGTCACTTAAATCTTAATAAATAAATTTTAATATTAAATTTTAAAACATTAAAAAAAAATAAAAAAGCTCATTTTATTAATTGACTTTAACTAACATTTATATTAATATTAAACAAAAATCTATGTTATAACTAATTAAAAATATTAATAGATATGTATTGAATTTTTATATAACAGTAGATTACTTAATAATATTTAATATGTATTTTAAATTAAAATTTTAAAATTATTTATAATAAAATACTAATAAATAACAAATGAAATGATGATTATATTAATTTTAGTTTTCTTATTAATTAATTATTAATTAATATTTGTATAAATGTTAAATAAAAATTTATGTTATAACTAATGAAAAATATTGAAAAATATTTATTAATTTTAATATAATTATAAATTATTAAATAATATATAATATGTATTTTAAATTAATATTTTAATATTTTAAAATATAATATTAACAAGTAAGTAAATAACAAATGATGATTATATTAATTTTTATAAATATATATAAAAAAAATTTAAATAATTGAAAAGAACAACTCACACGTAATGTGCGGATATTCACCTAGTTAGAATAAAATGTCGGAAACTAAACTTCTTTAAATTCCCTGCAGCGAAAGAGGGAGGACATTACGCCACCGGTACAATTAAGAACCGAGCGCTGACCGGAGAGAATTTAGGATTTTTTTTTGCATTCTGAATGTTCGGGACTTCGGTTGATTGTCTTCAGTTAATAACAAATAGACCCTTTTAGTTTTCTATTGTTTTGGAAAAGCTCCACGTTAAGAAAAGTGTAAAGACAGCCACTTACATAATTGAGGCTGATGTGGCTTATTCTCAATCTTGAACTGGCCCTGTTTATTTTATTTTTTTATTTATTTCTTTTTCTACATTTCTTTTATTAAATATATGTTTATCTCAATCTTGTACTGGCCCTGTTTTTTTCTTTCTTTTTTATTTCTTTTTCTACATTTCTTTTATTAAATATATGTTTATAAGATTTCATATATAGTTGTATGTTGTTTTGTTAAAAATTTATTTTTGTTTACTATGATGTTATTGGGACTTCAAATATAAGAGTTGTTTAAATTTCTAACTTGTGACCTTTTCAGTTTCGTTTCATATTATCTTTTTTAAATGTGACTGAAATGTAAAAGTCTGGAAGACCATTGGCTACGTTTCTTTGAATTTGACCCAATGCAGAAGTTTCGATAGCCGCCAATTTGGTTAAGTTGACCACCTTTTAATTCTTAATACTTCCTTACATTCATACAGAAATAAATGTTTACAACTTATAAGTCAATTTACATACTCTAATCCATTTCAAATTGTAAATTGTGCCTTTGACGAACACTAACTTTTTTATGTACATGGATCTTCGTAATTATTTAACTTAACCTACTGTTTTGCCGACCAAGAAAACACCTATGCAATAGTATTTTAATTTCACACCACCGATTCACCATTTATAAAAGTGCATGAATTTACTTGCAACTATTCATTATCTAACATTATATTATTTTCCTTACGTACTCAATCGGTTGAACCAAACACAATTGTATTGAATTGTTATTTGTTACGTAATCAAAGTGCACAAGTTTTGGTACTGATTTTAGATTCATTGTTGTGTAGTCATAATGGAAACTTTAGTGACGATTTCAATACGGGGACGATTCATTTTCTTTTACTCAACTTGGAAATGAAAAGTTCTGTAAAACCAACGTGATGTGAATTTTGAAACCAAAACAAATTAAAAAAAGGGAGGTGAAAGTGTCTCTATTAGGGGGAAAAGAAATGCAAATAAAAGCTGAAGGGTCAAATCTAGAAGAAAGAAATATTAAAAGAAAGAAAAGAGTTTTCAAGGTGAGGACGGTTTGGTCGGTCGGTGGCTCATTGGTGTTTGTGGGCCTTCCTGCTCTGCCTTTTCCGTCCAGCCAGCCATTCAAGCCACCTCCTCTCTTTTTGTTTTTCTTATGTTCTTTCCAAATTACAAATATGCCCTTCCTTTTAGTCTTTTGTTTTGATTTGTTTTTTTTCATGATCTTAATTTGTTTCTTCCCAGACTTCTAGTACAGAGATTATGAAAATATGAGTACATAAAATAAATATAGGAATTAATTAATTGTGCAAGTCTGTGATATTTTTACTGAGTTAAGAAATGAAATTCTTAAGAAGATTATGCATAGAGATGATTTATTAAAAGTTATCTTAGTTCACTATTTAAATCTGTGATTAATATAGGACATTGACTACAATTCTAAATTTTTGGTCATTAATTAATGAAATGAAAGCTAATAATAATCGGGTTATGCCATTTAGGGGTAAGAATGATAATGACAGAAACAAATGGGGGAGAATGGGAAATAAAACAAAATTGACGGTCTCCTCGTCCGCCAGATTTGGCTTTCAAAAAAAAAATATGAATCGTCCCCACACTGTCCACTTTATAAACCCTAAAAGATTCTCTTTCTCTCTCACACCCAATTTGCATTTCTTCGTCATCATCTACTCTTTCTTTCTTTCTGCATTCTCTTCATTTATTTTCCCCAATCAATTTTCCCAGCTTGGATAAAAAAACGGTAGTAGTAAAAGAAAAATCCAAATAAGGAAGAAAAACAGAGTTACATTTCAGATTCAGCAGCTTCACTTGGTAAGCTCTTTCACCTTCCTCCTCTCTTTTTCTTCCTACAAATTTGTGGGTTTGTGTTCTAATATTTAATCCTTTTGATTATATTACGTTATTATGTCTTTTGGTTTACCTTTTCTGGATTTCTAATCGACCACAAATCTTTTCAGATCGTTAATTTTCAATTTTCTAATATGGGTTTGTAGAAAGTTTTGGTTCGGTAGCTTCTTCTTAGTTACTGATCGTATCATTTGTTTAATTTTGAAATTGATCGATCTAAGCTGCTTGTCTCTCTGTTTTGATCTCTGAAGATCGAAATCGTTTGCGATTAATCGCTTCTCCTACGGCAGATTCGTCAGATCATTTTCTAGTACTAGTAGTGTCCAAACTCAGGATCTAGTTTTGTTGTTTACTTGACTTGAGCGTTATATAGAACACTAAACGCTGAATATTTAGTTTGATGTTTAACTCTTTGATTGTCGATATAAGTTTGAATTTCTTAGAACATAGTAATAAGTTTTATCACCAACCTTATTTTAATTACCAGATCAAACTTTAAATATTTAATACAAGGTAATTAGGAACATGCCTTCTTTGTTTTTGGTGTTAAGCTTGCAGCTTTTAACAAAACAAAAAAGCTTACTTGCAACTTTACAGATACGTCTTTGTCTATATAGGCAACGATTAGACCAATTTGGTGTACAAATGAAGAAAAACTTATCCAGGATTAGGAAAATTCCTATTTGGTCGAATATTCTTTGGTTTAATACAATAAGATAGAAAATGAAATTTTAGTTGGAAATTAGAGCAAGCGAAAAAGATGTTTGTGATCCATCTAGCAACCATGATGGCCCCTCCCCTTAAGATTTAAAATTAATGGGGTTTTGCTTTTATTCATTTGGTATTTTATCCTAAAATTTCGTATGATCTACTTGAAAATATTCTTAAAAAAAATTATCATCTAGCGTTACAAAAATAAAATACAAATGAGTTCTTTGTTTTCTTGTTCTAAAATACTGGCCCACGAGTCACCGCTGCATCTGGTCGGCGTACCTTTCGGTTCTTTTTTTTCCCTGTAATATATTTAGTCACATATAATAATAGTGTTTTGTTATTTAAATTCTTAAACAAAATTGTAATAATTTTCATGGATATTTTGTGGGCATAATGAGATCAATTTTCTATACAAAAAGAAAGAAACTTTGATGTTGTTGGTTTGGTGGACACTTTACACCTTACTTATCTTTAATTTGTTTGGTAGGGCTTTATTAATATAATAAGCATACCTTATTCATTGTGCCGTGGTGGAGATTGTTGGTTGTTAAAAATGTTTTAAACTCTGATAACATCACATGCTATGGCCCAAAGTACCTATTGATCTTTGTCTTCTCCAGATTGGTTTTGGATTCTTTAGCTTTATGAACCTCTATAAGTACGTCATTTCTTGTAAAAGATGAAAATAAACGAAATTAGAAATCTACTATTGAATTGGTATTTCAATTAGTTGTAACGAGAGATGATGTATTCCTGTTGATTGTCACAATAAATATCTTATAATATTTGTTTTCTATCTAACTTTTGGAAACTGGCTTTCTTTTTCTTGCAAGCTATTCTTGTCTTTTATTTATTTATTTATTTGTGTGAAGAATTCCAATATCATCTGATATCATCTTCGTATTTCTTCTCATGCGAACCACATTTTAATATTCTGCAGAACCAAAAGTAATCGAAACTGCTCAAACATAGTATGGAGGAAACAACTCAAGTAGCGAGTTCCCAGGTCCCTGTAGTGAAACCTGGTGATGATGACCTTAAGACAGTTGATGTTGCCGTCAAGGTATTGATCATTTAGTTTCGCAGAATTATATGTTTGCTCATTTTGACTATAATGGATTTTTCTTTCTGTAAATCGGTGTATGTCTTGCATAAGGTTTTACTTGTTTTAGCGTATTGAATTTGCCGTCTCTCTTTATAACTTCTTAGTACCACTAAAGATGTAAGTAAATGATGTGGAAGAATTAAGTAGTTCTCGATCTGTTGCAGACTGTGAATGGGGAAGTAACAAAGGATAGGAAAGAAGAGGAAGACACAACATTAGATGGCGAATTCATTAAAGTTGAGAAGGAAACTTTTGATGCCAAGGATGATGCTAAGAAAGCAGAGCATGTTCCTGTTGAAGAGCAAAAGCAAGTTTCCATTGAAAGAAGCTCGAGTGGTTCACAAAGAGAACTACATGAGTCACAAGAAAAGGCCAAGGAGTTAGAGCTCGAATTGGAAAGAGTGGCAGGGGAACTGAAACGGTATGAATCTGAGAATACCCACTTGAAGGACGAGCTTTTGTCTGCGAAAGAGAAGTTAGAAGAAACGGAAAAGAAGCATGGAGAGCTCGAAGTCGCTCAAAAGAAGCAGCAAGAGAAAATTGTTGAAGTGGAAGAGAGACACAGCTCTCAGTTGAAGTCCTTGGAAGATGCTTTGCAGTCCCATGATGCCAAAGATAAGGAACTAACTGAAGTTAAGGAAGCTTTTGATGCATTGGGCATAGAACTCGAGAACTCACGAAAGAAGTTGATAGAGTTGGAGGAAGGGCTAAAACGTTCAGCTGAAGAGGCTCAGAAATTTGAAGAGCTGCATAAGCAAAGCGCTTCTCATGCTGACTCTGAGACGCAGAGGGCTTTGGAGTTTGCACAGTTGCTTGAATCGACGAAAGACAGTGCCAAGAAAATGGAGGAAAAGATGGCTTCCCTGGAACAAGAAATCAAGGAGCTGAATGATAAGATTTCTGAAAACGAAAAAGTTGAAGCGGCCTTAAAGAGTAGTGCGGGAGAATTAGCTGCCGTGCAAGAGGAATTAGCACTTTCAAAATCTCGTTTGCTGGAGACGGAACAAAAAGTGTCTTCCACAGAAGCCCTCATTGATGAACTGACTCAGGAACTTGAGAAGAAGAAAGCTTCGGAATCTCGGTTTAAGGAAGAGTTATCAGTTCTAGAGGATTTGGTTGTTCAGACCAAAGATCTCCAGGCTAAACTTTCTGAACAGGAAGGTATTAATTCAAAGCTTGGGGAAGAACTCAAAGAGAAGGAACTGCTGGAATCCTTATCGAAAGACCAAGAAGAGAAGCTGAGAACTGCAAATGAGAAGTTGTCCGAAGTGTTGAAAGAAAAAGAAGCCCTTGAAGCAGATGTAGCAGAGGTCACTAGTAATGCAGCAAAAGTAAAAGCGATCTGCAGTGAACTAGAAGAGAAACTGAAGACCTCAGATGATAATTTCACCAAAGCAGATGCTCTTCTGTCTCAAGCTTTGTCAAACAACTCAGAACTGGAACAGAAACTGAAATCTCTAGAGGAGCTTCACAGTGAATCTGGATCTGTAGCAGCAGCTGCTACCAAGAAGAATCTTGAGCTGGAGGAAGTTGTTCGGTCCTCTAGTCAAGCAGCAGAAGATGCCAAATCACAGATTAAAGAGCTAGAGACAAAGTTCAGTGCAGCTGAACAGAAGAATGTGGAGCTTGAGCAGCAACTGAACGTATTGCAGCTTAAAAACAGTGACGCAGAACAAGAATTGAAAGAACTCTCTGAGAAGGTATCTGAACTTAAAGTTGCTATTGAAGTTGCCGAGGAAGAGAAAAAACAGGTGACCACTCAGATGCAGGAATACCAAGAAAAAGCATCCGAATTGGAATCGTCTCTGAAGCTATCATCGGCCAAAACCTCAGAGCTTGAAGAAGATTTGCGAATCGCTTTGCAGAAGGGTGCAGAGCATGAAGAGCGTGCTAATACAACTCACCAGCGCAGCATTGAACTCGAAGGTCTGTGTCAAACATCACAGTCAAAACATGAAGATGCTGAAGGAAGATTGAAAGACTTGGAGCTTCTACTTCAGACAGAAAAATACAGAATTCAGGAACTTGAGGAGCAGGTTAGCTTGCTGGAGAAGAAGAGTGGAGACACTGAAGCAGATTCCAAAGGTTACTTAGGTCAGGTGGCTGAGCTTCAATCAACACTTGAGGCTTTCCAAGTGAAAAGTTCGAGCCTTGAAGCTGCTTTAAACGCTGCAAATGATAACGAAAGAGAACTGACAGAAAATCTAAACGCTGTTATGGGTGAGAAAAAGAAATTAGAGGATACAGTGAATGAGTACAGCGCAAAGATCAGTGAGTCTGAGAATCTGCTAGAAAGTCTCAGGAATGAATTGGGTGTCACACAAGGAAAATTGGAGAGCATTGAAAACGATCTTAAAGCTGCTGGTTTACGGGAAAGCGAAGTAATGGAGAAACTGAAGTCTGCTGAAGAGAGTCTTGAGAAGAAAGGAAAAGAGATAGATGAAGCTATGAAGAAATCCATGGAGCTTGAAGCTTTACATCAGTCTTCGAGTAAAGACTCGGAGCATAAAATTCAAATGGTTATGGAGGATTTCACTAGAAGAGATTCAGATGCCAATTCTTTGACGGAGAAACTGAAAGACCTCGAGGACAGAATAAAATCATATGAAGAGCAGTTGGCTGAAGCATCTGGCAAATCTTCTTCTGTAAAAGAAGAACTTGATCAGACTTTGGGAAAACTCGCTGCTGCAGAAGCCGTTAATGATAAACTCAAACAGGAGTTTGATCAGGCACATGAAAAATCTTTGCAGTCATCATCAGAGAATGAACTACTAGCAGAGACAAACAACCAGCTCAAGATCAAAATTCAAGAGCTTGAAGAGTTACTAGGTTCTAGTTCTGCCGAGAAGGAAACTGCAATGAAACAGGTGGAAGAGGCAACTGAAAGGTTGAACCAGAAAGAGACAGAATTCAAAGACTTCATTGAAAAGTTAAAAGCACATGAAAACCAAATCGAGGAGCACAAAAGGCAGGCTCATGAAGCATCAGGAGTTGCGGATACTAGAAAAGTTGAGCTTGAAGAGGCTCTATCTAAACTGAAGAATCTTGAATCTACTATTGAAGAGCTCGGGGCCAAATGCCACGGGCTTGAGAAAGAAAGCGGGGATCTGGCGGAGGTGAATTTAAAGCTGAACCAGGAACTAGCCAATCATGGATCAGAGGCCAACGAGTTGCAGACAAAGCTCTCTGCTCTGGAGGCTGAGAAGGAGCAAACAACCAAAGATCTCCTGGCTTCAAAGACAGCCATAGAAGATCTAAGAAAGCAGCTTACCTCTGAAGGGGAGAAAATGCAGTCGCAGGTAATATCTTGGATCTAAATATGTTCTAATTACCAATCTACATTGCAACAGTTTTTTTTAATACTACAATCTTTGAGAAAATGACACTAGTTTGGGTTGCAGATTTCTTCACTCACTGAGGAGAACAACCAAGTCAACGCAATGTTTCAGAGTACTAAGGGTGAGCTCCAATCAGCTATTTCAAAGCTTGAAGATCAACTAAACGTAGAGAGGTCTAAAGCTGATACTTTGGTGTCCGAGATTGAGAAGCTCGGGGCAGTGGCTGCTGAAAAGTCTGTTTTGGAATCACATGTTGAAGAACTTGAAAAGAAATTGTCAAAAGTCGAAGCTCAGTTGAAAGAAGAGGTATTGCACTCATCTTGAACAGAGGAAAATAGAATCATTATTATATAAAATCCATAAAGTACTGATATACTGATTGATTATGTTTCTACAGGGTGAAAACGCAGCTGCTGCTTCTGAAAAAGTGGCAGAACTGAACTCAAAACTGCAGGAACATGAAAATAACGCCAGTGACCGAGATGTGCTCAATGAGCAAGTGCTTCAGCTTCAGAAAGAGCTTCAAGCGGCTCATAGTTCCATTGCTGAACAGGTTAATCATCTTTCTTGCTTGACCTTTATCTCAGATAAGCGTCTTGGGATTTATCTAGGTTGATAGAAAAGGCAATGCATCTTATCTCATTATGTCGCTAACCTCTGAAAACTTTTCCGTGGAAACAGGAACAAGCACACTCTCAGAAGCATTCAGAGCTGGAGTCTGCGCTGAAGCAATCACAAGAAGAGATTGAAGCTAAGAAAAAGGCGGTCTCTGAATTTGAATCAATGGTCAAAGATCTTGAACAGAAAGTGCAGCTCGCGGATGCTAAAGCTAAGGTCAGGCATAATATCTCCGTGCAGAACTCTGTTTGACTGATAACATATATAATCCATTGATGCAATGCATACAAGAACCTCAAAACATAGTTGTTTATATGATCGAAACCAAAAACTTGCAGGAAACGGAGGCAATGGAGGTAGGTGTTAAATCTCGAGACATTGACTTGTCCTTTTCTTCACCAACGAAACGTAAGAGCAAGAAAAAGTCAGATACATCTCCTTCTTCTTCTTCTTCTCCGGGCAATGCCGTTACTACTACTCAGACAGCGTCAACTTCCCATCTCATGTCAGTGAAGATAATCTCTGGAGTGGCTCTGATTTCCGTTATTATCGGTATAATTCTTGGGAAAAAGTATTAGTCTTCTCGTGTGGTGTGGTGTGATGTGATGGTCTTGTGAATCTCTCTTCTTCTTTGTTTTTGGGGTTTTTAAATTTTGATCAAACTCTCTCATAAGCTCATGAGAGATGTAATGCGTTAGCAGAATTTACGAAGCTTTGCATCAATTTGCTTCTCTCTGCAGATTGTTTTTGTTTTTCTGGGTTGGGGATTTGGATTTTTTTTCTGGCTTGTAGGTCAAGCAATGTCCTCATAGTCATATTGTACTAAATTAAACGAAAGTGAAGTTCATCGATAATTGTGGTCTATTGTACATTGTACATTTTCTTGGAATGAAAACCGTTCCACATAATCCAATTGAACCAATCGGTTTAAAATAGACCCGGTTCAGTCGACCCGCGTTGCCTATATAAACCACTCACAGTGAGCGTCTTCTTCCTCAATTTCTCTCAGCTTTCACTTTCCTCGCTTTCGCATTGAACATTGCACAGTGAGAGAAGAAAATGGCTCTAAACATGGCGGAAGCCCTAGAAACCGTAATCGATAACGCTCAAGAAACGGATTACTCGTACGAACCAGAGGAAGATGACATCGATCTCTCTCTCCTTCGTCTCAACAGCTTCGGGAGGTCCTCCGATCGATGCCGCGCGAACTCGTCTCCTCCGCAGTTTCAATCGTACGGATCTTTCGGATCTTCTTCAACCGCTGCCACCAGCCCCGTGAAACGCCCATCGCCGGAGTCGAAGGAAGCCGACGAGCCCAGGCGCAAGAAGCTGTTTCTTCCCCGACCTGAGGAAGACGAAAGGATGTCTAATCTCATGGGCTATTCGAAGGTTCCGCTTCCCATGGATTGCAATCCGACGCGAATCCGTTCGTCTCCTATCTACAAGCGATCTCTATCCGATACGTTTGCTTCTCCCGGTATATCCACATTCGGGTCGGGTTATACCCGAGACGGCGTCGCTCAAGAAACAACACCCTCGGGTAATATCGTCCCTTCTCTTCCGCCACGGCCACCGATGTTTCGGAGGTCCGTCTCCGATGTTTCGCCGTCACCTTATAAGACTCTTGGATCTTCTCGCTCGACTGCAATTCCTGAAGCTGATTTTTCGAATCCAGAAGCCTCTGAAGCTAACAAGGTTAGCAAAACTCTATATCCAATTGCCTATTTAGTGTTTCAATTTGCGAGCTTTGTTAGTCGTTTTGAGAAAATTAGGGTTTCTGATACACTTTGGTTGTTCTGTTCATCATCATCAGATGCTGTATGTGATCAAAGACGGAGTCCGTGAATTGGATCAATGGTGTAACAAGCTCATAAAGTACGGTGAAGCAGTCTCTTCTGTCAAGCAAGATGACAGTCCTAAGGTTCGTATCTGAAAATCCGTTCTTGATAGTTGAACTTGAACATGGCCTTACTATTTTGTACGCTTTGTTCTCTGATAATCTCTGAATCGAAGTCTTGCTTTTGGGCACAATGGTTTGTTTGGTGTACAGGGAGAAGTTGAGTCACAAGAGGAGGAGCAGCAGAAAGATTGTAAAGAAGGAGTTAAGGTGGACAGAGTCGGCGAGGCCTTTGTGGTTGAGATCAACTGTCCCTGTGGAAGAAACTACCGAACTCTCTTCTCAGGCCGTGACTGCTACTACAAGCTCTTGTAGAAATGGTTTGAGTGGAAAGATCTCTCTCGTGCTGCATATTCATCACAAAGCTTCTGTAGATAATACTAGCTATACACATTGTTCTATACATCACTGTTTCGTACACATTGTTCTATACATCACTGTTTCGTACACATTGTTCCATATGTCGCTGGTTCTTGCTTTGTATAAGCTCTTCTAGGTAGCTCTTGTAGGTACTAGGGAATAGCTAACACACATTGTTGATTGTTCCATTGTAATACTCTTGTTACCTCATTCATTGAAATTGAAGTTTTGGTCTCTTTTGTGTTTGATATCATTCTTACGACTTGCAAAAGTTTTTGTGTACAAAACCTTTCCCCATGTTCTTTGATCATCACCTTAAGTTGAAGGATCTCTCATGCAGTCATGCTGCAAACTCATCACAAAGCTTCTGTTGATAAGACATAAGCACGCTGTTTAGTGCTTGTAGTTGTAGATGTTAGCTATTCACATTGTTCCATTTTCATATACTTTTGTTAATTTGCTTACTTGAAACACTTATGCCTCGTTCCCTTGAATTGTGGAACTCTGGAAGTTTTGAATTTTTTATCACTCTTACGACTTGCAAGTTTTTGTTTATATCAATGACTGGACCGCTTAAACCGTGACCCGGTCTGGGTTTTGTCTAGACCAGCACCTTTGTAACCCAAAAAGAGAGAAAACCCTCAACGGTTCTTTTAAAGCCCTAAGTATAAACTTTTTTTGCCGTTAATGGGCTTCAAAATACTGATAAGAACTCTGTGTAGCTAAACGACGTCGTTAGGAAGTAGCATCCAAAAGGGTCCATCCATGGCAGACTCTTATATCTCAATCTGCTAACCTTTGTGGGTTATCCATGGTGGATCCTGAAGGAGACGCTGGGTCGACCAAAGTCTTCTTCTTCTTTATCTCTTCCCCATTTTCCCCATCAGAAAGGCTGTCTCTTTGTGGCGCGAAGTAAGTTCTTTCTCTCAAAATTCTGTATGAGCTGTCTACAACATGTTCGACGATATTACCATATGAACAGTTCTGTTGTTTATCCTCAGCTCCACTCCCTTTTAGACTGATAACTCACATTCGTACATAAACCATTTGCTTTAGTTTTGTTCTTGGAGTAGATTTTGGATAGATTGTAATGTGCCGTACATAACCATTATCTTCGATTTCTGATTGGTATTGATATGTATTGAACATTTGTAAGCTTTTTTTCTCAGTCTTGGAACTTCTTTTGGTGCTTCTATATTATGCCTTAATGAGTATCTTCCCCTGTCTCTTGCAGATGAATTGAATTGAAAATTGAAATTTACAAGTAAAACAGCTTCAGAGTTATGCTGCGTGCAACTTGTTTTACTCCTTCCCTTTCTAGGGCATGTCGCCCTTTATTTGTAATGATTCTCAGGATCCCATCTGTTCATCTTCCGCATCATCGTAGCTTTTCTCCATTTCGTGGGTACCATACTTCCTTGCCTGTCAAAGGCACCCGAGATAGACGACTTCTTCTTGTTGAGCACAAGAGACATCTATGCACAATGCCTGTCGCTGCTAAACAATCACAAGCTTCGCCTTCTGAAAACTTATCGAGGAAAGCAAGGAAGAAAGCTATTCAACAGTCTCCTGAAACATTGCTGAAACAAAAGCTAGATATGTGCTCTAGGAACGGTGATGCCGTGGAAGCCCTTCGCTTGTATGATGAGGCCAAACGCAATGGTGTGCAGCTCAGCCAGTATCATTATAATGTGTTGCTCTATGTATGCTCGTTGTCTGAGGCAGGAACAGAGTCTTCTCCGAATCCAGGACTTAGCAGGGGTTTTGATATATTTAAGCAGATGATTGTTGAGAAAGTAGTTCCTAATGAAGCTACATTCACAAACGGTGCTAGACTCGCCGTTGCAAAGGATGACCCGGAAATGGCTTTTGATATGGTCAAACAGATGAAAGCCTTTGGTATCCAACCTAAGCTGAGATCCTATGGACCAGCCCTTTTTGGTTTCTGTAGGAAGGGTGATGCAGACAAAGCCTATGAAGTCGATGCGCATATGCTTGAATCAGAGGTAGTCCCTGAAGAGCCTGAGCTTACTGCACTTTTGAGAGTTAGTATGGATATAAAGAACACAGACAAGGTCTATGAGACATTGCAGCGGTTGAGAGATTTAGTGAGACAGGTTTCTAAACCGACTTTTGATACGATTGAGGAGTGGTTTAATTCTGAAGCAGCTGCAAAAGCTGGAGTCGAGAAATGGGATCTGAAGAAAATAAAGGATGGGGTGGTGAGTGGTGGTGGTGGGTGGCATGGACAGGGTTGGCTTGGAACTGGCAAATGGAATGTGACAAGAACTGAGATGGATGAGAATGGTGTGTGTAAATGTTGCAAAGACAAGCTTGTTTGTATCGATATCAATCCGGTTGAGACAGAAAACTTCGCTGCATCGTTGACTCGGTTGGCCTGTGAAAAAGAAGTCAAATCTAATTTTAACCAGTTTCAGGTAACAATTAATCTCTTGAGGATCGTAGTAACACTATCTAAAGCAAAGCTGAAAAAGGTTTGTTTTTTTTACTCGGTTTTGTTGCAGGAATGGCTTCAAAGACATGGACCGTTTGATGCAGTCATAGACGGAGCCAATATGGGATTAGTCAACCAGCGTAGTTTCAGCTTTTTCCAGGTGATCTTGAATTCTTTTTCATTCTACTGCCAAACTCAAGATCTTTGATTGATTACTTTATGCCTTATGCGATTTTATCTCTTGCTCTAGCTTAACAATGTTGTCCAGAGATTTCAACAAAATAGTCCGTCGAAAAGGTTACCACTTGTGATCCTGCACAAGAGTCGTGTAATCGGAGGTCCAGCTACTTACCCTAAAAACAGAGCCTTGCTAGAGAAATGGAAAAACGCCGGTGCTCTCTATGCTACTCCTCCTGGCTCAAACGATGATTGGTATTTACTTTTTGTCTTAGTTTGTGCATTGATCCAAAAAAAATGAGAATCCATTGGTTGTGTGAAAATCAATTTGCTGCGGAAAACTCTGGCTTGCAGGTATTGGCTTTACGCTGCTGTGAGTTGCAAGTGTTTATTGGTGACAAACGATGAGATGAGAGACCATCTCTTTCAGCTACTCGGTAACAGTTTCTTCCCAAGGTGGAAAGAGAAGCATCAGGTAATAATATATTATACAAATCTGTGAATTGATATGAGAATGAATGTATGTACATATCATAATCTTTTAATTGTATTGGTTTTCTTCAATGTTGCAGGTTCGGATATCTGTGTCTCGAGAGGATGGACTCACACTGCATATGCCACCTCCATACTCCATTATTATACAGGTCAATTTCAGCTTACACAAACTCAAATCTACAAAAGTTTGTCTGCATTTTGCAAAATGATGAATGATTGTCTTTGTTGATGCAGGAGTCTGAAGATGGAACATGGCATGTCCCAATGAGCGTAAAAGATGATCTCCAGACATCAAGGCAATGGTTATGCGCGAGAAGATCCAAAACACATTGAATTTTTTATTAGGGTTAAAACTTGTTGTATCATCTTTTTACATCAACAACACTGATTACTTTCTTTGAATAAAAATTGTTGTTCTATTAAAAAATAGTTCAGACGATTATCAAATATCTTGAGCTACAAAAATGTCCCCAATAGTTTTCAATATTTATAATTTGGCGCCTATAGGCTATAGTGTTGATAAGATTGGTCCGAATGCCAGTTGACTAATAGTCAACATTGTCAATCTAGCAATAGCATGCTTTAGATGTAAAAAAAATGATTTATTAATATGAAATTTCCACAATATAAACGAAAGAGTAGTAAAAAAAAAAATGAATTAACAAATAGGAGGTCCACATATCATAAGCCAACCTAAACAAATCGAAATTCAACAAAGCAAAATACAATAATATAAATCATCCGCACGAATATTAAATAAACCATGGAATTCCTCGGAAATCAGAAGCAGGCGTCGAGGACACAACAGCAACACATAGCCGCAAGACTGCATTCAAAATCAAAAACAAGAAACAAAAATCATTATTTGAACACATAATAACCGATCCGGTTCGATAATTAACCAAAAAATATGCGAGTCCGGTTACGTGGAGCCGTAGACCAACAAAGAAAAGAAAAAAAGAGACTAACCAGCCTTTCAAGAATCCATCACCCTTGGACTTTGTCTCGACCGGAGCCATCGTGGCATGACTCGTGTCGTTCGTTGGGTAACCAGTCGGTGGCGGCGGTGCCACGTAAGGACCGGTAGACACTGGAGGCGCAGGGTAAGCTCCTAATTATACATTTAATATATTAGCTTTGATACCATAACATTCAAGAAACATGATTAATTATGACTTATGTAATGCTAATTAATTTGTAAGAAAAGCGAAGAAGAAAGAAAGAAAGAAAGAAACCTGCATATTGGTTTTGGCTGTATTGGCTCATCTTCGGAACAAATTAGATATTTTATCTTTGAAAAGCTCTACGGGAAAATAAGGTGTTTTGTATGGATTAATATTTGTAAATGATCATATAGTAGTCATGTATATATATATAGAGATAAGGGAAGAAGAAAAAGAAGGTCGGTTTAGTTGAACCGCGTGAAGGCAGATAAGAATTTATTCCATCGACCCACGGAAACAGCTGAGAAGTATCCTTTTTATTTGAATATCAAATTATAGTTTATCTTTTCTGGTCAAATCAAATTGTAGTTTGAAAAAGTATATTAATGTGATGTTTTTTTCTTATTCTCGAAGAATACTACTGTTTTGTTGAAAATGATGAATACATCGTCAACCTTCTTAGTATAGTTTTTATCTGTGCCGAGTTAACGTGTCAATTCATGTATGATTTCGTGTTCGCACGTGTGATCGTGATGACATTCTGAATGCTGATGTTTGATCCTTCAGATTTTCGTTGGATTTTTTTTTTTGATACAAAAAAAAACAATTTTTGGGAGTTACAAATGCTGATTAATTGGTCTACTGACAAACAAAAACTCCTTCATCGTAACTATTAATGTCAATACTACTGAAGAAGTTTCTGAATAACAATAGAATATGCAACAAAATGCTGAATTCAACATGGCTTTATTCCTATCTTGTTTAATAAAGAGTTTATTTTCTTTCTCAAAGCAAAAGTTTAGACCTTTCTCTAGCTATGGGAATATTTACATGTTAAGAAAGAAGAGCGAATGTATAGATATACAACCAAACTTTACAATATTGTCTAATACAACTGAACAGAATGCTAAGAATTTTTCTTTTGAGATTTACAGCGAACATATTTTCTTTTCGTTAAGAGTACAGTACATAAAGTCTTAGTATATTCGAAAACTTTTCAAGAGGCATGTGGAATTTTTTTTTGTAAAGGAAATTAATTATTAGTTTCAAGTTTCCATGCCCACTGAACGCATTGTGATTTGATTAGTACGAACAACCGAATGTCTCTGGTGGATTTATTAAGGTTATGAATCATTGTATCAAGGAGCATGAGTTAGGAAGAGATTGAAGATTTGTATCAAGAGTATAAGTGAGTAAGGTCTAGAGCATTTGTAAATAGTTTGGTTTATTTCTGTATTTCAGGGTTCCACATCGGAACATGAAACTCGTAAGAGATTCTGTGTATTTTTGTTTGCATTGTTTTCTACACACGAGAGATCAAAATTCGAGAGATAACAAGATGATGCAAACGAAGAAGTTTTTTTTTTATTCATAAAAAAATAGTGAGTGTTTTAGATTTCATCCCAAAAAACAAAAAATAAAGAAATCCAGATGCAAACAAAAAAAATTCCAGAATGAATATAGTTTAAGGGGATATTTGGTTTAAGTTTTTGTTGCACATTTCTTCCTCATTGTCCAGAAGGCAGCATAGTATCGGTTCTGCAACACACAACAACACAAATAAACCCACCTTTAGATTCGAAAGCTACCAGCCAAATATAGAAACAGAGATACTGAAACTAAGCTTAGAGATTAGAGATAATCAAATCCAGAGGGACATGAGATATCTGACCTGCATCATAGACCGGGGATTTGTAGTGTACGTTGTTTCAATTGTTCTTTCTTTCTGCAAATGTTAATACAAGAACTCAGCGTGGAAGAACATGATATGTTTTAATTTCTGAAGGAAAATGTCATTGTTATATCGTGTAGATTACCTCTATCTCGAACCCATGATGTGAAGCAACTTTCTTTACATCCTCCAAGCTTAGCTCGATCGACATTTCCTAAGGAAAAACAAGAAATATAATGTTATATCCGAGTTATAGCGAGATTGTGGGACAAATCCAATGCTTACATTTTCATGGCCATATGTGTCCGCAAAGTGATACAGCAGAGGTCCTAAGTTTATCCAAACCTGATGGAAAATTCATTTAGACAGTCAGGAGTAATAAAAGATCAAAGGGGTTGGAAAAGAGTGTAACAGGGAAATTTACTCCTCCATCCTTCAAGATCTTGGATATGGTTTCGATGTACTCAATGATGTTGTGAGCAGTGTCGATGAAAAAGCAAGTCACAACTGCATCCCACATTCCTGAAATTCATTGTTACCGTTTACATGACCAAATGAACGGTGAGAAACAAATAGCATCTTGGCTTAAACAAAGCTGAGTCGTCGGCTTGTCGCAGTTTCTTACCTTCATGACCTGATTCATTGTATACTTCAACAAAATCACCACCACACATAGAGAAACCTTCAGTTATTCCTGCACTGCTCACAGAAAATGTTTACAATAAAGCTTTTTAGTAAAGTGACAGAATGATTGCAGTTACATAAAATCATCAATGCAAGTTGCTTGGACACTTTTAATTGAGTTCCGTTATGTTTACCAGGAAAACAGATAGTTATTGTAGCTAAAACTAAACTACACATTCCAAAACCATATTAGGCCAGTACTCTATGCGGTTCGGTAAAGGCATATACCTTGCAGGATGAATATCAGGAATAGAAATAGGGCGTAGTTGATCATTGTCTGAGAGCGAATTGCAGTTGCTGTGTATCCAGGGGTATATTGTCCACTCACCAGGCACTTGTGTACTGATGAAAAAAATCAAGCTGAGCAAAACTCAAAACTGGACCAAAAGTAAGAAATTACCTTTAACTAAAATTTAGAGGTATATCAGAGAAGAAGAACGTTTAGAGGTTGGCTGTTGTGAAAAATGCTTAAAGGAAAAGATATAGATACAGATTGAGGATATTTTAGACTGATCTATTTTTCAGAAACAACCAAATATCTTGCCTACAAACAAAAAGAGGGAAGATAGAAAGATAATATAATTAGGAAAGTAAGAAACTCTTACTAATTCAGAATAAAACTTGAGCATATCATCATGTAGTACGAAAATTCATTTCCTTGGCTTATGAAACCTGTCCCAATGCACAAGAGTTGTAATATTTTATTATCATTGAATCTAACCAGAAAGTTTAATTCTCCATGGCATACCTAGACAAGAAATTTCAAGGGCCAGCCGTCCAAGTCCAGCACCAGGGACTAAACAGGCAGGAGGGGTGCTGAAAATCATATAATTAACTTTGTAAGCAGAGTGAATCCAGTGGGTACTAAAATCCTCAGCAAATACTAATTGTTTTGTCTATGTCGATTGTTAGTTCTCAACACACCAATAAGGATCTAAACATTTGCCAATTTTTCTCTCTCTTCAGTCTCGTCTCTATGACGGGACTTCGAGTACCAAATTTAGAATTGCATAGTAGTAAAGACAAAAAGGCTTTCCACAAACTCAGAATGCATTAATAAAAAGTCAGACTCAAAATTCAGGAACAGATAACAGTAGCATGGTGTACCTCTCCTTCTGACGATTAGGAAACAATGAATCAAGCTCTTCAAGGATTGGCTTGTAACATTGGTCTCGTTCTCTCTGACCCTATAAGTAAAAAAATGCAACTAACAACTCAAGTTCTGATATGCTATTGATGGAAGAATCATACATCATTGTAACTTGTTAGAAGAAAATGACAAAAAAAAATAGTTACCTCTGCTGCCCAATCTCGAACTATATTCCGTATTATACAGCGAACCTATGTTAGAATACAACAAAAGCGTGCACATTTCAAAGTATTAGATTGGTGACTAACACAACAACAAACATATGCAAATGTATGGGTGTGCCGCCTGTCACCTATATCATGTGCATACGCATAGCTCAACAGGATTCACTCAATACGGAAAGCCACATGAGACAATGTATACTCCCAAAATTGTGCAAACTGCCTAATGGATAGAATATATTATAACAGGATTTACTCAAATAGAAAGCTAGATGAGATAATCGACTCCCAGAATTGTCCAAACTGCCTAATGGATCTAACAGAGCTCGAGATTAGATTCTAACAGGTCTCCTTACAATCTTTGTTTATGAACACTACGAGAGCTCTGATACAATTATGATTACCTACGAAGAAGTACGAAGAAGAAAATAAATTCCATCAGCCATACTACAAGTCAAAAGCATACCTTATCTACATCAACCAGAGGAACATGTGTCTGTAACGATGGGTCCAACCAGTCATGAGATGGAAACGATGCCTATGAAAGAAAAGAGCAACATTAGCATTACAAAAATCACACGAATCGGTATGACAAGTTTGTCACAAATGGAGTAATAGGCAAAAACTTTATACACATAAAAAGCCCTCATATGCTTGACAATAGAACGCTCTCTGGAGATAGAATACTCAGGTTATATTCATATAATCCACTAAAGATGCTCAACAGCCTAAAGATCTTATATAACCGATATAATAACTAAAGAATCTGCGCATTGCTAACGATGTTCAACACGGTTTATGGAAGGAACTGAGGTTTAAAAGTATATGATTTGACATTACATTGCCATGGTCGTGATTTGAATGGCCTCCATCACAATCATTTCTCTTATCATTGATTCTTGTGTCTTCAGAGTGATTCTTGGGGGAATGATCATTAGCATCCTTCCTCTGAGGCCCCTGCATTGATACAACTATATTAAAGATTATAAATGAAAAGGATGTAGTTTTCATGTCTTAATCTGACCTCTATAGACAGAGTTCCTGTTACTGGGTCGCGCAGGCTTTTACATTCTTGCTGATATGTACAATTACTGGTCAAGGCAGGCTGACAAGAAGAGTCGTGCCTTTCGTCTAGTATGTATTTCTCATTTGGAGCACACTCAAGATTTGGGTCTTCAAAACCATCAAGATCCTGACTCAAGTCTATAGGGGGCTCAAAAGCCTGACAAGTAATTAAGATTCACATCATTACATGACATGAATTGCATAGAATTTCAAGCAAATCAAGCATTTAAATTTCCGAATAACAAACTCAAATAAGTAGCATGGAGCAATTAAAACGCCAAGGGAATCATTAGAAGATATGTCTGCAACTGCAACTGACCTGAAGCATATTAAATATGAAATATGAATTCGTCGATATACACCTGCACAACAAAGTCCAATAACTCACTGGTATTTTACATTCGACTATACTAACATCTGGGACAAGCACAAACACGAAAATAGTTCCGAGTTCAAAATGGCATACTATCAATTTTAGTGTCCCAGCAAGAGGAAAGACCAAATATAAGAGGCACGTATATCACAAAATGACAATGAACGTTAAATTAACTAAACAGGATTTACGCAATCAAATACGTAAGTACTCCAATTTGTCAGTAGTTAACAATGTGAATTTTTTTATATATTTCAGAGAGTAGTAGATATAAATAAAAGAGTTGACAACTCACATATTAGTTCTAAAATATGTTATCTTACTTTATACATGCAAATCATTTTTCGAAAATCATTCCACAAAGGTCACATATTTAAGAGGATGACAATGCACTGATGTCAACACCAGAAACATTACTTTCCAACATCACTTTTTATTAGAAAAGTTAATGAAAACGTTTAGGATTCTTCCATAACCCAAAGTAGAAAAGAAGAAGCAACTAGTCATGTCTGAACCTCGAGGCAATTATAATGAAACAAAAAAAAAAATCTGAATATCATCCAAGCAAGCTTGTGACACTTATCTAGACGACGAGGTTACTATAAAATGGTGAAACGTCTACTGAATATAGATTTCACCTTCTTAATCTCTGAAACTTCAAAGGGTAATGGGGTACCAATGCCTGGACAAGAAACAAAAAAAAAAAAGCGCAACGCTGAAAATAGTTAGTTTAGTATAATTATAAGAAAGAAGATTCAACAAATAATCAACTTAAACTTGATATCAAATCTCTTAACAACTATCCATGAGTCAGAGTGTCTAATCATATGTAAGTATTTCGAACTCTAAAATATGCTATAGCAGTAAACCATTAACATAATATCGATAGGCTTACGCAACAAATAACAAACTGCCGAAAGAAATAACAATTAGAACATCTTCATACACAACTATCGCAAACCATATTTAGAGACATTTTTAGTAGAAAATGTCGTTACTCTCTCTAATAAATCATATATGACATTTCTCAAGGCTAGAAATCAGGCGACAAAAAATTACCTTGTGCCCAGGAGACAGCTTCCGATATGATCTTTCCCATCTTTTCAGATCTTCTTCAGAAGCCTCAGGATAACTGTCAAAATTTCACAAGGATAAGGAAGGTCAGCGAAGCAGAAACTTTTCAACATAAATGAACGAACGAAATGAACTAATTTAACCAAGGATGACCCTACTAACATGGCTTTTACAAAAAAAGTAAGCTTCACCAACTTAGGTCGAAAATCTGACTCATAACAGCTTATGTTCATGGAAAACTAACATTTACAGTCCACCTTCTACAAGAGGCTTCACAGGAACCGTGAGTTTCAAACTTTGATCAGCGTATCTCAGATTCAGAAACCCAATAACGAATACAAACAATGTAAAAACTCAGAAGCAATGAACGTGAGCCTTTCACTTCAGTGTGAAGCTTACATTATATGAAGAAAAAAATGATCCTAAAAACCAAAGTACACATATTCCCAATCATATACTGAAAATCCAACCAAAATCCAGTTCCTGTAACTTCACCACCACTAAAACCCAGGAATTTTTACAACAGAATTTAGAATTGTGATTCGAAATTCTAATCAGTCAGATAATTCTCCATGAATCCTCCAAACATAGTGCCGTTTCAGATACGAAAATATAAGACTCTAGAAATGATGAGTAGAAATAAACAACGAGAAAATAAGATAATACTTGAGGTAGGCACTGATAATGCGGCGAAGAGATTTGGCTTCGAGAGCTTCCTCAAGCTTCTTCTGACGGCGTATTTTCTCCTCCTTTTCATCATCCACTTCTCTCAACATCTCTTTCCGCTCGGTTCCCGTTGCGATGGCTGATACCATATCAGGTGCCGGTGCCGGCGCCGGTGCCGTCGCCGTCGCCGTCATCTCTGACGATGAAATCATGGTGGGTCTTCTCTTTGGAGATTGATTCCACCGTGGAGGATTATATGAGGAAACGGCTTTTCAAAATAAATTGGGCCTCATGCTCTTTAATGAGCCTACGTTAGGCCATTTTCCCATTAATTATTGCTATGCTTTTAAAAGAATAAATCATTTGAAATTTATCTTCCACATACAGTATATTAATACTTTGAAATTCTCTCACGTACCTTAGCAGTATTATTTTTTGTCATCTAGGATCAATGAATATTCACATTTAGGATTATACTTTAAGATTCATAATTTATCGGCTGCTACTCAAGGAGTTTTATGTCGTTGGAAGTCATTTTAATTGAGCTACATATTCAGGCTTTGAATGATACACAGACCAAATAAAGTAGAACAAATAATGTAGCTGAAAAAATAAATTATTTAAAAAAAATTGCAGATTTGGGTGAAATGCAGATTTTCGATAGCTGTTTACCCTCTTATATATTTTAGTAATTTGTCATACATTTATAATCTATTAATCTGTATGTAGATTAATGAATTTTATAATAATATTTTTTGTACTGTTTAAAAATTGTGAACAGAAAAAAGAAAATGGCTTCATCTACATTTATTCTGCATTTGCTATATTTTCCACTCAAAACCTCAATCAATAGGAGCATTGTGAATTTTTCTTGATAAGAACCAAAAAAGTCAATAAAATTCATTCTAATTCGAGTGACATTGAATCTGTTTAATCTCTATGTTCAACATTGTACACTTGTATCAAATAAGAGTTATATTTTTCTGGCATATTGACATGTAGGCTTCGTTCACCACACCACACCACCATCGGCTTAGTTCACATATCTGGGAGGTAAGTACAGCTCATCATTATTCGACTTAGATGATGAAGATTCAGAAGAGAGTTGCTTCACAGAACCAAAAAGATATTAAATTATCTTAAACCACCTACATTCAACATTGCATTATATTTAAGATTAGAGACACAATGAAATATTTAGAGAAAGATTGAAAGGGTCAAGAAAAAAAACACTTAATCTTACTGCATATTTTTGTATACTCTTTTGATTAAAAGATTGTTTCCTCCCAAAAAAAAGCGACATTCGTTGTAACGATGCACTTTGTTATTCGTCAGATCATGAGGATCATACATCTCCCATCCATGTTTTATGTCTTGAAACGCATCACAAGTTTTGACGAAGAGAAGTGCTTGTGAAAACGACCAATTGAGGCTGTTCCTCCCTCCACTCAAGCTAATTCACCGTTAATTAACAAGTATTTGAGCTCACGAAAATCGGAGTCAAACTTATAGATTATCAATCATACTATGAATATTTTTGACAGAAGATAATCAAAAGCAAAGAATAACATTCTCTCATAACTTAATAGAATCAGGGATCTAACAATAACAACTCGGAATCTCTTAACGATTCCAAATCAAAATTTAAAATATTTTCACCAAGTCAAATCCACATTAAACATATGCTTTCACCAAGTCAATTCCACAAAACATATTTCTTTAGTTTTCACATGTATGTAGATGAATTTTTTTTTAAGTATGTTAAGTAAGATCCGACCCGAAGAAATCGTCAAAATCTTGAAAAGGATCCAACCCGAATAAATCACCAATATCATAAAAATAATCCTCCACGTGCCGATTGGAGAACCCGAAAGTTGAACTAAAGCCGGTAGAGAAATAGTCTTCAACGGAAATCTCAGACAAATCAAAATCACCACCTAAAAAACGAAGTATTGGCGGAAAAATCATCTCCAGCATAGCGGCAAAATGATTTTCTAGTCCGGTCGGCGAAATAAAGCTGATGGACAAAAAAACTGTACATAAGTTGTACAAAGTCTTTGTCACTACCTTGAATTAATCTCCAAATCATGTTCAAAGAAGTTATTTTTAATCATCAATTGAGAACTGGGTAGATAATATATGTGAAATATAAAATTGTAGGAACTAAAATAATAAACTGGAAAAATTATTAAAATTATTTATAAATACATAATTTTAAAAATTGAAATGCAAATAAAAATTTAAAAATCTCTGAGATTTGAATAGTGAAACCTTACTATTCAAAACCTTAAATTTTGAGGTTTTGAAGTATCACTTGTAAACTTGTAGTGAATAAAACCTCAAATTTAAATTTATAGAATATCTCTTGAAGATGTGGAATATGTTTAGATTGGATCATTAATTCAGCACAAAAAAAAAAAAAGAAATCCAGATGCAACAAAAAAAATAACTCTAGGATAAATATTTCTTCCTTATTGTCCAGAAGGCAGCAATGGTATAGTTTCTACAACACATAACAACACAAATAAACCCACCCATAGATTCGAAATCAACCAGACAAAATATAGAAACAGATACTGAAGCTGAGCTTAGAGATTAGAGATAATCAAATCCAGAGGGACATGATCAGATATCTGACCTGCATGGCTGCATCATAGACCAGGGATTAATAGTGTACGCTGTTTCAATTGTTCTTTCTTTCTTTAAATGTTAATACTTAATACAAACACTGAGCATGGAGGAACATGAGATGTTTTAATTTCTACAGGGAAGATGTTATTGTTATATCGTGTAGATTACCTCTATTTCGAACCCATAATGTGAAGCAACTCTCTTTACAAATTTTCCAAACGTAGCCCGATCGACATTTCTTAAGGGCTAAGGAGAAACAAGAAAATATATTGTGATATCCGAGTTGCGAAACTGTGTGACAAGTCCAATGCTTGCATTTTTGAGTCTATTTTATTCCATTTTCGTAGTAAGAGAATTAATAAAAACGTTTATCGGAGAAATTAAAAATAATAAACACGCACGTCAATTCGGATTTTTCATCAATGTTTCAGTCTTTGTAATGGATTTCTAGGTGAATAAATATATTAAACGGTTATGAATTTGATTATTACTATGCTTTTTAGAAAGTTGAATTTAACTATATAATTTAAATTGATAATTATCTTCCACATATTATGCAAACTATATATATAATAGAAGTTTATAGAATTATAAATCTCAAGAGTTCGCATGTTTTGAAAATTATTCAAACTATTTTTACAATATTATACATAATACATATGACAGGAAAAACAAAGAAAGGACATACACATCTTATTGAAATCATCGTCATCATACATTTGGTATTTCATTGCGTATTCACATTTGGGTGTCCACATGGGATGAATGTCATCATATATCCACCATCCACTATTATTTTTATTCACATGCATCATCGAGATTTGACGCCATCTGTACAATCTCAACCACTAAACGTTAAAAAATATCCAACGGTCATGATTCGCCGACACGATACATCACGCACCGACGGCTGTGATTGAAGCCATTGCTTCCAGCTCACTCTTGCTCCGTCTGACACTTTCACCGCCGACGTCAAATCCGGTCGTAGTCGTCGTCCAAATCTCCGGCACCGCCGTAGCTATCTCAGCTACTGTCTCCACCGCGAAATCAGCCTCTTTCGTCTTTTCTGATCTCCCCACCTTTTTAACCAAAAACAAAAAAAAATGAATTCACATAGAAATCAAATATCGGAAAAAAAATTGTAAATAGATTTAAGAAAATTACCAGGATTGTGCGAAGCCCGACAGATTTACCCGCGGTAATATTGTGGATATTATCATCCGAAAATATCTATTTTGAATGTAAGAAAAAAATTTATAATTCGTAATTGTAATAATTTCCAAGATTAAAAAAAAAAGATAATAAGGGAAATATAAATATGAATATTACCGTGCGGCGAGGGTCAATGTTGGCGACACGAATGCAAATATCCATTGCGGTCAACGAAGGCTTGAGGACGACGGGATGCTCATCGGGTCGGGTTGTTTTTGACCCGAATAAATTCGGGTTCATTGTCTCGAAACAAATCATCTCTTCGAAACAATCTTCTAAACCCAACTTCTCCAGAACCTTCATCGCATGGTCCCTGTCCGAATTCGTAAAAATCTGAAGTCCCAAGAAAACACAAAATAATGATCATTAAATCATTTGTATTTTTAGAAAGAAAAGAAAAACATTTAATCATGTTTGGTGATAAATTAATAAAAAACCAAAAGACTAAACCTACAATTTTTCTCTGTTTGATTTTGTTCAGAAGGTTTCGTAGTTTGCTGTTTGGTTGGATGGAACCGTACGGCAATCTTCCGTGCACGAAACTGCAAACAAATTTCCAACAAAATATAATCTTTAGAAAAACAAACATTTCCATGGGAATATAATTATATATGTTGACGTAAGATGTTTTTTTTTTCCTTTTTTTTACCTGTGATATTCATCAGGATGAACATCATGACCTAAGGCCTACAAGAATTTATAAGAAAATAATAAGTTATATAAACCCCTGAAATAATGAACTAATAATTGTTTAAAATACACGAATTTGGAGAAGTGAAATTACCCTGAGACCAGCGAGAGTGCTTCCATAAGTCTTGAAGAGTTCGACCCTTAGACTTGAAGCTTTACTCTCCGGGAATCCAAATTTCTCCACTAGAAAATCTGCCCAGCAAATATAATTGATCGAAATGTTTTTAAATCAGTAAACAAAAAAAAGTATTATAATTTTCTTATTTTATTCAGTTACCGACCGTCGATATTTTTCTTGACAGCTGGCGCTATTCCGGTTTTGAGAGGGTATAATGTGTCATCCAAATCTGATCACAAGAACGATACCAAGTATGAGGAAAGAAAAAAAAAATGGAAAAGAATTAATATAGAATAGTAAATGCATTTTAAGCTTACCGAAAATGAGGCAATTGATAGGAGAGAAATCCATTACAAGAAATTAAGTTAGCAACAATACTGTTTTAAATATTTTAGAAAATGGAGGAAATAAGAAACAAAGAAGAGGCATGAAGAAAGGGAGAGGTTGGATGGTATTTATAGGAAAGCTGAGTCGTCTTTTTATTTTTATTTGTTCTCATTTTTCCACTCATATTTTTTTTTTTAATGTTTTGTCTTACATTTTTATAATCATGGATACTGACTGCTGACTCATGGTCCAAATCCTTTTCGTCCGTCTATTTTATCTACACACACTTTCTTAATATGTTACATTGAATATATATGTTTTTATGTTAATCGAATCATATTATATCTTGATTCTCTTGTCACAATCGTAATCGTATTGATTACACAATGTAAAATCATTTTCTTTATTTATATTTCTAAGAGTTTCAAAACCTTACGGAGTTACGGGATTGATATTTTTTTTTCAATAATGGGTTTAAATGTTTTAATTAACTGACTCTGAAATATCTGAACGGTAGATCGTAGTCTTGTATATAAAAAAAGCTATGAGTTTTAGATTTTTATAAATATGAAAACCAATCATCTGTTGCATTTTGGTTGTTAAGAATAATCGCAGAAAGTTATAAAATTAATTAATTAAATCAGAGTAAATGAAAACGAATTGAATAGTTTCTTTCCTATCTCATATCTTAGAGATATTTAAAGTTCTTACACACATAAATTATTTAAGTGGTTGGTTTTTTAAATTGAAAATTATTTATCATCTATCCAAACATAATTCAATCAATGATTAAACAAGCAAAGTAAAAATTAATAATCCAATTTTTTTGAAAAAAAAGTTGCAGATAAATCAAAAATAACATATAATTTTAGACAAAATTTTAAAGTTAATATTATTTATCATGCAACATAGAAATTAACGTATTGTATACATGTGGTTGTGTTATCATTATGTTTTACATGATCAAGTGTCGTAACTTTTAACATCTATGCTTAAATGAGTACGTTTCTTCTTCTTGTATATATAGAACCAAAGAATTGTTCCTCCGGAATCATATTACATCTCAGCTGCTAGCACAAGGCCGATGTGCCAAATATAGACGGTTCATGTCCTGTTGAATAGATTGGTGTCGTTTACAAAATGATGGAATGCCACGTACGTGAATGTTGAATCACCATAAATTATCAATAATGTTCCAAATAAGCTTTTCGGAATTGGTGAAGAAGTGAAGATGATGATGGACTTTCAAGTGTAGTAAACATTTGTTTTGTATACGAGAAATTATATTTCTTACAGTTTTTTTTTAGGTTTTCTTATCTCAAAATTCATGTTATCTCTAGTGTTAATTCAAATGCTGGTTGTTTGATTCTAACGTTAACTTTCTTTCTTATGATTTTTAGACTACACGTCGTTATAATCTACTAATATATTGATAAAAGTTTAAAATAAAAAGTCAATCATATCATGTTTAAAATAAAACAACATTGCCTACAAGAGGACCTTTTTATATAAATAAGATGTCACTCGCAGAAGCTTCGACACACAAAACACATGTTTTTTAATGGAAAACAACAAATATCTCCTCCTATTACGCGTTGATAGTACTATTTTTACGTGTAGCCCACCCTTACTTTACTAGATGGTTGGAGAATGAAGATTATGAGATAAGTTCACCTAATGTCCAAGAACATTTTATTAAAAGCCATAAATGGATTTAAAAGCATAAATTAAATGAACCGGAATTTGTATTAGTGACGAACTTTGCGCATGAACGTCCAAACTTGATTTCCATATGGGAAGATGCCTACGATTCAACTCTTCTCGATTTTTTTTTTAAACCAAAAGACAAATTTTTTAAACAAATAGCATGTGAATCCCTTATCATCAGTTGATCACCTTCAAAACCCCCCCCATAATGTATGAGTTTGCATAAAAGAAATTATCTAAAACAAAATAATGTATATCGCTGATGGGGATTATGTTTGATTTATTAAGATATTCATCTTGTTAATTGATATAATTTGTTTTAAGTGGACCTGTCCCAAACATCCTTTTCCCATCAAGAGACGTCACCAATGAGTCGTGTTATTGGTTGGACACTTATTTTTGTCCAACCTCATCTTCTCTATCGTGATAGATTCGAATGTGATACTATCTATTCTTTTGCAATTATCATAAAATTACACAAACCAACTATTGGAGCCAGAGAAGAATAGCCATAGCTATATGCGTCTTATATCAAAATTTAGAAAATGCAGAAAAAAAACTAAACCAAAAATTTACAAACGAACTCTTAATCAGAATACCTTTAATGGTTATAATTGTATATTTGTATAGTTTGTATGGTGTTAAGTAATTTGCTTTAAGGTTGTGTGTTCGAGAGCAAAGATAGTTTCTTAAAATATATATATATATATTAAAACGATATCATTTTGGACAGCTGAGTTTTTTTTTTAAAAAGTCGATTAAATCATATAATATAGTAAACTGATGTGCTACATGTTAACTATGTCAATTAATCATTGACGGAAAATTCATATTGTTTACAGTTTTGATGATATTAACCGTATTTTAAGATTTCATGTAAAAATTTCAAATTATTAAATAGTTCATGTAAGTTTTAGCATGGATCAAAAGTTAATATATATGGATTAAAAGCTCTAACACGTTCATAGGAGAATAGTCAGTTTTCTCCTATTAACAAACAAAAAAAAAAGTATAGACTGAATATTTATCCATCAGTTGGGCCAAAAATTTGCTCTAGACCCATCTGCTACATCGACCCATAAAGTTAAATGAGCCCATTTTGAACAATAGATAAATCTCGATTTTTGTGTGTATTTTTAGGTCGGCAAATTAATTTCGCAAGAAACAGTGAGAATCAAAAAAAAAAAAGGAACTCCCTCCTCTTCTCGAGCAAACTCTAGAAGTTGTTCAATCCTCAATTCTTCATCTCTCGCACCTTCTAAACTCTCTCTACTTCTTCTCCCTCTCGACAACTTTCTAATCCAGCTACAGCTACAAACACAAAGATCTCTCCTTTATTTCAGGTTTGTTGTTTCTGTGTCCTCTTCGATCAAGCTTAGCACACTTCGTTTGATTTTCAATTTATTTTCCCACTGGGTTTTGTTGCTAAGTTTCGATTTTCTCGAATCTCTCAGACACTTGAAAATAAATTTCAGTTTGTGTTGGAAATTGGAATTGTTTCTGTTCTGACTGAGTACGCTTTAAAATGTTTTGAGTAATCAAAAGGAAAACAAGATTAGGGGTAATTTTCACTAATCATTGATGCAAAATGGTAGAATAATTGATTGTATTGAAACTCTGGTAGAGTAATTCGTTCGATTTTGAGTTAAATCTCTATGTTCAAACATGGTAACCTTGTTATCTGAAACAGGGAAAATGGCAGAACCAGCTTACACGGTTGCCTCGGACAGCGAAAACACAGGAGAAGAGAAATCATCATCATCTCCTTCACTACCCGAAATAGCAGTTGGAATCGATATTGGTACATCCCAATGCAGCATAGCAGTTTGGAACGGCTCTCAAGTTCACATCTTGAGGAACACAAGAAACCAGAAACTAATCAAATCATTCGTCACTTTCAAAGACGAAGTCCCTGCAGGAGGTGTGAGCAACCAGCTCTCACACGAGCAAGAAATGCTAACCGGAGCAGCCATCTTCAACATGAAACGTCTCATCGGCCGTGTAGACACAGACCCTGTGGTTCACGCCAGCAAAAACCTTCCTTTTTTTGTTCAAACGCTAGACATTGGAGTCAGGCCGTTCATCGCTGCGTTGGTGAACAATGCTTGGAGATCCACAACTCCAGAGGAAGTTCTTGCGATATTTCTTGTGGAGTTGCGTCTAATGGCTGAAACTCAGCTGAAACGTGCCGTGAGAAACGTTGTTCTCACGGTTCCTGTTTCTTTCTCCAGGTTTCAGCTCACAAGGATGGAGAGAGCTTGTGCTATGGCTGGACTTCATGTTCTTCGTTTGATGCCTGAACCAACCGCAATCGCGTTGCTTTACGCGCAGCAGCAGCAGATGACTACGCATGAGAATATGGGAAGTGGAAGCGAGAGGCTTGCGGTTATATTCAACATCGGTGCTGGTTATTGTGACGTTGCGGTTACAGCGACTGCTGGTGGCGTTTCGCAGATCAAATCCTTGGCGGGAAACGCCATTGGAGGAGAAGACATTCTGCAGAACACAATGCGCTATATCGCTCCTCCGAACAAAGAAGCTTCAGGGTTGCTCCGTGTAGCGACGCAGGACGCTATACACAGGCTGTCTAGTCAAGAAAACGTCCAAATCGAAGTGGATTTGGGAGACGGCGACATGGTTTCCAAGGTTCTTGATAGGTTGGAGTTTGAAGAAGTGAACGAGAAGGTGTTTCAAGAATGCGAGAGGCTTGTTGTGCAGTGTCTGCGAGATGCGAGAGTGGAGAGTGGTGATATCGACGATGTGATTATGGTGGGAGGGTGTTCTTGCATCCCGAAAGTAAGAGCCATTCTCAAGAACGTATGCAAGAAAGATGAGATTTACAAAGACGTGAATCCTTTAGAAGCTGCGGTGAGAGGTGCAGCTTTGGAAGGTGCTGTGACTTCAGGGATTCACGATCCGTTTGGGAGCTTAGATCTCTTGACTATACAAGCCACGGCTCTTGCGGTTGGTGTAAGAGCTAACGGAAACAAGTTCGTACCAGTGATTCCACGCAACACGATGGTTCCTGCGAGGAAAGACCTCTTCTTCACGACGGTTCATGATGACCAGAAGGAAGCTTTGATCGTTGTGTGTGAAGGAGAAGGAGAGACTGTTGAAGAGAATCATCTTCTTGGATTTTTCAAGATCGTTGGGATTCCTCCATCGCAGAAAGGTGTTCCGGAGATTAATGTTTGTATGGACATTGATGCGTCGAATGCTTTGCGTGTTTTTGCAGCTGTGTTGATGCCTGGCTCGAAAAGCCCTGTGGTTCCTGTGGTTGAAGTGAGGATGCCGACGGTTGATGATGGACATGGTTGGTGTGCTCAAGCTTTGAATGTGAAGTATGGATCTACTCTTGATTTGATTACTCTCCAGAGGAAGATGTAAGGTTTTGAATAAAAAATCGGTTGGTGATAGTTTTTAGAATGATGAGATGTGAGAGTCTGTTTGATATTATGATCTTTTAGAGGAGAGTTTGTATAGTTTGTGTGTTGGGTGTGTTGTATTTAAGTTGTAAACAATGTTCATATGTGTAATGAAGTAATACTGTTCTTGTAGAATAACATTCTTTCTTTTGAGCTTTTGATATTTTGTGTTGCAAGATTTTTAGAGACCAAAATGAAATTTAAGAGACTCACAATTATCAAGCTTAACTACGTAAAGGAATTAGAAAAAATCGCTAGAAGGAGGGGTCGAACCTCCGACCTTGTGGTTAACAGCCACACGCTCTAACCAACTGAGCTATTCCAGCTTAGCTGTCGTAAATTTCACGATGAGAAATTTTATAAATAAAACTACTTTGTTTACTTTTCTATGTATCAAATTATTTTTTTTTTCTGAGTTTCATTTAGTAAGTAGGAGAAGTCCAAATGTTTGTATGAGTTTCAAACTTTTTTTCTTTGTTCTGTCTCGATTTTGATCCCATATCTTGTGATTGACCAACATTTAGGTAGGTGTAGAGAACTTTATGTTGTTGGAGTCAAAAGTTTGTATAAATTTTGCCAACAAATCAGGGATTCATATCTAAATTTTACAGACTACTGTACATTTGATCCAAACTTGCTCTCACTCTCTCTCTCATCACACATACATATACATATAGTGACAGAGACTATTATTAGCAAACAAATTAAAAGAACGTAAGTTTACATGTTGACCTATCAACCAAGTGGTTGGGCAGAATTGGAGACAAGGGGCAGAAAACCAGGCACCTATTACCAACTCGAAAAGTATACTTAATATTGCTTATTATTATACAAGTTTTGAGTCCTTAACTTATGCAAATAATAGTTATTTCAAATCCTCCCCCCCCCCCCCAAAAAAAAGAATATTTAGTTGTTTCATATGGTGATTTAATTAAACCTACTTAAAAACAAATTTAACATTATCGTCAAATTTAACTGCAATTAATAAACCCATATGCACATTATTACAAGCATGAGATGAGATGAGAAACAAAAATCCTATTTCGTGCCGATAATTCAAAGTGTTAACAAATAAGAATTATTTAGACATGTATATATGGTTTTCCGGCATTTGTTCACGTATATTCAAGTTTATCATATTGTACTAATTCTTTTAAATTGTGTTTGGTTTCACAAAATAGTCGCAATTGAGAGGGTCTAGAGGCTAGTTCTATTTCTTGAGTGAATAAGACAAAATGTATAGTCTTATTTTTACCTAAACCAACTAACTATTCATATATACTTTTGATTATTAATTAGACCCTTATATAATTATAAATTGCTAATCATAGTTCTATAATTTATTTAGGTCGAGTGGACCTTCCAACATCCGTCTCTTAGGATTCTCAATTATTTTGTTTTGTCTCACCTTGTGTTATGTGTTAAATCTAATGGAAAGAAGCAAAAAAAAAAAGCAAAACCACATTGTGAATACATTTTGGTTAATATTAATTAAAGCAAAATCTTACTTTATAGCATTCGAAAAAACATGACCTATTTTTCTCTTTACTAAAGTGTGGAATCATAGTAATATTCAAAAACAGAATCCATGCCTTGATACTATATAAACAACTAGAGAGTTAATCGATGCCTCAAGCTTTGAGCTTTGGTGGTACTTTGCTGTAGCTACTCAACCCTATTCTTCATTGACCAAGCCAAGCTCATTTTTAACTCTTCGAATAAAGTTTTTTGGACGTATTTACATTTGTTAATTCATAAGTTAAACTATGACTAGAATTATATATTTTTAATTTCGTTTGGATTTGGAGCTTCCCGCAAACTGACTAACTCCGAACAAGTTTTGTCCATATCATTATTAGAAATCTGCTACCAATTCAAATGCTCCGGTCTGCCAATAATTATGTTAAACAACAAAAATAGATGCTTTGATTCTTCTTTTCTAAAAAAAAATAGTGCGGTCTCAATTAACAATTTTCTCTTTCACTCTCTAACAATTTAAACGTCTTTTTAATTTCTTCTCCTGATTTTGACAACAAAATATCTAACCTCATATTATCCAACCAAATATATAAGTTATATCTCATATTTATTCAATCCTTTTCATCATTCAATTTTTTGTTGGTTTTAAATTTTAATTCAACTAATTCAAAACAAGATATATATTATTATTAAAAAAAAAACTAAAGCAATATTTTTGTTGTTGTTCAAATTAAGGCTTAACCCTAAAACAGTATGCACATGACTCCTGAAATAATGCTTGAAAAAACATGTCATTACACAATAACTACATTTGATCAAACGATTGTAATGCTAAGCATATTATTAACCTCTGTTACGGAGTTGAAGATTTTTAATTAAGATTAAAAAAAAGGGATAAAATTGTCAGTAGTTCTTCTAAATTGCTTAACTACTCTTCCTTGAAGACATTGATATGGAAAAAAGAAAAAAAAAAGTTAGGTTCTCTTAATTAATAATCACGTGGGGCATTCATTACACTGGACGTTCTTTCTCATCCCGGCGGCCACCACGTCAGCATATTCGACGTTCTTCCGACAAGAGCGAGACAAGAATGTCGGAGAAAGCTCTAATAACAAACTTGTGTGTGTCGGTTGGATTCAACGAGAGATAACTGAGAAGCAGCTCGTTCAAGAAATCGTACCCGTCGTCGTCGTCGTCGTCGGGATGGCTAAGTTCTCCGTCGACAATGGCGGCATCAATCATCTCCTGCATTGATCGCCGGAAGTCAGTCAACGGATCCGGTGAGTACACGTGTTGCTTCACGGCTGTTCCTCCGCTTAGAAGCCTCGTGGTATTATTATTATTCACGGACGTAGCGTCGTAGTTCTTCTTCTTTTTTCTACTTGTAGTGGCATTCTCGTAATTATCAGATAGTTCTCTTGACCGGGTTTCGGGTGAGTCGGTGATTGCATTGGATCGGCCAGGGGAAGAGAAGAAGAAGCGACGGGAAGCGAAAGCGGCGGATAAAATGTCGTGATTTTCGGATTCAGTTGATGACGTGGCGGTGGAGGAAGAGGTGGTTGCGGTGGTGGTGGTGGAGGAGGAAGGTAAGTCAGCGACACGGTGGTTGCGGTTGTTGTCGTCGTCGTCGTCGTGGTAGAGGAGGTTGAAGTTGTTGATGAGAACGATGGAGGGACGGCTTGGATCTTCTTCGTCGGCGGCGGCGGCGGAGGGAGGAAGGCACGGCGAAGAATAGCATTTGGTGAGATTTGACGGGAAGCAAAGATGGAGGCTTTTCCACAAGATTTTTGGCATTTTTTTTTTCAGAGAATAAATGTTTTAGAGCATATTGGATTTGTTGGCTTATTTTGCAGCTTATATATTATCCACGACCATAATGTCTCACATTACGTTTATGATAAGGGTATTTATGTATTTTACAAATTTCATTGATTGATTAAGTGAGTTACTTAAGAAGTCTCACATTTTCAAGAATCTTCATGCAGCTACCAAGAGTCTGAATGTTGACTATGTTCACCAATCAATCACCACATGCACTTGTGTTGCGAGTTGCAAAACATATTACTAACTGCGTATAGTAATTTTACGTGATCCTTAATTTACATGTGTACTGATGAAAAGTTTATATGTGAGGTAGATTGATTAGAAGAAAAGCAATATGGATCAATCATTTATATACCCTAAATGGTGTTGTACGTTCGAGTGAATGCGAAGGCCAGATATTTTACTTTTTAGGTTTTTCCCTTGCTTTTTTGGTTTTATACTTTCAAGTTTTTGTATTTATTTACTTTCTTTCTGGACTCTGACATACAAAGCTGCATTTAACATGGGGAGCTATTTTCTTTCTTTATTCGTGAATCGTGAGATTTGTTTTATTATTGTTGGTTTATTCGTTTAAGCATATTACAAAAATTGCAAAACATGAATGAAGAATGATTGTCCTTTGCAATTACAGAAGAAAAAAGCTCACGAGGAGGAAAAATTCACCACCTTTGGTCCACTCATCATGACGTAAATTCCAAAAGATGTTAGTTCTAAGTACTCCTACTACCCCTAGTGTGGTCCTGATTTCGGTCCACCGGTCCGATCCACAAGGTCAAGTCGAGTTTTCGCTGGTCCGACCAACCAGATCAATGGGGTCGTGTAGAAATAAAATTAAAAAATCCTAAAAATGATTATCTATCAGTGACTAATTAATTATCACTAAGCCTGCCCTTTTATATGTTGATGGGGATTGCTATTTTGAGGTCGGATCGGGTATGAATAACTCGTATATTCAAACTCTCATTGGATGAAATCAAAGTAAAGGTCATATATAATTCAGAATTTCAGATAATTTTGATATATTGTTAGGGATAATTTTACGAGAAAAATAACTTTTGATGCTTATTAAGTGTTAGGGATAATTTGGATATATGTTTACTTATCCGCTGAAAAATGATACAGAGAGACTTAGAATTTTAGATTGGTTACAGGTAAAATCGAATGACTCTGAGCCGAAATGCACAGCTTGGCTAGATAATCTTGCCGAGGATGGACCGGTGGTACCACATTGCGTAGTTATCCGGCACCAGAAAAGATTCGAACTCATCTTTCCTACGGATAAAATTAGTTTATGTGGGCCACAACAAAAATAATAATAATTATAGCGCTCATATTTGTTGTTACCTCAAAGCTATTATTGACAACCACAAAAAAAACGGCGAGTGATGGATCATCGCATAGAATTAGAAGTGTCTTGGTTATCTTATGGTAACTTGTAGAATGTTTGTTATGCATTGAGACAATTATGCACATATCATGTTGGTTTATGGATAAACAACTTTGCCCCACAAATTGATGTTCTTTATATTTCTTAGACTGGAATTTTGAGACAAGTTTCCTCTATTTTGCTTTCCATTTTTTTTTCTTTTTCCTGGGGTAATCAGTTTGCACAATTATAATAGTTGCAAATGACCAGTTTAGTTCAGCTCGTCATTATTGGACCCAGACTTTGCCCAATCCTAACTTAGCCTCCATTTTTAGGGTTCGGGTCTGATTTGATCGGGATTATGGCAAGTCTAAACCTTGATTTTCTTGGTTTCATGCACAATAAAATATCTTGAGTTATGAATGTAATGTAAGGTTGTTCTTAGTTAAGCGTCTCTCTCTTAAGTACCTCTATCTATTGGGTGTTGTTAAAGGGACATGGGAACTAGTAGACAAGAAAAGCTCATTAATGCGATACATCCAACATTCAAAGCACATGAGATTCCAAACGTAAGTTGTCAGAAGTTAACATCAAACCTAGACAATATAGGCTCAACATTGTTCCAAAACTCTCCAGCTAAGAAACGAGAACAGGAACATGTTCTTTACATATGCATCTCGTGTTTCAAACAAGCTGTTTATTTTTGGTTTTATTACATTCTACGAGTACTCATACCACAAACTTCCGGTTCAAGACGCAGATCGACTTGCTACCTCTAATCCGTTTCCTGCAAAAATTTAACAGCAGAATCTGTAACAAGTTGCAAATAACAGTTCTTGTATATTATGTATTCTGAATAACAAGAGTAACCAAACTATTTGGGCATTGTTAATATTAAGCATCGGTGAATGAGCAAAAGGAGATTAATTACCGTCTGGATCAAAGAAGAAAACTTGCTTGACTTTTCCATCAGGAAGAGACTTCTGGAAAGTTTCAATCCCTTTCTCCTAACATCAATCAACGACGAGAGAAGATCAACGATTAAACACTCAGTAGAAAAACAACTGAAATCAATATTGAAACAGTTGCAGAACACTAGATGATCGTCAAAAGAGTAAGCTTTGAATTTCTGATGAAGCATAATTTGTTTCGACCAGTCAATATTCAATACCAACCATATATCCATACACCCTGATTCTGCATAATCAAGGCTCATGTGAACGAGACAAAGCAAAAGCTAAAGAAACAACACCTTGAGAGAACGAAGGAAAGAGTCGAAATTGCAGACGGAGAAGCAGATATGGTGACCCTTTGGGAGATGGCTAGGATCCCGAACCGCAGAGGTGGCACTGTAAGGACCTTCTGGAAGATTTGTTGAAGGGTTTCTCTGGATGATGTGCATCGCAAAAGCACCTGGTAAGTTTAGCCATATGACCTTTAGGTCTCCAAAATCAGGGCTTTCGATCTCTTCAAACCCAAATACCTGAAAATATTATGATCAGCCCCATTGATTTCAGAGCAAGAGGAAGGAAAAGTTAAATCAAAGAAGGTGAGGAAGAAGAAACACTGACTTGATCAGAAAGGATTAAAATTACGAAAGAGTATGACTACAACAAGTGATGTCTATAATAAAGTTCACTTCTTTTCCCCTCCAAATTAGAACAGTCTTAATTAGAAACGAGACAAGTGAAGAGACGGAAACATCCACAAAAGCACCACGAATCTCTAAAGAAAAACGCTAATTTGCAAATCCTAGATTCAAGTGCTGATGGGTAATCGATACATCCAGTTAATCAATTCAAAGGTTTCGTTTTTTTGTTTATTTTGTGTGTAGAATTTGTAACAACACAAACCCAGAACAGAGAATTCGATGAATCCAAGGAAGCAAAACCTGAAATACATGGAAATAGATTTACAAAAAAAGAGAAGTTTAAGAGATTGAAACGTCGGTTATTACCTCTTTGTAAAACTTGGCGAGCCGTGTGATATCTGATGATTCTCTGGCGATATGGCCAAGAGTCGCCATGTCGGTTCTAAGAAGAGAGAATTCAGAAACAAAGTTGCAACTTTTACAATTTGCGCACACAAAGTGAAACAAAATTGATTAATTAAAAAGATTAGTGAGTAATCATCATTAACTGATGTAGCTTAAGACACAGCCACAAACGTGGTAAAACTTGGTGCGGATTAAACCGGAGATAAGAACTCAAAATTTTTCAAATAAACAAAATCCAACCAATCAGACAAACCGTCAACAATGTATCCGGTTAAGATCCCGGTCCGAATTTAAACCCTATTTCTCGTAATCCTCCTCAATCTCTCATTTCTCAATCGCACTCTCACAGATCAGACGTTAATTCCAGCTCTTCCAGTGAAAGCGATCTCTCGGTGTTTCCGCGAAACGCCGATCGATCGGTTGAGAGAATTTGATTATGGAAGGGAATTCAGGCGGCGGAGCTGTCGGCGGAGGAGCGGCAGCTGGAGGTGGAGGGAGCGATGTGGAATTGGTCAGCAAGACGTTGCAGGTGGAGCATAAGCTTTTCTATTTTGATCTAAAGGAGAATCCTCGCGGAAGATACCTTAAGATATCGGAGAAGACGTCGGCGACGAGGTCAACCATCATCGTTCCTTCCTCCGGCATCTCCTGGTTCCTCGATCTCTTCAATTACTACGTCAATTCCGAGGAACACGAGCTGTTTAGCAAGGAATTGCAGCTTGATTCAAAGGTCTCGTCTTTCTTAGCTTCATCACTCATCTCTGTTACGGTCGTTGACTTTTTGTCTCTTTATCCTTTAGGTGTTTTACTTCGACGTCGGTGAAAACAGGAGGGGACGCTTCTTAAAGGTATCAACTTTCTTGTTTTCCTATACGCATCTGAGGTTTTAAGTTGGTGTGAACTTGAAGTTTAGGAATGTTCTTTTTCGTATTGGTAAATGAGATTTGATAGCTGAAAATTCTGATGGGTTTGATATGGCATTAGGTGTCAGAAGCATCTGTTAGTAGAAACCGAAGCACCATTATTGTTCCAGCTGGGAGCTCTCCTGATGAAGGATGGGCAGCTTTCAGGAATATCTTGGCTGAGATCAATGAAGCATCAGGGCTTTTCATGATGCCAAATCAGGTGGGATCTCGTTTTTTTTTGTTGGTTAAACATGAGCTCTCTGAGTCTCTCTCTCGGTCTCATTATGTCTTTCTCTCTTGGAAACAGAAACCTTCTGATGCACAGGAACATCTGGCTGGGCTTTCAGATGATGTTGGAGCTGGATTTATACCTGGACATGGTAGCCAAGCGGCATCCTCTTCAGAACTTACAGTGGATCGAGCATCTGACTTGCAAGGCCAGGATGAAACCGGATTGACTGGTGTTTCTAAAGTAATCAGAGCTGACCAGAAACGTTTCTTCTTTGATCTTGGGAACAACAACAGGGGACATTTCCTGAGGATATCTGAGGTAGTCTTACAAGTTCTATCTTGTTTTGCAGTTTTATAACTCTTGAGAGCTTGGTTTTAAGTTTTAAACATTGAGCATTCTCAAAACGTGAAAATATAGGTGGCAGGTTCTGACAGGTCCTCGATCATTCTACCTTTATCCGGTCTAAGGCAGTTTCATGAAGTAATTGGTCACTTTGTGGAGATCACCAAAGATAGGATTGAAGGGATGACAGGTGCAAATGTCAGGACAGTTGATCCTCCTCAGAGATGAATATTTTGATTCTTTTAAGGGGATGGAATTAAATGGAACCAATTCAAAATTCCAATCCCTTAACATATTGAATCTGGCGACATCAAGTAGCTGTTTCTGATCGTGGTGTGCAATAGCTTCACGTAATGTATCACTCATTCACATCATCTAAAATAATTCGGCAGGATCATCATTTGGCTTACATAGCAGATAAAAAGTTTGGACTTTGGAGTCTGCATCTGGGAATAAGCTGAAATCATCCACCATTTGTATCTCTCTATCTCTCTCCCTTCCATTCCTCTTAATAGACAGTTTGAAAAATGGTGAGTCCTCATTTGGTTTTGTTCTGTTTAACTTTTTTTTTTTTGTTTTTTTTTTTCTCTCAGTTTGGGTCATTGGGTGTATATCTGTTGACAGCATCATGCGTTTCAATTGTAAAAGAATATTGGGGTTTATATGTTTGGGCTAATGCCAGTGGTAATAAAAATTGAAGTTCTATATATACTTAATTGATTTGCCAACTTGACCTGGAGATTACCATTTTTGTTTTTGCAATTGAAACTACAAATGACTAACTTTTGTGTTTTAACTTGTGAATCACATATTTGTTTGCTAAATAGTTTAAACTTGGAAATGACTAACTATTGTGTTTTTACCTTTTGAATCGCTAGATAGTTTAAAATTGAAAAAAAAAATAATGTTACTTCTAATCCAAAGAAACCAAGAAAACTTGCTACACGTCTAATACTGAAGGAGCAGGAGCAGTGGCGAGAATGCTTTTGTGATTAAAAGATTTTGCCTTTTTAACCGATTCTACGATTTCAGGTAGACCAAATTTGGGAGGACTAAACAAATCACGTCAAGAAATAATGTAAGTTGGTGTACAATCAAGAGAATTTGTTGATAGAAAACAAACAGCTTTTGTGAAAATAAAAAACAAAAATTAAAAAAAATATCAGCTTCAGACAAGAAGAGAGAGAGTGAGTGAGTGAGCTTTTTAATCAAAAGGTCAAAAGCGAAGACGAGTTAAGTCGGCGTATCCTCCTCCTTCAATAAACCATCCCATCCTCTGAAGAGAAACCCTAGCCTTCACAATCGCCGCCTTCTCCAGATACATCTCTATCTACTTTTCTTGATTTCAAGGTTTGAATCAACCGACTTAATAAGCCGCCTCCTCATTTACGAGTCTTTCGAGATCTTTGAATCTTGCACGGGATTTATATCACCAGAGGTTTTGGAGATCTTCTCTGATTCCTTTCTTCTTGAATCGTTTGCAGATACACGATGAAACCGGATCGAATTTTGTTGCTCTAGATCCGTCCAGATTCATCATAAAAAATCATGACGCTATTTCCAGAGGACGACTCGATACAAATCCGCGAGGTGTGGAACGAGAATCTTGAATCAGAGATGGCACTAATCCGAGAAGTCGTCGACGATTTCCCTTTCGTCGCCATGGACACAGAGTTCCCCGGAATCGTCTGCAGACCAATCGGAACTTTCAAGACCAACACAGAGTACCACTACGAGACCCTCAAAACAAACGTGAACTTGCTCAAGATGATCCAGCTCGGCCTCACTTTCTCCGACGACAAAGGAAACCTCCCGACATGCGGTGGCTCCGACAAGAAACACTGCATCTGGCAGTTCAACTTCCGCGACTTCGACCTCAATTCCGACATCTTCGCTCACGACTCCATCGAGCTTCTCCGTCAATCAGGCATCGATTTCGTCAAGAACAACCAGATCGGTGTCGACTCGAGACGTTTCGCCGAGCTCTTCATGTCTTCAGGGATCGTGTTGAACGAGAGTGTTCACTGGGTCACGTTTCACAGTGGGTACGATTTCGGTTACTTGCTAAAGCTCTTGACTTGTCAGAATCTGCCGGAGACGCAAACCGGGTTCTTTGAGATGATTAGTGTGTATTTTCCGAGAGTTTATGATGTGAAACATTTGATGAAGTTCTGCAATAGCCTCCATGGTGGTCTGAACAATTTGGCGGCGCAGCTTGAAGTTGCTCGAGTCGGGGTTTCTCACCAGGCTGGATCTGATAGTTTGTTGACTTCGTGTACATTTAGGAAGCTGCAGGAGAATTTCTTCGTTGGTTCCATGGAGAAGTATTCTGGTGTTTTGTATGGCTTAGGTGTTGAAAATGGTCACATTGTTCACTGAAAAATTGATTATATTTAAATTATAAACCACAAAATTAAACGTTTATAACACTTTTGTTCTTTACTTTGATTCATTTTTTTGATGGTTTTAGATTACATATGTAGGTTGTTTCATAGAGAAGAGAACTATCCACACGAATTGTACTCGAAATGCTTTTTTTTTTTGACATCAATTGTTCTTGAAATACTTTACATGATGAGTAAGCAAAACACAAAATTACACAACCACACGAATTATTCTCCAAATCTGGTTTCGTATTGAGCTCCAAAACGACCAAACGAATTATATACTTCACATGTTTAGTTAAGTATTCATTGGCAGATTTAAGAGGATCCAAATTAAATAAATAGAAGAGGACTCAAATTAAATAAATAGCCCAGTGAGGCCCATTAAAGTGGCCCATATTCGCAACAAATCTGTAAAATTGGTTTTAAGGGTTCGTAAAACCCTAATATATAAACTCGTTACTCAATTTTTGCTTCCCTGAAACTCGTCGTTGTAGCCTCTCTCTCTCCCTCTAAGGTTAGTCTCTCACTGCACTGCAGAGTTCCTCTAATACTGCTTTTGTTTGAATTTGATCTGTGTTATGTATGTATGTAACGAAATTTTCTTCCTTCTCCGACGATTTTGCTTCGTTACAAATCCCTCCCCGTATTTGTTTTTGCTGATACTGATTAACTTTGTTTTTATTGGCAGATTATAAAAGGACTTTTGCTTTTCGTTCGTTAAGGCAAATTCAAAGAGTCAACATGTCTGGGTAAGCTTCTGTTTTTGATACATCTATGTTGATTTTACACCATTTCTTGTTTTAACCTGCTGAATCGGTGATAAATAAATAGTAAAGCTTAGATTTTTTTAGATCCATTTTAGGTTGTTAGGCTATTATATATTGGACTTGTGCAATTTGATGCTAATCCGAAGTCATTCAATCTCTAGACTAGCTAATTCAGGTATAGATTACATCGAATTCAGATTTCTTAATATGCTCCATAAGTCTAATTGCTTATTGTTGAGAGTTTAGGTATGGTTAATCACATAGAATCAATGTTTGTGGTGTGTGTGGCCGAGTGTTAATTCTTTCCTTTTATATCAGTGATGAAGCTGCTCCTGCTGTTGTTCCTCCGGCTGCTGAGCCAGCTGCAATCCCAGAGGACATGGACTTGTTGACTGCATTGGAGTTGACTCTTAGGAAGGCTCGTGCTCATGGTGGTGTGGTCCGTGGTCTCCATGAAAGCGCTAAGCTTATCGAGAAGCGATCTGCTCAGCTCTGTGTCTTGGCCGAAGACTGCAACCAGCCTGATTATGTCAAGCTGGTCAAAGCTCTTTGCGCTGATCACAACATCAACTTGCTTACAGTACCGAGTGCCAAAACCCTCGGCGAATGGGCTGGCGTAAGTTGTCTTTACTTCTCTTTTTTTTTTGTTAAAAGCTCTCTTTTTTAAGGAATGTTCGGTTCTTTTTGTACGACTCTGTTAGATAAATGAGTTATAATCTTGATTGTGGTTGTAGCTATGCAAGATTGATTCAGAGGGCAATGCGAGGAAGGTTGTTGGATGCTCATGCCTTGTAGTCAAGGTAAAGAGTCTTTTTACGTTCACTTAATCCATGAATCTTTGGAACCTCTTAAATAACATAAAATGTGTTTTGACTTGTGTATGGTGATTCATTGTGGCGGTTTTGTTTTTGGCTTTTACAGGATTACGGTGAGGAGACGACTGCACTCAACATCGTCAAGAAGCATATTGAATCTAACTAAATCAGCAACGTCGAATTTCAGATGCTTTCATCCTAAAAGAAACGCATTTTTTTTTCTTTCTTGTGGCCACTCTCTTTTTCTTATGTTTTCTTTGTTTTTTTGATATTTAATACTTCGTAGTGAGACAGGTCTTGAGAATTTGTTTGGAACATGAAGTTTTGTTGTTATCTAGTCTATCAATTTCATGACCCAATTCCCACATTAAGATTTTATATTTGCTCAGCATAAAGTCTCCATCTTTGATCATTCAATCCATTCTTGAAAACATCGAGTCTCCATTTTTGGTTTGGTCAAAACATTGTGCGCGAGATGTTTTTTTTCTCGTTCAAAGAAAATGAAAAACCAGGAGACAGTTTTTTTTTGGTTTTAGTAAAACGGGTTTTACACTAACAAAGAGGACGTCAAATTAAAAGAGAAAAGTAAAAGGAAACATGGTTAAAATCTGTATAACCTGTAAAACATGATTGTAACCAAACCCAAAAAAGAAATATATATATATATATATATATATCTGTAAAACCTTACTAAAGCTCTCGTCTTACACACTCGGGTCTCATCCCTTCTCCCAAAATTTCGACTTTTATAAATCTTAATCAATCTCATAAAGCCTTCTCCTTTCTCGCCGACTCTTAGAAGATTTTTAGGGTTTCGATTAGATCTGTGGTTTTTCTAAATTTTGTTCCGATGGGTGAGCGGAAAGTATTGAACAAGTACTATCCACCAAGCTTTGATCCGAAGAAGATTCCGCGGATCCGAAAACCGAAGAATCAGCAGAAGAATGTTCGATATATGCTTCCGTTTTGTATTCGATGCAACACATGTGGGAACTACATATCCAGAGGCACCAAATTCAATAGCCGTGTCGAAGAAGTAATCAACGAGACCTATTTAGGGCTCAAAACACACAGGTTTTACTTCAAGTGCACTAAGTGTTGCGCCGAGCTGATTTTGAAAACTGATCTACAGAATTCGGATTATGTAGTGGAATCAGGTGCAACTCGCACTTATGATCAACACAGAGATGAGAAGCAAGCCGAGGAGAGTGGAGATGCAATGAGTTCTTTAGAGAAGAGAAGTTTGGTTTCTAAAAGAGAGATTGAAGTTATGGCTGCTCTTGATGAGATGAAATCAATGAAATCTAGACGCATGTCGGTGAACGTAGACTCTATGCTTGAGGCTTTGAGTAGAAGAGACGACGAAGAAAAAGCAAAAGAAGAGGATGCAGTGCTGATAAAGTCTATCAGATTTGGTAAGCAGAGGAGGATTGCAGAAGAAGCAACCGATGAGAAGAAGAGAAGAATGGAGGCAATAGATGAGAAGAAACCTCAGACTAAGAGACTTGCTTGCGGAATTCAGACCTCTTGTGTTCGCATAATAACATCAAAGAAGAAGGCAACAAGTAGTATGGGACTCGCATCTCTATGTCACAACTATGGTAGTGATGAAGAAGACTGAATTAGGTTTGCTGAAAATCCAGAATCATGTTATAAACTAGTTCTAGAGACTACCATTATCACTACTTTTGCATATTGAAGTAGCTTTTTTACTTCTTTGTAAATGACAAACATTTTTGGTTACATGATGTGGTTATGAAATGGTTTTCAAGTTAACAGTTTGCTTCATTCTTCTCAAGTAACCACCGGGTTGGAACCGAATACACCACAACCCCAAAAGGTATGGCATTTCACATTTTTACATAATCATAATCTTCCTTAATTGGATTTCATCTCAATGTCTGCATCCTCTTTAGGAGTAGTGTCTGGTGAATCTTCTGGCAAGAGACCGAGTAGAGGCAGAGGGAGCAATGAGCTAAGATTGCATAGGATAATAAGCGTTGACAGGTTACCGAAACTGTCTCTTGTGATGCCGAATACTTGGGTCAGTCCTGCTCCCATAAGTCCACCAAGAACACTGCCTCCATTGGAGATTGACATGAGTGTAGCGAAGAGAGTTGCTTCCATTCCTTCTGGACACAGTCTTGCTGCTAACACAAGAACCGGCATGAATGAAGCCTGTGACAGTTTGATTTTAAGCTGTCAGTGCATTAATACTAACACGTTGCAATAATGCTGCATAGCTGTAGAATCATAACTATAAAGCCTTTGAGAAAACTAATGCAGACAAAAGCATAGACCTGAGCAAGAACTGTTAGGATTAGAGAGTCTCCGATAGCAAACCACTCGTCGCTTATTCCCAACTGCCTGTTTAACCCCGTCACGAGGAAAACCTGCAAAACATAAGAGCAGTCTCAAAAGTTATTATATCGAAGAAGGAAAAGTTCTTCTAGGGAACAGGTGGGACTAACCTGAGTCATCCCGAGACCCGCGCCGAAAATGGTTGTCACGAGAAAGATTTTTCTCAATGGAACAGTCTTGAGGAATCCATTGTACAGTCCTACTCCAAGTAATGAAGCAATTGAAGTCACAAGTTTAACTCGTCCTAGAAACTCTGGAGTAAAGCCGAGCTTGTTCGTTCTGATAATAAATTAAACCAGATAGCATTAGCTAGCAACTTAAGTAAACTACCATCTCAGTGAATATGAAAACAAGCCGTTGACCATGAACCAAGGGGAAGAGGACATACGTGAAGTAAAACATTGCGGAATCGGAGTGTGGTGTGGCTTGCCATAAGAAGATAAATAAAGTCGGGAGAAAAACATTCGGTTGCTTGATGGCACTCCATAGCTGAATCATGTTCTGCTTTGAGGTCTGAAGAAAGCCAGGACTTACCAAGGTTATGTTCTCTTTCTGCCCTGATGCTGCTCTGACCACACGGTGTTCGTTCACGAGAACAGCAACTGCTGAAGTGATCAAAGGTAGCAAAGCTGTCAACCCGAATACAAACCTGAGGTGTAACAGCTTTTAGAATGCCACCAAGTTAGTTATCTATGCAACGTGATACCGGAGAAGATAAGCTTCTTTCAAGGGCTAATTGTGTACTGTACCTCACACCGTATGACTCCACCAGGGAGCCGCTAAAGTAGGAGCTCACAATTCCACCAAAAGCTGAGGATCCCCAGCATAAGGACTGCAGAGATCCTGACACGCTTTGAGACTCACCACGAGCCCGTTCCACTACCATTGAGTCTACTACCTATTGAAACTTAACCACTCAACAATTCAATGTGCTGAAATATCGAGTCTATCTACTCAACCGAGCAAACTTAGCCAGAGTCAACTAAACCATCTAATGGGTTAGAAAAACTTACAACATCAGAAAAGGCGACAGAGAGGGAACCGAGAAGTATACAAGTAGCAGCACTATATTTACTGTCAACAAAACCAGCCATCAAACTCCAAGAAAATGCACCAAGAAGTCCCGAGAGAACTAGATATGACCTCCTTCGATAGCCAAATAGAGGTACAGAATCACTGTGAAAAGGACCAAGTTTCTTAGACTTTGCTATTTGGTCACAATGGTCTTTCCAAGATATAATCAGAGTGTTAACAAGAACAGAGGTGATGAAGGAGTCATACCTGATAAAACCATAGAGAGGCTTAACAAGCCATGGCAATGAAGAAAGCCCCGTTATCACAGCTGTCTAGTCAAGAATTATATTTTGTCAGCCTCTAAAGATTATTTTCATGAAAGTTCGATAAGAAAAGTCAATCAATCTCCTTACAAATCTGCATTGCAAATTCACTTATAACACCGATTTTGCAAAACATTACAAGGACATACCTCTGCAGGATCAAGATGCAAGTCGTCTTTTAAATAAAAACTAACAGCAAGCCTCGCGAGCCCTAAAACACCTTGAACGAAATACACCATTGCTACTGCAACATTGTCCGGTGATAACTCAACACCGAAAATTCTCTTTCTGCTACTAAGGTTTCTTCCTTTACGAGGCTGTGTTCTAATAGAAGTATCTCTTTCTCCTTCGATATCTGTCTTTGATGTATCTCCTTCAACTACACCTATAAACTCACACATTTCTCAAATTAGAAAATTTGAGAAATACCCAATTCGTGATCATAAGAACAGAAGCTAGTCCCAAGCTCACTAATTAAACACACAAAAATGGTAATTTAATAGTCGCGCGATTTTCAGTATCTCTTAATCCGAGAATTTTGAATTTTTGCCAAAAATTAATCTCAGAGTGTCACAATACTGACTACTGCGAACCAATTCCTTCAAAACACTATATTTCGCTATACCCAGAAAATTTGAAAGCATAAGGAATAAATGGTAGATGAGGAACTTACTAATTCTAGAATCTAAAAGCAGGCTTTCCTCAGAATCCCGCCTGCGAGGAAGCTCCGGGATTGAAACTATGGCGGACATATCTCTTTTATCCGGAGGTCTCCGACGAATCTTCCGGCGGTGGGATCGGGCGGCGATTGCAAGGCGTCGTGTCCCGTTGTTAGTGGGGAGGAAGGTGAATGGCAAAACTGTGATTCGAGAAGGTGAGATTGGGATAGAGAAAAGATTGCGAGTCGCCATTAAATTAAAATAATTAACCTTCTCTTTTTAATGAACACTCCGTGTCTTGCGCTCTCCTCCAGTCTGTGGATATATAATATACATTTTCTTTTCTTTTTATCTTCTGACCTTTTTTACTTATACAACAATTATTTTAGGTAATTTTTTCTGATTATTCTTTTTTTTCCTTAACATCTTCATTTTCTTTTTAGCTAGCTACGCAAGTGACAAATAAAATTTTTTGTTTTAAAATTTGTCATTATATATATTAAAAAATTTAGAAACAAAAAAAAAAGGTTCTGAAACTACAACTGAAAAAGTTAAGAAACTGAAACTGAAACTTCATTTATGTTCAAGACACTGAAACTGAAACTTCATTTGTTTACATAAAATTTACATGAAAAATACATGACAGCATTTTTTTTATGAAGCAAAGATTAGTTCATAAAACAAATTAAAGAATTAAATTTATTATCAAACAGATAACATTTTTGTTGTATACTACAATAGCGACAACATTTATACCAGCTGCTAAATTTATTTGTGGTAACTGCTAACCTTCAAATAAAGCATACAAAGTTTCTTAAACTAGCTATATAACCACAAAAATTAGAAAAAACAATAAATCGTCTAATTGGAAAAATGGTCAAACATGGTTTGCCATGTGGCATTATGGGCATATCGCAACTCAATAATAGGAGTTGGCCGAATGCTAAAATGATCCAAGACATTTGATTGTTGCGTATTTGACCGCGCGAAGCAAGAAGGAAAGTTCTGTTTTTTTTTTTTGTTACAAAATTCTGATTACTTAAATGGCGATATGTAGAACCAAATATCATAACCCATAAAATATTATTTCTAAAAAGAAGCCTCAGATAAACCTAGAAAACTCAAAAGAATCATCATCATCATCAGAGATGGATATCGACTCATGCAACATCAAACCAACGGACAAGTCCCAAACCGCCGTAAGTTCCTCACCGCCGGTTAAAATCCATCTCCGGCCAATGACTCTCTCCGACATCGACGACTTCATGGTGTGGGCAACTGACACAAACGTCACACGCTTTTGCACGTGGGAGCCTTACACGAGCCGAGAAGCCGGGATGGCTTTCATTAACGACGTCGTTTTGCCACACCCTTGGCTCCGAGCTATCTGCTTAGACAACGACCGTCCCATAGGCTCTATCTCCGTCACGCCCGTCGACAAGATCAGAGGAGAGATCGGTTACGTCATCGGAAGTAAGTATTGGGGGAAAGGAATCGCGACGGAGGCGGTTAGGCTTGTGGCGGCGGAGATATTCAAGGAAAAGCCGGAGATGGAGAGGCTTGAGGCACTTGTCGACGTGGATAACGTCGGATCTCAAAAGGTTCTTGAAAAAGTTGGGTTTGTGAGAGAAGGCGTTATGAGGAAATTTATGTATCTTAAAGGAAATGTTAGAGATATGGTCATGTTTAGTTTCTTGCCTTCTGATTCTTTGCACTGATCTTGATTTATATCTATAGGTAAAACACATTATAGTTTTTCAGAGTAATTAATTTGTCTGCTATATATCTGTATTTTGCTCAGTTTGTGAATCACATGTATAATTTGATGTGATGCTCTATGAATTTCTCTTCTTCTTATGTTGTTGTAACTTTTATACATTTACCATATATATTATACCATAATTATTTTAATAATTGGAGAGTACAGGCCTTTGTATCTACCGTGTTCACTTCATCAAATAAAACAAAGATTCCATTTCTCATAAAAAAAAGTAAGTTTAACACTGATCTTTAAAAGCACCCTAGAAAAAAATGTGAAAAAAATACAATATATGTACTTATATGTAATGAAAACAAAAAAGCACAAGATGGTATGAAGATTTCTAACAACGATTAGATGAATGAAAATCTGTTCAACAAGATTATGTTAAGAAATGGTACAAGACAAATATACGAATAAAAAATCTGTTAATAATACTCAGACAACATGTTGAGTCTTTGCATTGACTACTAGTCTACTACAACTAATCAACTATACACCAACGCGACGACCACACCACGTTTGTACAGTACCACAATTATTAACAGTACCAAAAGAATTTACTGTAACCACTTGAAAAAAAAAAGGTTTAAAATCCTATTTGGGAAAGCGACCACTCTCGTCTTGTCACGTGGAGTTATGGACATCCCACTGGAAGCAACACGGTCCGATCTATACTTTGTTTGGCAACCAAGTAAGTGTCGAAAGTCAAAGGTCAAACTTGACAACAATCCACTCACACGATGACACATCATCTTCCTGTCGTAGCTTTCATCAATATTTTAATCGAAGAATAATATAATACTATCACCAACTTTATTTTAAGCAAAACCAAGAAGCCAAAAAATTCAAGTTTTTGCTAATCGCGATGTGTATAAAACAAGATATCGCATTTGACGTTATTGATGTGATATCTCAAAAAGATCATTATCCTAAATGGAGACGACGGACTCGCACGAGACACAACCAACGGTGGTTTATTCGCCGCCGGGAAGAATATCACTCCGGCCGATGACTCTTTCCGACGTTGACGACTACATGGTTTGGGCCACAGACGCTAAAGTAGCACGCTTTTGCTCTTGGGAGCCTTGCAAAAGCCGAGAAGAAGCCATCAAATACATAACCGACTCGGTCTTGACACACCCTTGGCTCCGAGCCATCTGTTTAGAAGACGACCATGCGATCGGATACATCTTGGTCATGCCGGTCGATAAGATCAGGAAAGAGATCGGTTATGTGTTAGCGAGAAAGTATTGGGGAAAAGGGTTCGGTACGGAGGCGGTGAGGCTAGTGACGGCGGAGATATTCAAGGAAATGCCGGAGATTGAGAGGCTTGAGGCACTCGTCGATGAGGACAATGTGGGATCTCAAAGGGTTCTTGAAAAAGTTGGGTTTACTAGAGAAGGTGTTATGAGGAAGTTTATGGTTATGAAAGGAAGTGTTAGAGATATGGTTATGTTTAGTTTCTTGCCTTCTGATACTTTGAAGTAAAATTGATCAGCAAAAAGATTATTAATTCAGATTATATAACGCTGGCCTTAATGTGATTCATAACGTAAAATATGATGTAAACACTCTGTTTCTGTTTTTTTCTGTTTCCTCTATATTTATGAGCTTATTTTTAGGTTTGTATTAGTGTCTTGTCTCCTCTAAACCAAGTACACTTGGCCTTTTGAATATTTGTATTAAACAGAGAATTTACATCATCAATTATAGAAACCATTTGAATTCAAGATCTCATGGTCTTTGACAATAAAAGATCAAAGGCGTTGGAAAAGAGTGTAACAGGGAAATTTACTCCTCCATTCAAAAAGATCGATCTTGGATATGGTTTCGATGTAACTCGATGATGTTATGAGCAGTGTTGATGGAAAAACAAGTCACAACTGCATCCCACATTCCTGAAGTTTACAATTAAACAAATGAACGGTGTCTTTGAAATGAAACATATATAGTGTCTTTGAAATGAAACATATAGCATCTTGGCTTAAACAAAAGCGAGTCATCGCAGTTTCTTACCTGCGTGACCTGATTCATTGTATACTACAACAAAATCACCACCACACATAGAGAAGCCTTCAGTTATTCCTTCACTGCTCACAGAATATGTTTACAACAAAACTATTTTTGTAAAGTGACATAATGATTGTAGTTACATGAAATCACCAATGCAAAGTTGCTTGAACACTTTCAATTGAGTTCCATTATGTTTACCAGGAAAACAGATATTCATGGTACCTAAAACTAAGTACACATTCCAAAACCATATTAGGCTGATCATGATTGTGGCAAATGTAAGTTATTCCGACACTTTTTCTGCTTTGGATTGGTATTTAAAGACTTTGCAAAGAGGTTGCTCATGAAGAGAATATTAGAAAAGGGTTTAAGACTTACTTTAGAATAACCATTCCTAGCCATTACCGTAAAGGGATAAGTTTACAATCCAAGAAAGATAGAACACCATAAACAAAAACCAGAAAATAGTCATAGAATAACATAAGGACTGTAAAAACTAAGAGGCCATGATCTCAAGTTATAAAGTCGGAAACATTTGCATAAAGCTTCACGTCCTCTGCATGGTGTAGAAAGGTGTGAACTCTGTGATGACCCTGAAACGCACCCATTCCTTGGATTTCAACTCTTCTGACAGTTCCACGCTCGAAATTGTAGTAGAAAACATAGAAAAACACTGATAAATAGCGAGGGGACAGCACAATTTCATCTCTACTAGTACCACAAGTCATTCCAATAAAGTATAACTTGGACTCTGCAACTACATTCTTCCACAAAAGAGAAAATACGTATACTTGCTTCGACCATTCATGTTTCTCAGCGTCTACTAGAACCCACAAATCAAAACCACTACTTTGTCCAGTAACTTCGCCACCCAAATCTGCCGTGAGCATACCTAATTTACCCTTGTAGTTTACCACAACTTCTTCACGCCACAGATCAACCTCGGCTTTTCTGATAGATCCAAACTTCTCAGACCTAATATCAAAGCAAATGATAGTAGAAGCCCCTAGATCATCTTCGACCATAGCTTGATAATACAAACAACCATCGATGCATATCCCATCAAATACGGGATGATGAGGTATGCCACATTGGATCATTCTCCATGATAGGTTTCCAGTTTCTAATGTCAGAACTTGATGCTCCTCAGTTATCCCTCTATCTCTGTAACATGACCAGCTCATGGACAGTATCTTGAACTTTTTACCAATCTGATCATACACGAAGAAGCTTCTCACGTTAACCCTCCTCGTCTTCACTTTCGGTAATTCAAATGACTGTCCGGTGCTAGGGTTACATATAACCGGCACCGTTTCTTTTCTTCCCTTCACGATCCGCTGATGCGTGTGGCAGACGTAACCGCGGACATGGCCACAAATTAGGCTGGAGTATTGGTCAAAGGGGAACTTCGCGTGATGTTTGAGGGTTACAAGAGGCGAGTTCTCGTTTTGGACCTGAGGTGCTGAGAAGAAGTGCGAGTCATCGTCTTCTTGGCAGGAGAACAAGAGTTTTGGAAGAGAAGAAGATCTTGTGAAGAACATTTCTGTGAAATCTTGACGGCCAAGCATGGAAGACCATGGCTTCGATACGCAGCGAAATCTCGCAATAGATTTTGCCGGTAATCTCAAGAGTATTTCGAAAATAAGATCATCAACTGGGATCGGCTCAGCCTCCGAGACCTTCTGCAGCCGCCGTGATTTCATGGCGGACACTTGCTTTGAACCCTAATTCCCTTGAATTAACTAGAGAGGTTTTTCGGCAATATCATCTAAAAATGAACCATATTGATGGGATCTAGATTAATTGTTAATTTTAATGTTAATTAAATCTTTTAATTTATGCTTAATCATAGGGCCAGTAGTCTCCATTCTCCACTTCCCACTTCCCACTTTCTTTATTTTTTCTTTCTTTGTAGGATCGATCAATTGTTTTCCTTTGTGTATTTAAAGACTTCATGGTTAAGAACTTAAGATAATGGCACAAAAATAAGCAAGTTATTCTCAGTCAATTTCCCAAAGATTAGTGCATATTCTATATGTTGGACTCACTTAGTGTATGATTCATATGTAAAAATAGGATGTCAACAATGAAAAGTTCAAAAAACAAAAAATTGATGTAAACACTCTGTTTTGTTTCTCTCTCTCTCTCTCTCTTTTTTTCTGTATTTGTGAGCTTGTTGTTATTTTTGGTTTGGAAAATAAGCTATGGAAAGATTGAAAATTTGCCTAGTATCGTTCGGAACGTTCTTTTAAAAAGAAAAAAAAAGTATCGTTCGGAACGACTTTATGAACAATTTTTTTTTTTTAAATGGCAATAAACTCAGATTGTGTATGAGAAAGCCCATACATCCCAATATTATGGTCTAAATCCAAGGTTCATTAAAGATAAACAATTTCAGTGGTGACATAAATTTTGAATTTAAGTGTAATTTTTATCTTCAAGATTATGTGTATATTTATAATTTTTTTTATTTTATTTTTAGCAATAATCTATAGTTCTATTACAAATTATGAAAATTATTATATCAAAAAATTTATAACGGATATATACTTGCCAAACAAATATTATGTATAAACCTATTTCTGTTAATTTATATATATAATAATAAGTTGTATTTTTTGGAATTCAGAACTTAGATTTATTTTTTAGTCTGACAATATTAATGAATTTTTTTATTAATCATTAGACTAAATAGGCTTCTTGTATATATGAGTTTATGTATCTCTATTTAGTGAAGTGAACGAGATAGAAAATATAAAATAATCTGAAAAAGGAGGATAAAAGAAAAACGATTTTTGGTCATAGAGAAGAAGAAATAAATCTGCGTGTGAGGCTGCTTTCGCTTCCCACTCACGAAAGCCTATACTATAATTTTATTTTATGCAGCCTTGTTCTGACTTATACTTTTAGAATTTGTTTTGACTTCTTATCATTTTGTATTTTTTACAATTTAGCCTCAGTATAAATACATATACATGTACAGTTGTACACAGTATGCCAAAATATTTTTCGGTTCCTTTTAAAGTTGCTTCATATGCTTGTACAAAGATTCCATTCAATATAATTGGCCACTTAATACATATATAGGCTATAGCTATACAATTAAGATTAGTTCAACTAATCGTACGAAACAAATATATTTTGTGAACTTTATTGATAAAATCACTTTATAAATATGAGATTCTATTGACATAAGAAATTATAACTCCTATAAATCATAACTCGAAAATAAATTATTAACTGTATAAGTGTAAGAAAAAAATGGATTAACTTTTATAGGTGTTCAAGTAAATCATTTCATTATACACTTCTGGACCACACTTTCCATTCCTTCTTTATATAATTGTTAATGTTCTGGAAAATAAGAATTTCAATGAAAAAATAGAACTGATCATTCTCTGACTTCACACATTTTACAAGAATGTTTTTGTTTTTTTGGTTTATACTTATTGCCAAAAAAAAGGTATTTCCAAGTGTTGTTGTAATCACGAAAGCTGAAACAAGAGAAAGCATGAGCAAATAGGAAAAAGAGAAAAGCGCATGAGATTACACAACACACTCTCTACACTTCCATACTCTTTTTCAATCATTTCCTTGTACATTTACATCTCCACACTATTCTCTCTCTTACACTTAATTTTTGATGTATCAATAATATTAAACCATAGAAATTGTCTACATAAATTACAGTAAATAAACTCAAACTAATGATTGAAAATTATTAAACTTTTTGCACGCAATGCTATTAAAATAATGCAAAGTGTTTATATTTCAAATTTGCATTAGATGTTATATAAGTTGATATATTGACAGATTTTAGTGATCAAATAGTTGAGTTTCATTTCTCCCATAATACTATATCAATATGTTTAGTTAAGTTGTTTTTGTACTTTATGATTTGACTAACTTTTTTGATCAAATAGTTCCCTCACATTTTCCTTGTTATGTATATTAAGATCTATCATTAACATGTGTGTGTGTTTATGTGTGCAACCCTCTTTCCATTTACCAATCTTTGGTCCCAAAAACACAGAAACAGCAGCCGATTGATTTGTATGTAAATTACTCTAGTAGTCATGTGTTTATAATGAATGTCAAAATCGATATAATATCATAACTCTGAGTCTGTGAGTACGCATTCCATGACTCATTTATATATGATAGTAAAAAAATAATCATTGAATTTATAGAATCAGAGAATGAGTGAGCTTCGAGGTTATCAAGATACCCTAACTTTTACAGTACAACGATCATTACAATACGTCATCTTTTGATTCTTTTAACTTTTTCTTTGCAAGGAAACAATGATAATGAATAAAAATACAACAATTGCTTTTCTTTTTGTATAGTCTTTTTATTACACTTAAACGGCTAATCTTAATACCTTATATTACAAGCATTACACCATCATTATCTCGGGAACACACTTCTACTTATAACATGCAAAAAAAAATTCCCTACAAAAGAATGATTAGTTATAAAATTCTTTTTCTTCCATCTGTCAGTTTGATAATCCTGCAAAACACACAAGTTTTTAATAAGTTAAACTGTTATTAACAAAATCGAAATAAAACTACATTGAGATTAATTTTACCTAAAAAAAGAAAATCCATGAGAAAGAAGAACCAAGTCAAAATTACAATCCTCTTTACACCTGTAAAACCGAAAACTTACCCGTTAAGACACGTTGAAAAAACCGAACCGGAAACATATGTATATCAGAAATTGGACCAACCTGTTGTTTGTTTCCTTTGTGTTAAAAGGAGCAATGGAATGTCTCAATCACTCTTCAAGGCTTCAACAATCAAAAAAATACTTTAATTCACCTGACAAAAGCCGAATCAGATTACATACCGTAAGTGAAATGATGAAGAGAATATACAATAACTCTTTAAGGGATTTCAGAAACAAAGTTTTAAATATAACGAATCTTGGGGTTTCTAATCAGTTTTTTCTTTCTGACGATGCAGAGACAATCATATCACATATTCGAATAAAAAACACGTAAATAGATGCCTATAACAGGTCCAGTTTTATCCAAATCAGTCGCTATGCCTTAAATGATATGAGAGAAACGTGTTGGTTACTTTCTTGGCTTATACATAATAAATGCACACCAATGATAATGGACTTACTTAGTCTCTATGCTGCGTTTCAGGACCACAACTACTACTACTAGTCCACTACTAATTAAGTATTAATGGACTACACTGGCTTTAATAGCTTCATGTCACTGACACTACATTCTCTGTTATCTCCTAATTTTCTGGTTAGATTTATAACTTTTATGAATAGAGATGTTACCTTGAAGAGCGGAGGAAGAACTCCTTTTGGTTGTTTTGCTTTTAGAAAAAAGTTAGCTCGGTGTATCCTCGGGAGTAAGGTAAGAGTTCTTCAGCTTGGACCCGTGAAGTGGAGTAACTCGTGGTTCGCTTTAATCTCTTGTGATTTGACTCAACCTCTGCGCTGAATATGCCATAAACTGGTCTATGATCCGAGAACCGTGACTCCCCTCTTACATAAGACAACTGATGCAGCCCTTCTCCATACCACAATATTCTATCACACCTTTTAGTAACAAAAAAAAGATACAAAACTATTGTCAGATCACAACATGGTTCTTGTTTTCTTTTATAATTGTGAATGCAATAAACTCACCAAGCAGGAGTGCGACGTTTCTCCTTTGGATGCAAATCATCTCCTGCATATCTATCTGAGTTAGTTGAGTATTTGTAAGTTGGTGGGAAGTAAATCTTCCCTTCGTTCCATCCTTTAAACACATGGCCTCGTCTCTGCTCTATCCGTAACTGCAGCAAAAATGTTGTTTTTAAGTGTTTCAGAACAGAAGACACTATATAATGAGGAATGTGAAACTCTATTGCTTTATATATGTTACTAAAATGTACCTGGTCGTTCTCTAGTAATGCTCTCCAGTTTTTCATCTCGACAAGTGCTTTCGCAGATCGATAAGAGAGTGCTATCCGGTAATTCAGATCCCCAAGCCATATTACTCGACTAAATCAAATGGAAAAACCAAAAAAAAAAATGAGTGCAAGAGACTGATGAAGTGGAAGATATGATTCAATCCAAGAGACTCTGAAGATAAAGTTTTTGATTCATTTACTCATGCTGAAGGATATTCTCTGGGGACTTGTCATCTGAAGAACTCTGGACACGAGGAAACCGTGTTTTCTTGAGTATCTCCATGACATCAGAGTTTCTCCTCAGCTCATCTCCTTCTTTTTGTCCCGAGGTCAAATGTGTGCAGACAAAGCAGAAGCTTGTTTGGTGAAGCAACATACTAATTGAGATTGATCCCTACAAGAAACCACAATTGCACATCATCATAATGAACTTAGTAACTAACTAAACTAACTCACACGGTAGTAAAGTTACCTTATTTCCAAGATAACCCATTAAACCTCTGCCAACACAAGATACTTTCATGTTCTTGACGTGTTCTCGTAACTCGCTTTTCACCCAAATTGTTAGAAAGATACCAACCATTTGCTTGCTCGCAACCAAACAATACTGCGATGAGTTCCACGGGATTCTATACCCATTCTCGTTTGATGCATTTGACACCGGAGAACACAAGACTGCGCTTGGTGAATCCCCTGGACCATTATCATCATCCGAAGAACCCCACTTAGAGACATCACTGTGCCGAGAATAATCACTCGGTCTAGAGTAATAATCACTTGGTCTACTAGAGTAATAATCACTTGGTCTACTAGAGTAATCACTAGTCCTTCTTGAGTAATCACTGGCCCTATGATTGCACCTGAAGCTCGGGTCGAAATCACTTGGTCTTTGACTGAAGAATACGCGATCACAGACGCTAAAACGACGGTCAAGCCGTGGCTGTGGCACTGAAGGGTCGTTCTCATCCGTTCTCCATGTGCTCGGGGTCTGGAAAGACCGTCTGTTGAATAAAGTCGCGTTCTTTTGCCTCGAGGATCCAGAGAAATCAGCATCAATCTCTGCAATGGGGACAGGAATAGGAGACGGAGTGTGACAGACGCCGCTTGTCCCAGGGATGTTATTGAGCGTTTTTCTGATGAGTGAATGCCATTTTTTGGCAGGACCATTGTCTTCAGCTCCAAGAACGTTACCAGCATTAAGAGGAACAATCTCTTGGAATCTAAAACAGCACACAACAGTATAAAACATGTCATTAGGATCGTTTCTTGAGCAAAGATGGACATTCTTGGTATAAAGATGTGATAGTAACATACCCGAGTACGTATATATCTGCAGGAGCTGAGGAATGAAGCCACTCGTCAAGGTTTAGATCTGCAGGAGGAGAGAGTCCAGCAACGTTCCATGTAGCTACGAAGATGCTGTTCTCAGGGTACAACCAACATGAGATTCAACTTCCATGGATTACAATATAGTAACACACATTTTGTATATATCTATGTTTACCTGTAGTTTTGGACATCAATGATTCTGGGGTTTTCATAGTTCATTCTCCTTTGTCTAGCTTGCTGCTCCCAGTTCTTATTGAGTTTCTCTGTGATATTCAGAAACCATGAGAAAAAGAAGGAAACATTCTCATAGAGTTTTGATCATGTATAATTGATAAATGATTTTTTTACCAGTTTTGCTCTTCTTGATTGTGCAGGGCTCCCTCGCGGAGAAGCTATTTCTGTGCTCAGCTTCTTCAACACCTTAATTAATTTAAAAAACAAAAAAAAAACAAGAAAGAAAACAGACGATTGAAATTAGTCACAACAATCCAACTGCTAAATTCTTTAATATCCACCGAAAATGGTGGTTAAAGCAGAAGAAACAGAAACTGTAAATTGACCTGTAAACTCATAAAGAAAAAGAAAAAAAAAAAGTGAACTTGGGATGTTTGTTTTCTCAGAAAAGACAAAAAGATTGCAATTAACGCTCTCCAGAAAAGAACAAGAACGAGTTTTTAACAAAACCCAGAAAAGGGAATTTAAGTTTAAGACTTTTTACCTTGAGGAACAGAAACATCTGCTTGAAATTCTTCTGTTTTGCTTTTGATGTTGAACCATTTCCTCACCATCTTCTTGGACCAAGACAACTTCATTGAAGGAAAAAAGGAAAGGATTTAGTGAAACTGTTCATCTGAACTTTCATGGAGATGGAAAAGAATTGAATAACAAAAAAAAAAAACCTTGCTTTTCTTGGATTTGTCGTCTCTCATTGCTGCTCCTAATTTGATAAACTATTTGTCTCTGTTTGTTCTTGATTTATCCTTGCAATTAGAGACTCACTCCATACAAAAACCCCAGAAAACAACAGAGATCAAATCAAAATGTCGAACAAATTTGGGGTTTATAGTTGAATCACTGTTTTAAAAGCATAAAAAGGTTCAAAATTGACATGAATTGGCTTCTTTCCTCCTCCTTTAGATCAGACAGAAGCTAAGCAAAGACTAAGTTGCAGCAGGATTAAGGGTTTTTTCTAAAAGACAGGAATTAAGAAAATGGGTTTAATTTCTGAGATCTTTCAGCCAAGAGAGACAAAAAAGACTTTTTTCTTCTTTTGCTGGTTCTTCGAGAATAGAGAAGAGAAGATAGTTTGGAATAAGCAGAAAAAAGTGTTAAACAGACAACAATTCTTGAAGCAGGGAAAGACAATGAGGAAGATTTGGAGAGAGAAAGCTAAAGTAATTTGAAGAGAGAGTGCTGGTTTAAGCTTTCTCCTTGATTCTGCTTCTTCTTCTTCTTCTAGTTCTTCTTCTAAGATAGAGAAAGATAGAGAGAGAGAGAGTGTGAGCCTCGTTCTCAGTGAAACGGCAAAGTAAAAGCAGTGGATTTGAACAGAATAAAGCGCAGAGAGAGAGAGAGAGAACTTACAAGGAACCTTGCCGTAGACTAATCAGTCCTTATGAGCTCTTTTGTTTGGCTGAATTTAATTACAATTACTCAATTACTAACTGATTCGATTATACAGGATCAAATATTAAACGGAGATTTATTTCAAAAAAAATAATTGATTTGTAATCTAGTTCTTTAATAAAAATCTAAATACCTTTTAGCATGCATTTTCTTAACATTTGAATATTTTTTACTGTTGGTCTCATAGTTTTTTTCTAAAAAATTACATACGTTAATTAATTAGTAATTTCCAAATCACATAAAAGTTATATCCTCATTTTATAAATATATTTCTGATGCTATATTTTAACTAAACTTGTAGATTTAGGAAACATGCAACAATATGATTAAAAAAGGATAATCCATATATTTAAAACTATTGTAAAAGTATACCTAATAAATTACACAATAACGGATAAATTTTGGGTAGTACGGATATTTAAAAACCATTAATCTAATATCCTTATTTTTAATTAGAGTTATATGAGGAATTAAGTATTTCATATAGTTTCAAAATATTAATAGAAATTTTAAAAAATCTCTTGATGATTTTTAATATAAGTAACTAGATTTTAACTATGTGTGTCCGCATGGGAATGTATTATTTTTTATTTCTAATATAAGTTGCTTTTATCTTTTTTATTTAGATATAATTTTTTTTTGTTATTTATTTTTTTTAAATCAAAAAATTGTTATCATATTTAAATTTTAAACAGTAAAATTTGTATATTAGTAGAATAAGAGTATACGTTAATTAAGTATACATTGATCTAATATTAATTATAAACTTTGTTATTATGTGAATTTAGATTTATACATAAACAATCTTTATATCTATGAATTTGCTAATCCATCCATTTAGTTGTCTTAAATCATTTTTAATATCTTACATGTTTTGATAAACTAATCCGTATAAAACTATAATTATAATTGTATAACCCTATAAATATTTACTAATATGGAATATTTGGACCAATTGGTTATGAAAAAATATAATAAGATATTTATTTACTATTTGTGCTATTAAAAAAATGTATATATATATATATAAACGGATTAATCTGTTAGTTTAATTGTCTCAAATCATCTTAATATCTTACATGTTTTAATAAATTAACTCATGGACCTTAAATATATATATATATAAAACTCTAATCAGCTTGATCATATTATTATATAATATAAATATTTATTAATCTCAAATATTTGATATTTTAGATCGATTGTTTATGATAAAATACGATAAAATATTTATTTACTATGTATTTTTATAAAAATATTATTTAAATTTAAAATTTTAAATTAAATCTTTTCTGTATTTAAGAAATTCTAAAATATTAAAATTATTATCTAAATTTTCGTAATAAAATTTAATTATAATTTTTTTGATTTTTTTGAATTTAAATTAAATTGAATGTAAATTTTTGTAACTAAATTTAATTAAATTTCTAATAATTTGAAATTTAAATTAAAGATGATCTAGATTTTAGGAAATCTAAAAATATCTAAATTAATAACTAATTTTCGATAATTAAATATAAAAATAAAATAAATATTATAAAAAAATTTTAGGAGTGTTTGGATGCAAGCACTAAATGTGCTTCTGTTTTAATAGAATAGATTTTAAAATTTCAATTATAGGTTCTCGTATCCATTTAAATAATTAAATTATTCCAACAGAAGAATTATTCTAACATATATGAGTCTCCTGATTAACTGATACATTTATATGTAAGAAAATTAAATAATAAGAATAAAAGTAAACCTTTTTTAAAAAAAAATACATTCAAAACGATAATCGTTATAGAGAAAAAAAAAATGCAACAAGTCAACAACTCTAGTGAAACAAAGGTGCTAGTAAAGGCAATCGTAATCTTCGATGTGATTGTAAAATTAGTACTCCATAATACGAGTAATAAAATAAAAGTAATTACTTATTACGAATATCAAACTTCATAATCAACATAAATAAAGGAGTGATGTTGGGTAATCGAGAGGTCTATGTCTGTGCGTTTGTACTCATAAATAGGTCAAAAAAAAACCTATAAGGTAACAACGTCAGGTCGTGTTTTCTTACATCACCAAAAATCATTAAATATTAGTACGGTCAGTCAGATATTAAATTTCTCTCTACTTGTTTCATCCATATTTTTCTGTAATAGTAACACTCGAATTCGCATGCGATGGATGGGGTGCTAATCCTGTGTTCGATGTGACTATAGTTCAACGGTTTCGCAAATTCAAGACTACTTTTGATTGATTAAACTTGCTATGCGCACTGAATCATAAAATTAAGATTACACACAATATACTGTTTATTGTCTACAAAAAAACTCACATAAAATTTTGCATCAATATTTTGTCACTTTTATACTTAAACCATAAAACCAAAATCTAATGTAATTCAAAAAATAAAAAATTGGTTAACCATTAGCCCAATGACATAATTAAACAATCATTTTAGAAAATTTTAGATTTCCAAATCAAAATATATAATATAATTCGTGTCTATAACTACATAGTCTTCAACAACAAAAAGGGGATTTTACACAAGAATGAGCATATAATTAAGAGTCGTTTACATGTAATGACTCTTTTTGAGTCTATATTTACAGGAGACACTTTAATTTTTTATGACACTTTTTATGTGTTTAATCATGCGAAAAACCAGTTAAGTCCCTCCTTCCTCTTACTCAGACACAAAATCGGTCTGAATTAAGTTGGTAAACCGCTGTTGGTTTGGTTAGAATTTTTTGTTGGTCTTGATGTCTTCAACGGCTGGAATCGGTTTTATTTCTCGCCACCGCGTAATTTAAAACAATACCTCGCCGACATTAGTTACAGAATTGTTTAATCGGATTGAAAGCCAAATCGGAAGAAAGATACATTTAATCCAGACTGTAGACAAATCCCGACGGGTGGCTGTGAGTGTACAATTCTTATATCTCCGCTAATTTCATTCTCAATCAACTAAAATCAATAGAAACTTTGAAGGCTCCGCCTGATAACACAGTTATTCATATATGAGCTTTACGACAATGTTACCAATGCCATTTTCATTAGCGCCAGTAATGGAAGAAGCTCTTCGCAGCGGTTACTTATACGCCGATGTTAGTTACAAAAGTAACCATGGAAACGTCCATAATTGTATTAAGAAATATAGAACACTAATGTTGCTTGCTTGTCCATGAACACCTTAAAATTGTGTTTAGAAGTATATAAAAACGCGAGTAGGTAAGGTTGCATTAAGATCGTCAATATGTGGTGTATTTTTAAAAGATAGTTGCATTAAGGATAGCGTGTGGTGTGTCAATGTACTTGGTGACCATGAAATATGAAACATGTACTTAGTTGTATGGACATAACCATGGAATGTGTGGGCTGCGTAAGTGTAACGTTGGCACAGGTGCAGCTGTGAACGACAGTATATGGACATAACCACTTCTAAGTAAGGTTGGTCCGAACAGTGGTCGGCCATCTAATATGCGTGTACTGTGGTGTAGCTGAAAATTGATTAATTAACCTATCTGGCGGCAATGTCCATAGCTGATCTATAAAAACTTGATCATGGACAAATGGTGGAGAGTATTGGGACTGACAAATGTGTACTTTGTTTTGTCCATATGGACACATCCATATAGGTGACAAAACCAATATGATAACGTATAGGGTGTCCATGTCCATGGTGACTATGAAATATGAAACATGTACTTAGTTGTATGGACATAACCATGGAATGTGTGGGCTGCGAAGGGTAACGTTAGCACAGGTGCAGCTGTAAACGGCAGTATATGGACATAACCACTTCTAAGTAAGGTTGGTCCGAATGGTGGTCGACCATCTAATATGTGAATATTGTGGTCTAGATGAAAGTTGATTAATTATCAAGTTTTAGTTTGTAATTTGCATTATGCCTTGTTCCTCTATCTTACTATTTCGGAGTTTTTGTGTTCTTTCTTACTTAATTTTTAACTTATGACACTCGATGCTTGCTTTGAGTGCATATTCCCTTTCAAAACCTTGATGACAATCTCCTTTTATTTTCTTCCTTATTGAGCTCTTGGCTTTTATACTCCTGTAACTATGTTTAATTTAGTACAATCTCGACAAAGATGATGCCTAGTTTTGCTTAAGCAATGCGTATATTCCGTTTCAAAACCTTGATGATAATATCCCCAATCTCGAGTCTTTGGATCATTCACGTTCCAAAATACACATGAGCCAAATCACACGGTATGTGAATCACCAATATCCTTCCTTTTGCTTTTAAGGCGCCCTAGATTCACCAAGACAGCCCTTATTAATATTGGTTTTAGTTTCTTAAATAATTCCATTACACACGTCTTTATTTGTTTAATTTATTCTTCTTGAATATGTCCAACATGTCACGTATCTTTGCTTCTAGTCGATGCAATGTCCATATTTGATATATAAAGACTTGACCATGTACAAATGGTGGAGTGTATTGGGACTGACAAGTATGTACTTTGTTATGTCCATATGTCCACGTCCAGACAGGTGAGCAATCCGATATGATAACGTATGGTGTCTCCATGTACTTGGTGCCATGAAACATGTAGTAAATAACAAGTCATTTGTGGACATTGACTATTGGGGCAAAACAAACTTTCGACATTGATAGTGTGTTGACGACATTGATAGGCTCGATTTTGTATGAGAAGGAATTGGAGATTGTTAGACAACGGTGGAGTAGATGTTGGGATGTATCTAAGACGAATGTGTGGATGTGTACAAAGTCAAATATGCGCTGAACTGTAATGATTGTAGAATCTTTATCGAAACGAAACACAGGGATGTCGGAGATAATTATCTTGCTGATTATTGTACGATATGCCGATCTGGGTTTCACTTTGTATGTCAGCGAGTACGGCTTGCGATATGGCGGTAGAAAAATCTGCTGATAATAGGCCGGCGCTT